TTATACCTCTATGAAAGATAGACTAGGAAAAAAGTCCATTACATGTTAAAGTTGAGGATAAGGGAGATTGTCTAAACTGGGGTTTGGATGTTGCAGATGTCTTCCTGAGAAGTTTTGGGATCCCTGAGAATTTAATACTTTATGAGTAAGTAGAGCAGACTTCAATAAGTAGCCTATCAGATAGAACACTCTAAGTACCCATCAAAAGATCATTATATAAAGATGTAAAGGTACAGAGAATCACATGAGAGGGAGTTGCATTTTTAGTTAGGATGGTCAGGAAAAATTTCTCTGAGATGCCGCCAGTTGAGAGAGCCCTAAATCGTGGGGGTGAGGGACAAAACAAATCGATCAATTAATTTCGTTATATTTTATGCTTGTCATGTAATTTTAGTTTAAAATACATAGGAATTTTCATCTTAGTGAAAATCTTTTTAAAGTTAATTATCCTTAACGAAACATATCATCTTCATGAACGCTAATTATTAGTCTTACTGCTCATTTGCATCTGAGTGCTTCTCAAAGCATAAGTTGATTTATTAAATGCAATTAGTTCCCTTTTTAAAAAAAGTATCGATAGTGAAGAAAGGTGGTTTTGTTACCGACAACTACATAAGACTTACTGAGGGACATACTTTGGTGTCTCATTTTCTCTAGTTTAGGAGGGGAATTCTTGACAAATTCACAGTAGCACTAATAATATCCTATAGTGAAATGTTTCTCAAATAAGGACAATAGATCCAGATCTCTAGGGGCTTAGCTCAGAGGCAGTCTTTTGTATAAGTGTCCTCTGAGCCCATTTTCTTAAAGTATTCAACAAAGTCATATGCATATGATTTTTGACTTCCAGGATTCTTCATAGCACTTAAGTCATCTGGCCAAAGAGTGACTCATGTTCTTTAACCTACTATTGTAATTTTAGTTTATCTTGCTTGGAGTTTGTAGGGTTTCTTGAATATTTTCTGTCTTTCATCAGATTTGGTAAGGTTTTAGTCATTATTGCATTAATTATAATACCATCTACTCCAGACTCTTATCCTTTATTTTCCATCAGTTTTAATTATTTGTTTATTTTATTTATTTATTTAGTTAGTTATATTTTATATCATTGTTCATATTTTCCATCATTTTTATAGAAACATGGTGAGTCCTAGTACAACACTGACTACTCCCAAGAGGATTTTCTTATACTCTGTCAATTAGTCTGAGAGTGCCTTATTTCATTTTCATTTTTAAGGATTAAGATGACTTAAAGTCAGACTCTAGTTGTCTGTCATTGATCCCTGATTTTATTGTTGATAGTGTGTGTGTGTGTGTATGCACATACATATATATATATGTATATATATATATATGTATGTGCATACATATATATATATATATATATATAGTGTTATATATCCCATTAGTTAGTTCACACATCTGTCATCTCATATATTATTTTTGGTGAGAACATTGAAGTTTCTACTCTCAGCAATTTCAATTTTAGAATATAGTGCTTTAGCTATAGTCATATTATGCATTAGGTCTTCAGATTTTATCTGATAGCTGAAAGTTTATACCTTTTTAGCAGCCTTTTTATTGCTTCCTCTCCCAGCTCCTGGCACATTCTTTTCTACTCTATTTCTGTGAGTTTGACTTTTTATTTAGATCCACATAAAAGTGATACCATACTGTATTTGTCATTCTCTGGCTGGCTTATTTCACTTAGCACAGTGCTCTCAGGGTCCATCGATGTGACAAATGTCTGAATAATGTCTTTTATATCCTTGATGATTTTCTCTCTAGTTGCTCTATCAATTATTGAGAATGTGTTGTTAACATCTCCAGCTTAAGTTAATAGTTTGTGTTTTTCAAGTGTGTCTTGTCAGTTTTTGCATTATGTATTTTAGGTCTCTATTGTTAGTTGTGTAAACATTTATTAGTAATTGTATCTTCCTAATGTGTTCACCTTTTATCATTATGAAAGTCTCAGTCTCTAGTAATATTTCTTTTTTTAAAGATTTATTTATTTATGCATACAAAAACTGGGGTACAGGCCAGAGGTGCAGGGGAATGAGAGGATTCACCAAAGACAGAGTGGGGAGCAAAACAGGAAGATCTACTGAAATACACTGCTGAGGGGAGCAGTAGGTGAAATAGGAGAGGTCTGCTCTGCCATGTGGATAGCTCCCTGGCCAGCCAGGGATCCAACTCGTGCTGCAGAGGCTGTAGATAGCTTCACAGTGCCGTGCTTAACCCCATGAGCCACCAGGGAGGCCCCTCTAGTAATATTTCTTAAAGTCTATTTCAACTAATAGTAATATAGTCACTCAGGCTCTCTGGTGGTTAATATTTGTATGGTATATTTTAATTTATTGGTTTATTGTTGGTATATAATACTATATACTATTTAAGAGTATAGCTTCGTATCTCAATAAATATATATACCATATTGCACCCACCATTTAAGTTCTAGTGCCATTCACCGCTATCAAATTGACCCCCTCTACCCATTGTTTACACCTGGTTCCTCCTCCCCTATGGTAAACATCTATTTGTTTGAGTCTAAGAATTTTTTTTTTTAAAGTTTTATTTACTTATGCATACAGGAACTGGGATGTAAGCCAGAGGTTCTGGTAGTAAGAGGATTAACCAGAGTGGGGACCAGAACAGGCAGATATACTGAAATACACTGCTGAGGGGAGCAGTGGGCGAGACAGGAGAGGTCTGCTGCACCATATGGACTGCTCCCTGGCTGGCTGGGGATCTAACTCATGGTGTAGTGGCTGGCAATATTTTGATAGTGCTGTCTTTAACCCCTGCACCACCAGGGAGTCCCCCTAAGAGTCTTTTTTGTTGTGCTTAGTTTGCCTTTTTTATATTCTACACATGAGTGAAACTATCCAGTATATGTCTTTCTCTTTCTGACTTATTTCATCTTAGCATAATTACTTCAGGTTCCATCCATGTTGTTGCAAATGGCAAGATTTCATCCTTTTTTTAATATAGCTGGGTATATATCAAATACATTTTATTGAGTCATCTGTTGATGGTCATCTTTCATACAAGGACATGCAAGATACTGTGTAAAAATTTAGGTTGTTTCCATGTCTCAACTACTTTAAATAATGCTGTAATAAGCATGGGGGTGAATATATCTTTTTTTTTTAATTTTTTTTTATAGAGGCATGTTTTATTTATTTATTTGTTTGTTTGTTTGTTTTGTTTATACATGCACTGGGTACAGTCAGAAGCATGGGAGGGTGAGAGAATTCACCAGAGCCAGAGCAGGGAGCAGAGCAGGCAGAAGGACTGAGGTACACTGCTGAGGGGAGCAGCGGGCGGCAGGAGAGGTCTGCGCGCCATGTGGGACCCTCCTCTGGTGGCCGGGGAGCAGCCGGGGATCGAACCGGCACTGCAGAGGCCACGGGCAGCTTCGCAACCCAGCGCTCAACCACTGCGCCACCAGGGAGGCCCTGAATATATCTTTTGAATTAGTGTTTCCATATTCTTTGAATAAATATCTGGAAGTGGGATTGCTGGAACATAGGATAGTTCTATTTTTAATTTTTTGAGGAATTTCTTTACTGTTTTCCACAGAGACTATACCAATTTACATTCCCACCAACAGTGTATAAAAATTCCTTTTTCTCCACACCTTTGCCAATACGTGTTTGTCATCTCTTTGATATAGACCATTTTCACAGTGTGAAGTGATATCTTATGGTGGTTTTGATTTGCATTTTCCTAGTAATGTATCATGTAACTTTTTCCATCCTTTTATTTTCAGCTTCTTTGTGTTTTAGGATCTAAGGCATGTCTCTTGGTCAGAAATTGTGCTCAAATACATACAGTCAGTAAGGCTTTTCCCTTCTTCTGAAAGATCTGTGTATAGAGTAGGGAATACATTTTGAAGTTCAGGCCATTTCTGTTTCTCCTGTTTTTATGTTTCCCCAAGACTTCTGGTGTCTCGCCAGGAATGTGTGGGTAGTTTGGACTCTCTCTAGTCTCTGCTACACATGAATGGAACCTCTGTTCAGCCAGCAGTACATGGAGAGTTTTGTCAAGTCTATGTATAGCTGTTTCTCTCCCAAGATCTGTTAAATAAAATACCCTACTAATCTGTCAGGTAGCTTGTTTCTTGCCTTCAGTTGGGACTGCAACCATATAACCACTTGGATAGTTTCAGACACTTGGATAGTTTCAGAATTTCCACCTTCACTTATGAACATGGGCTTTCTGTTCTCTTAGTCCCCTCTTCAGCATAGCTGCCAGTTTCCATGGCCTGTCCCATCCTCTTGGGGCTATCTCACTGTCTTAATTGATAAGGGAGGAAGAATGATGGTAGCAGAAACATGAAACAGTGCCACAGACTTTTTTTTTTTTTTAGATTTGTTTATTTTTATATAAGAGCTGGGGTACAGGCCAGAGGCGTGGCTGGGTGAGAGGATTCACCAGAGACAGAGCGGGGAGCAGGACAGGCAGGTGACCGAAATACACTGCTGAGGGGAGCAGCGGGCGCGACAGGAGAGGTCTGCCGCACCATGTGGGAATCTCCCTGGCCAGCCAGGAATTGAACCTGTAACACAGAGGCTGCGGACAGCTGCATAGCGCTGCGCTCAACTGGCTGCGCCACCGGGGAGGCCCCCAGACTTCTGATCCCAAGTTTGGGAAACTTTTATGAACAAATATTCCTCAGTTTATTGTTTACCTTTGGTAAATATCCAGTTATTTGAGATTATAGTTTTTGACAATTTTTTTTTTCCCCCAGCTGTATGTTTGCTGTTGCAGAGAGGGTTTGCTAAAGTCTGCTTCATCATGCTGCAAGGATCTCTTGCTTCCCTTTGGTGTTTTTTTTGAAATATTTATGTGGCTTTTCACACAAGGACATACAAGATATTGTCTAAAAAGCTTATCATTTTAAAGTTCATTTTAAATTTATTCTCTAAGACACCACAATTCAGTTCACATAATGAAGATTATAATTAAAAAAAAAACTTAACTTTTCATTGTTGCAGATTTCAAGTTCCACCTATAAAGACAGGAATGAAGAATACAAAAGACAGTTCACACATCTGCCTGATACAGAGAAGCTCATAGCAGGTAAAAACAAAACAAAACAGGAAATTGCAGACCCCTCCCAACATTTTACTACTTTATTGTCAAAGTAGAACAGATGAGTGACAATATTTATGGAACACTTAAGCCTTTGTGCTAGATAGAAAATATTTTTCAATATAAACAGTACTTTATTCCCAACTAGACAGTTAAAACTAAGTTGTAATTTGGGGAGGAGTGATTACTGACTTGTATTAAGTGCTAGTTAAGACAATGGAATTACAAGGAACTAATTTCTTTGATGTGTATTTCATGTGGTTTTGTAAGAAGATTTGATGTTCAATACATATAACCTTTTCCAGAAAAGAGTACTCCTTAGTAGATTACAGTATGATATTTATATTATTAAAAAATAAAATGAAAATAAAAATAAAATTTTTTTTAGAAGTGTATCATTATGCATGTACTCTTTTAGATAGTTTTTTTTGAAATAAGTTTTAAAAGGAAAATTTTATGCATTTTTCTTATAAAAGTGCTTTCTTTTTGATATAGCTCAACAGATTCTTTTTAATCAAAATATATAATTAGATTTTAGTTTTAGTATATATTTCTTTTAGACCAATTATTCACAGGAATTCTCAGGCTTTTGAGAATTTAGTTCAACATAGCTGAATTTCTAGATAGTTCTACTCATACTTTAAATGTTATAATCATGAATTAAAACATTTTAAAGAACATTTGAAATGAATCCATTCTCATGATAAAGTGTGGAAATACTGCATATGATCAAATGGTGAAAAGTGAGTGGTCCTTCCAACTAAAACAACTCCAGCATTTTTTCTGGGTAATAATTAGCACTTTCTTATATGTATTTCCAGAAATTTTCTATATGTATTTCAAGATCAATATACATATATTTCTAAAAAAACTTAAATGGGAGTGCATTATGCTTACTGTTTGAATCTTATTTAGAGCTCTTTCTCTTAGCTCTACTTATGAATCACTGCATTCAGCTGCCTTATATTTAATTGAATGAGTTCTGTGCCCTAATTTACTTAACAAATCCCCTATTGATGAAATTCTGATTGCTTTCTATCTTTTTACCATTAGTATAACTTTGAACAGTGTTGTACATTTATTGGACACACATGTGCATACACATTATTGGATAAATTCCTTGAAGTGGAATTGTGTCCCAAAAGTACTAAATATTTAAAAGGTTTGTTCTCCAAAAAGACTGTACCAATTTTTATTCTCATCAATAGTATATGTTAGTACATGTTTTGCCACACCACAGTATTTAATTATTGTTTGTCAATGCATGCCTTTTTTTTTTTTTTTACTCTTTGTTCAAACTATTTTTGTCAATTCTAATTATTTTAATTGAGGTAATACTGGTTTACAACACTGTATATGATTTAGGGGGATAGGTATACATCTCCTCAGATGTCTGTCACCACACCACACCCATCACCAAAGCACTCATAGTCTCCCTTACACTAGACCACAGGGCCCTTCCCTGCTTTGTTCCCATCCTCACGCTCCCTCCACATCTAGTAGTTTCAATTCTGCAGTCATAGTCCCAGGGTTTGTTTTGGTTTAGTTTTGTCTGTTCCTTTGTTTTGTTTCTCTATATTCCACATATTAGTGAAATCATGTAGTATTTGTCTTTCTCCTTCTGACTTATTTCACTTAGCATAATCTCACCTCCAGTACCATCCATGTTGTCACAAATGGCAAGAGTTCTTTTATTTTTAATCTCTGAGTACTATTCCATTGTGTATATATACCACCTCTTTTGCTGTCTTGAGCACTTAACATTGTTTCCATGACTTGGTTATTGTAAATAGTACTGCAATATACTCCTTTGAGTTAGTGTCTTTGTGTTCTTCAGGTAAATACCTATGAATGGAATTACTAGATCACATGGTTTATCTAATTTTACTATTTTCAGGAGCCTCCATTCTATTTTTAATAGGGGCTAAACCAGTCAACGTTGCCATCAACAATGTACAAGTATTCTTTTTCTCAATGTCCTCAGTAGTGCTTGCTGTTTCTGTTTATTTATGTTTACTTCTTTTTTTTTTTTTGATATGGGCCTTTCTCATGGGAGTGAGGTGCTATCTCATTGTGGTTTTGTTTTGCATTTCCCTAATGATGTGATGTTGAACATTTTTTCATGTAATTGTTGATCATTTGTATGTTGTCTTTGGAGAAATGTGTATTTAAATTTCTACCCATTTTTTTGATTGGGTTCTTTGTTTTCTTTTTGTTGAGTTGTATGAATTCTTTGTAAGTCTTGGATATTAACCCCTCATCGAATGTATGATGCAAAAATATTTTTTCTCATCCAGGAGAATTTCTGTTTTAATGGTAATTTTTGTTTTCCTTGACATTGTAGTTGAGTCCCCAAAGACATTACTAAAGCCAATGTTGTGCAGTGTTTTGCCTGTTTACCTCTATATATTTTATAGTTTCTAGCATTGCACCCAAGTTTTTTAATTCATTTTGAGTTTATTTTTGTATATGGTATGACAGAGTGGTCTAGTTTCATTTTTCTACATGTGGCTGTCTGGTTTTCCCCAGCTCCATTTGTTGAGGAGACTCTATATGCATTTCATTAATTATGAAGGAGGTTGAACATTTATTTATATGTTCGTAAAATATTTGTATTTCTTTCTCTGTCAGCCTTTCTCTTCATAAATTTTGTCCATTTCTTTTTTTTTTTTTTTAAAGATTTATTTATTTATTTATACAAGCACTGGGTACAGTCAGAAGCGCGGGAGGGTGAGAGAATTCACCAGAGCCAGAGCGGGGAGCAGAGCAGGCAGAAAGGCAGAAGGACTGAAGTACACTGCTGAGGGGAGCAGCGGGCGGCAGGAGAGGTCTGCGCACCATGTGGTGAATTGTCTAACATTTGTAAATTACAGTTATTTACAAAGTAGAAAACTAAACCCACTTGTAATTGTACCAACCTGAAATACTATCAATGACACACATACCTACACAAATTAAAGTATATAATTGGGATCACTCTATACAAGTGACTTTAAGCTCTTAAATTTAACAGAGTATCCTAAATTTAACTTTTAATTTTTCGAAACAACTTGGTGTTGTTACAAACCCACAACATTGTACTTTATAGGCTAGTTCAATAAATACTTATTCATATTTATTATATCCCAGACACCATACTGATTTTGAAGAACTCAGGGCCTGGTGGGGAAGTAGATATATAAACAAATCGTTGTGACTGAGGTTGACAGTGAGAAGTTTTAATAAGGTACAGAAGTAGTACAAAGGAGGACATAACTTACCTTCTTGGAGAAGCAAATATTTTAACATTTTGAATATATTATATTTGAGTTGAAAAGAATCCAGTATGTATGTATAAAATATTATCTGGAAGTAAAGAATTAGTATATATCTTAGTAACCTGATAGTTGATTTCTCCTCAAGTCTTGCATGTCTTCAATCTTTTTAGTACTGCAGCTATGACAGTTTTTTGTGAAATGCAAATCAGATTGGATTAAAACCATTCATGGACTCATTCCAGTGACCTCAGAATAAAGCGTGACTTACTGGCTTTCATATATGTTAAATATCATCCCACCCCTCATCTTTCATCATGCTGGAAAATGTGTTGGGGAATTATAATTAAAAACAAATATCCCACCAAAGAAGAAAACCTCTCCACAAAAGTAGAAGAGAAAGAAAACATTTTATTATTGAATAAGCATTCAACCAGAATGTGATGTGCACACAGCACAGGCTATCTACAAAGGAGATTATGAAGACAGAAAGAAATCTTACCCATTTATATACGCAAGCACATACAACCCCATTACACATGTTCTAAATAGAAACCTGTCTAGTCCTTAAGGAAGAGGACTTGACAGCACCATTTGTCACACAGATCATCCTAAATTCACAAGGTAATTGGGGTGACTGAGTTAGCTAATTGATTTTATGTAAAGGAAAATAAACTCATATCTTAGTGACACGAGTCAATTTTGCAACTTGGAGCAAGGTGCCCACTGAAATTGGGCTCTCAGTTAAAAAACTGGGTGATATGGGGCCTTATTTCCCCTGATGTCTTTATTTCAAAGGAGTGGCTCCCAGGTCCTTGTGAAAACACTCCTGCATTGTAAAACCAGCAAGAGGTTCATTTGGTTTTAAAAAGATTCACGAACATCTCAAAGAAGCAGAAAACAATTTGCAAGTTTTCTAAAGAACATGCTCTCAGTAAAGCTAAGAGGATGGCGCTTTCCCTTTTCACAAGAGGGATTTTTTTTTTTTAATTTGTATTTACCCTTAGCATTGTCTCAGATAAAACGCAAACCAGATAACAAATAAAAAGCAATGTAAAGTATGAAAAATGAGAATAGCTATCTTTTGTAATTTTCATACTAAAAATGAAAATAATCTAAAGTGTTCCAAAGAGTTTTTAAAACATCAGCATTATTTGACTCCCCAAAATGAGTGCAGTGCATATTTCCAGTCATATTTGGAAAACATATTCTCTTAATTTACTATTATTGTCCTTATGTAGCTATGACTAAATTCTTTGGTGAAGCTAAATAGTACATATTTGTTTAGATAAGAGTATACTACTTAATATGTAAGGTTACTCTAGAAATATATGGTGCTGATTCATGTCATCTATATTCCCATAACATTTTATACATATTTCTACTGTATCCATTGTCATATTGGAATTTTTTATTAAAATAAATCTTTATGAGATGGAACCATTCAATTGTGCAGAAATTGATCTTCTAATAGCTAATAAGTTGATGTTAATGCACATACTCAAGTGACTATATTGCCTAGTTATCTTTAACTTTCTAGTTATTAATAATTATAAAATCCATAAACTAATTTTTGATAAACATTACTTCCTTATTTTATTCTAGATGAATCAAATTGGTAATATGACTCAATTAGAATATTGCTTTCTTTTCTTTTTTTTTTTCCTAAAAATTTATTTATTTATGCATACAAGAACTGGGGCATAGGCCAGAGGTGGGGGCGGGGGTGAGAGGATTCACCAGAGGCAGAATCGGGAACAGAACTGGCAGATTGACTGAAATACACTGTTGAAGGGAGCAGCAGGCGAGTCAGGAGAGGTCTGCTGCACCATGTGGATCACTTCCCTGGCTGGGGATTGAACTCTTGCTGCAGTGGCTGTGGACTGCTTCACAGCTCTGTGTCTCAGCCCCTTATGCCACCAGGGAGGCCCTCTTTTCTTTTTTTTTGAATATTGCTTTCAGAAATGCTAATTATTAAGAGGTGTTTGTTTATCAGTAGGGAAATTGGAAACAAAAAGTTAAAAAAATAAATAAAATCCTTTTTCCTCTTTTCAAATTTAATTTTCCATTTCTTGCATAGGATATGTTGCTTGGAAGCTTTTTATTTAAAAAGTTCATTGAAGTATAAGTTTATTATAATAAAACACTTAGGAAAACCATTTAAAAAAAACATAAAAACCTGATAATCTGTGTCATATTTTCTTCAGTTAAAACATCCAGTTGATTACTATACCTTTGAATGTAGTTGATGTAAAATAATACAGTGATTTTCAAAGGATGGTCCACAGACCAGCAATGTTTGTTGGTATCACCTGGCAACTTCCTAGGCAAATTCTTCATGCTGCCCCAGATATATTTAACGTGGGAGATACACCTAACAATCTGTGTTTTAGTAAGTCTGCCATTCAGGTCATTTCTGATCTGCAATTTGAGAAACATTGAATAAATAAAGTATTTCAGTGGTGTAGATTAAAATTTCAGGACACCTCAAGGTAACCTTTAGCCCTATCCCAGTTTTAGAGATGCATATTAGTAAATGAGTAACATTATCTGTTTAATTATTTACTTGAATTTTTTGTTTGGTGTTGTCTGAGTTTTGTTTTGCTAAAGGACGCATTATGAAAGACTGATTCCTATGTTCAATTTTTAGTATTTGCTTAGAAATTTAGCATGGCTAAATTCAAATATTTTAAGGTTCATAGACTCAGTAACTTTTTCCTAAAATTGCTGATTACTTTGTTTTTAAAATGTAACAATTATATCTATATAAAGATATAAAGAACCCTTTATATCTTGCATTATTGAAATTTAGCAATAATATTTACATTAGCAATAGTACCAGATCTTAATCTTAAACAGTATGGTATTCACTTGTTGCTAGGCAATGGCATTTAGCAGAACACTCTTGATTTTGCTGGATTTTAGTGCTGAGGTAGAGAGGGTCAACTTTGAAACTAACTTAAAATGTGTACAATTTTATATTCATCCTTATCCCTCCATTACTCTCATTCAACATCTAATTAATCACCAGTTCTCCCTCCATACTACCTCTTAAATAATTTTGAATCTAAATACGTTCTATTAATAGCGGTTGAGCGCTCGAAGCTGCGCGCGGCCTCTGCAGCGCTGAGGCCACCATCCCACATTCTTCCCCTGGCACTTCGGTCTTCTTTATCTGAATCTGTCCTCAGAGTATGAATAAGGTGGTCTTTCCCCTGGATTCCAATGATTTGTCCTGAGTATCTTGTCTTTCCACTTGTCACTTCCACTTAACACTCATCACTGGCTTCTCATCAAGTCCACAGTCTAACAGCCTGTGATGTTCTAGCTTCACCAGCTTCTCCATCTCAGAGATCTGTTTTACCTTCATCTAGTTGCTCGAATGTGCTCTATGACTTTCCTTCATAGGACTTTTCACATGCTGTTACCTCATGGTCCAGCTGTCCCTTTATTGATTTTTAGATCTCAGTTTAAAGATCACTTTTCCTGGTATATCCTCTCTGGGCCCCAACCCCCTCATACCTGTCCACCCCATTATATACTCTCATAGCTTTCTTTACATTTTGGTCTTTTTTCTTATTTTTGCATTTGTTTGTTATATTTTTTCTCCTGTAGACTGTGTTCTATGAGGGCAAGATTCATTTCTGTAATCCTAATGCCTAGAAAAATATCTGGTGTATGGTGCCCAAAGTGTCTGAATGAGTAAATAAATGAATGGGTGAACAAATAGTGACAGCTTTCCATGTTTTAAATTAGTATAAAATGTATTACTGGAATTTTGTGATTAAGTTGTTCCTTGTTTTGTATGTAGATTATGCTTGTGCTCTTCAAAGAGACATTTTGCTTCAGGGATGACTATACCTTTCAGAAAACTGGCTATGTTTCTATAGCAACATCTTCAGATGGGAAACTACAGTAAGCCATATTTTGATTTGATTTATTGATACAAATAATTGCATCGACAGTAATGTATATAGCCCTCCTAAAAACAATTTAGATTCTGAAGTAAAATTATACATATTTGTCTCTCTGTATATGTATATGTATAAATATATGTGTTGTATAAGTGTGGATTCTTCTTAATAACTTGCATTCCTCTTGTATGTATTTATACAGTTGGAGAAAGATTTCATGTTGGAAAAAACCTTGAACATACTTTCTTCTGGCTGCCAAAATCATGTCTTATGTGACAGACTGTCTGAATTTTGTTTGTGTATGTGTGTGTGTTATGTGGAACATGAACACCCACATGTCTTTTCACACTTGATTTTAATATTAGATATAGGAGCCAATGCGGGAAATTACTGAAGAGTAAAACGCCTGACTGCTTCCCCTGTTGTTCTCAGAGAATGTAAGTGTGTGCTTATTAACTCCTTCAGGTTTTTCAACTGAATAGTCTTGGTTACATTAATGTAATACTTGTTTTTTTTGGTATTGTGTGTGTTTATGAAAATTCCATTTTGCAATTGTTCATTCTTTTGTGTGTTTAGATTTCTGTTGCTTTAAAGAATATAACCTTCATGACCAAGGAGAAAACCACTCGACTCATCCCAAATGCTATCCAAATCGTTACAGAGGGTGAAAAGGTGAAAAACTTTATTACCTTTGCCTTACGACATCAGATGGAAAGAATCTGGCTCCTGCTGATTGCCAATGTTGGGAATATAGGCAATTCTTCTTGGAGTTTGGAAAATATAATAGAGATAAGTATTATATTTAATACTTTTTTGTATTCTGAAATACTTATTAATGATTAAATGACTGCTAACATCTTTTTACCTTAATAGTTTAGAGAAAACTCTCCCAAACTTTTCAATTCTTAACTATAAAAGGATAGGATAAGCATTTTGAGAACATCCTTATTATCTTGAAGTTCCCTAATAATTCCGTGATTGTTATGTCATCAATAAAACCTGTATAATATTAGCTAATAAAAACAAGTTGTTCTGGTAAACAGAGAATTGGGTAGCATACAAATAAACACAATCATTATAGTCTCTTTTTAAAATGGTGATTATCTTCAACTGCCATCATTTTTATTATCCACCTACACCACACACATATATATCTGCCATTTCTTACTTGGATATGTGAAGAATCTCTCTATACCCACCTGGAAAATTGATTCAAGCTTTGTGTGTGCCATTGGAAGCATAATGTTGAGAAAGACAAGTAGGAAGAAAGAAAAAGGACAGTATGAAGGGAAGGAAGGGGCAAAGGATGGGAGGGGGGAGAAATAAGCGAGAGAAAAACTATCATGACATTGAATCATTATAATGATGCTTTTTAATCTTGTAAAGTTTCTTTCAAATGTACTTTTAAGTTTTTAAATTTAAAATAATTTCATCCTTATAGAACAATTCTTAGGGCAAATAATTTTTCTGTTCTGAACTATTTGAGAGTAAGTTGTTACTCTCAGGCCTCAACACCACAGACGTTATCCAGATATTCTAGAATATATTTCCAACAAAGACATTCTTCTATATAATAGTATCAATATAGCATATCATTAAAATCAAGAAATTAACATTGTTTATTACCACGGTTCAATCCTTAGACCCCCTTCAGTTTTTCTGAGTATCCCAATAATATCTTTTATAGTGAGTATACCCAGCTCATAAATACGTAGTACATTTAGTTCTTGTGCTCTTTAACTTCCTTATTCTGGAATAGTACATTAGTTTTCCCTTGACTTTTGTGCTCTTGACACTTTCAAAGATTACAGGTCAATTATTTTGTAAAATATCCCTCAATTGTGTCTGTCTGGTGTTTCCTTGTGATTAAATTTAGGTAATGCAGTTTAGGCAGAAATAGCATAGAAGTGATGCTCTGTTTTTTCAATTGTATCCTATCAGATTGCACATGATTTCAATTTCTAATGTTACTACTGATACTCATTTTGATCATTTGATTAAGATGTTGTCTGCCAGATGTTCCTGTAAAGTTAGTCTATTTTCTTTTGTATTAGTATTTTGTGGTAAGCACTTTGAAACTATATATACTATCCCTCATCAAACTTAAAATTATTTATTTCTATCAGTGTGATCTCACAGTTTTCTGTCTGATTCAATTAGAGTCCATTACTATCATTATTTTGATATGCAAATTGTTCCACTTTTGGCCACTGGGAGCCTTCTCAATCATTCCGGTCCTTCTGACTATTTTCAGCATTGTTTGAACATTTCTGTGTTTATTGGTGGATAATGTTAGATGTTAGAGACTTTCCCCACCTAAGGCCTGGAATCAGCCATTTCTTTTAAAAAAAAAAAAGTTTTTTTTTTTTATACATCCAAGAACTGGGGTGTAGGCCAGAGGTGTGTGTGTGGGGCGGGTGGGGGGGTGGTGAGAGGACTCACCAGAGACAGAACAGGCAGGTTGACTGAAATACACAGCTGAGGGGAGCAGTGGGCATAACAGGAGAGGTCTGCTGTGCCATGTGAGTCAGCTCCCTGACCAGGGATGCTGCAGTGGCTGCTGATAGCTTCATAGTGCTGACACTTAACCTCTTGCACCACCAGGGAGGCCCTGGAATCAGCCATTTCTGGAAAGACTCTTTTAGGGGAAATGGATATTTAGAACCACTGTGTCCATTGCAATTGGGGTGTCATTGTCTCCGTCAAAGTGGGCAGTACAAAGGTGTATATAATGTATGTATAATTACTATAATTACATAAGACACACATATACCCACTTATATATCTCTACTACCTATCTCTCTGGCTATCAGAAATCATAGTTAAACAGCAAAGAACATTAATAGCTACCCTTTAATAAATATTGATAAAATAATTTAGTAAATATTGATACATTTAGTTGGTATGATATAATTTGTGAAAATGCCCCATTCATACACCAGTTATCTATCTTCTATGCAACTAAATCCAAAGTAATGTATTTTTTTTAATTTTAATTTTTTTAGAGATTTATTTATTTATGTATATCAGAACTGGGATACAGGTCAGAGCTGCGGGGGGTGAGAGGATTCACCAGAGACAGAGTAGGGAACAGAACAGACAGATTTACTGAAACACTGCTGAGGGGAGCAGTGGGTGAGACAGGAGAGGACTGTTGTGCCATATGTGGATCACCTCTCTGGCTGGGTATTGAACTCAGGCCACAGTGGCGATAGCACTGAGACTAACCCCTGTGCCACCAGGGAGGCCCACAACAAAAAGTTAAATAAAAATACCATATGAAGTAGGCAGTAGTTACCTACTAATTTCCTTTTACTATAGCAAATGCCAGCAGACTTTTTGTGATACTTTACCCTTTTTCTCCTGTGACACTAACATCCTACTGTTTTTTTTTGTATTTTTTTTTTTTTTTGCAGTTTTTCTTTACATCCTTTGGTACCAGGGATAGAAGTTACCTCAGTATCTTCAGGCTGTGGCAGAATGTATTATTAGAAAAGGTAAGTTTTCGTACTAGAGGCAGGTGCTTATTAAACATATATATATTTTTAAGATTTATTTATTTATGCATAGAAGAACTGGGGTGTAGGCCAGAGGTGCAGGGGGTGAGAGGATTCACAAGAGACAGGGGGGAGCAGAGCAGGCAGATCTACTGAAATACACTGCTGAGGGGAAGAGTGGGTGAGACAGGAGAGGTCTGCTGCACCATGTGGGCTAGCTCCCTGTCTGGGCATTGAACTCAGGCTGTAGCAGTATAGTGCTGAGACTTAACCCCTAGGCCACCAGGGAGGGCCTGGGAGATGCTTATTATAATAGCAACCTTCCAATTAGTATCCAAACGGTTTTTGTGAATTGAAAAGCTCCTTTTGATCTTCATGAATTTAATTTTTACTACACTTGTCAAATTCCAAGAATAAACTTGAAGCAAAACAAAATCTTGAGTTACAAATTAAGATGTTAATTACAACTCCTAGGGTAACTACCAAGAAAATAACTTAAAAAAATATGAAAGAAACATCATGGGAATTAAAATAGAACATTATAAAATATTTTTTCATAGATAAGAAGGCAATAATGGATAAATAGGGAAACAAAAAGATATAAGACACATAGAAAACAAAAAGCAAAATGGCAGACATTATATTAAATCATTAAATATAAATGGACTAAATGCTTAAATCAAAAGGCAGAGATAAGCAGAATGAATTTTAAAAACATGATACAATTATATACTGTTTCTAAGAGACACATTAGGTTGTTTTTTTTTTTTAAGATTTATTTATTTATACAAGAACTAGGGTACAGGTCAGAGGTGCAGGAGGGTGAGACAATTCACCAGAGAGAGCGGGGAGCAGAAAAGGCATACACACTGAAGACACTGCTGAGGGGAGCAGCGGGTGAGGCAGGAGAGGTCTGCCACACCATGTGGGTTTCTCCCTGGACGGCTGGGAATTGAACACACGCTGCAGAGGCTGTGGACAGCTTCACAGTGCAGCGTTCAAACTGCTGTGTCACTGGAGAGGCCTGACACATTCGGTTTAAAGACACAAAAAGATGGATAGTAGAATGATAGAAAAAGATCTACCATGCAAGCAATAACTAAGAAAGAGCTGATGTGCCAATAGGTATATCAGACAAAATAGACTTTTTTAAAAAAGATTTATTTATTTATACAAGAACTGGGGTACAGGCCAGATGTATGGGGGTGAGAGGATTCACCATAGACAGAGCTGGGAGCAGAACAGGCAGACTGACTGAAATATACTGCTGAGGGGAGCAGTGGGTGAGACAGGAGAGGTCTGCTGTACCATGTAGGTATCTCTGCGGGATCGAACCCATGCTGCAGAGGCTGCGGACAGCTTCACAGCGCTGCGCTCAAACTGCTGTGCCACCAGGGAGGCCCCAGACAAAATAGACTTTAAGACAAAAATTAATAGAGATAAGGAAGGCTATTTTATAATAATAAAAGAGGTAATTTGTCTGGAATTCATAACAATTATAAAGCTTTTTTATTTTTAAAGATTTATTTATTTATTTATACAAGCACTGGGTACAGTCAGAAGTGCGGAAGGGTGAGAGAATTCACCAGAGCCAGAGCGGGGAACAGAACAGTCAGACAAGGAAACACACTGCTGAGGGGTGCAGCGGGCACGTCAGGAGAGATCTGCGCACCATGTGGGACTCTCGCTGGTGGCCGGGGATTGAACCTGTGCTGCAGAGGCTGCGGGCAGCTTCACAGCCCAGCGCTCAACCACTGCGCCACCAGGGGAGGCCCATAAAACTTTTTTATACCTAACACTAGAGCACTAAAGTACATTTAACTAAAGGGGAAATGAACAATTCAAGTGGAGATTTAAAGTTCCCATTTTTAGTGATGGTTAGAACTATAGAAGAGGTCAATAGGGGGGCCTCCCTGGTGGCGCAGGGGTTAGGGACAGTGCTATCAAGGTATCAACAGCTACTGCAGCACGAGTTCAAGTTCGATTCCAGGCCAGAAGGGGAGCTACCCACGTGGTGCAGTAGACCTCTCCTGGCTGGCCCACTGCTCCCCTCAGCAGTGTGTTTCAGAAGATCTGCCTGTTCTGCTCCCCACTCTGTCTCTGGTGAATCCTCTCACACTCCAGCTCCTGTATACAGAAATAAATAAAATCTTCATCAACAGGAAACTAGACTTTAAAAAAAACTAGCTGGAACTAAAGAAATCTATAGGAAACGTCATTCCAAAAACAGCAGAATATGTATCCTACTCAAGTGTACATGGAACACTTACCAGAACAAATCATACACTAGGTCATAAGACAGCCTTAATAATTTTGAAAGAGTTAAAATAATAAAAAATAAATTCCCTGACCACAATGAAATGAAATTAGAAGTCAATAACAGAATGAAACTTGGGAAATTCACAGAAACTGGAAAAAAAAACAGAACACTCTTAAAACAACCAATGTTGAAATAAGAAATCACAAAGGAAATTAGAAAATACTTAGTTAAATGAAAACAAAAATGCTGCATATCAAAACTTGTAAGAAAGTGCTTAGAAGGAAATTTATAACTGTAAACATGTATAATAAAAAAGAGTGATCTCAAACTAATAACCTAACTTTCCACCTTAAGAAATTAGAAAAAGGATAGCAAACTAAACTCAGAGTAAGTGGAATTAAGGAAGTTATAAATATTAGAACAGAAACAAATGAAATAAAGAATAGAGAAAATCAAGAAAACCAAAAGTTCTTTCCTTGAAAAGATCAACAAAAGTGACAAACCGTTAGCTAGATAGACCAATGAAAAAAGAGAGAAGACTAAAATTCAAAAGTGAAACATTACTACTTACCTTATAAAAATAAAATGTATTATAAAGGAATACTATGAACAATTGTATGTCAAGAAATTGGTTAACTTAAATGAAAAGGACAAATACCTAGAAAGTCATAAGCTATTGAAACTGACTCAAGTAGAAATATAAAATTTGAATAGACTTATAATAAGGAAGGAGATTGAATTAGAAATTTAAAAAAATACCCACAAAGAAAAGCCTAGTAATACATGGATTTATTGATGAATTATACCCAAGTGAATTAACACCAATCCTTCACAGAATAGTCCAAAAATTAGAAGATGAGAGAACACTTTTCAACTCACTCTGTATCACTTTTAATATCACCTTGATACTAAAACCAAAACCATCAAAAGAAAATTACAGACTAATATCTCTTTATTATGTCATGTTCATTATGTCTATAAATATTGATATACAAATCCTCGACAAAATATTACCAAAAACCAATCCAGCACCATAAAAAAATGATGCCATGACCAAGTGTGTGATTTATACATCAATATATGAAACATCAACACAAATGAAAAATCAATCAGTATAATACACCATATTAGTAGAATAAAGGGCAAAAATGACATCACGTCAATCGAGAAAAAATACGACAAAATCCAACATCCTTTTGTAATAGAAAACAATGAAATTCACAATACTTAGACTGTGTTTAAGCTTTTAGTATGGTCATTCATGAAGTAATTTATAGCACTTCAACTTAGTTCACAACTGTTGAGGTGCTGAACTAATAAAAGAGTACTAACCCTTTTTCTAGATAGCACATTGAATATCTAGAGTTTGTGGGGCCAGAGGACAGCGGCAGCTTCATTCCTTGATACATACATTTGATGTTTTCTTTTTTATATAAAGAACTGTGCAACTGTGGCTTAAGATTAATCCCTAGGTCCTTCTCCAATCCACCCCTCAGCTATTTTATTTTAAGCCCCTCTCTGTCTTTTTTTTTTTTTAAGATTTATTTATTTATACAAGAACTGGGGTACAGGTCAGAGGCATGCGGGAGGGTGAGAGAATTCACCAGAGACAGAGCGGGGAGCAGAACAGGCAAAGACAACTACACTGTTGAGGGGAGCAGCGGGCGAGGCAGGAGAGTTCTGCCTCGCCATGTGGGATTCTCCCTGGAGGGCTGAAATCGAACCCGCACTGCAGAGGCTGTGGACAGCTTCACAGTGCTGCGCTCAACCTGCTGGGCCACCAGGGAGCACCCCCCCATCTTCTGTCTGTGTTCTATATCAGAGCCCAATAGTCTTGACACCTGTTTTTGTATGGTCTACAAAGTAGGAATGGTTTTATAAGCAGTTAAAAAAAAATCAAAAGAATACTTGATGACACAATTAATTATATGAAATTAAAATTTCAGTGTTAATTAATAAGATTTTCTTAAAAGACAGCCATGCTTATTTATGTATTGTCTGTGGTACTTTCACACTATTACAGCAGAATTGAGTAGTTGCAATAGAGATCAAATGACCCACAAAGCCTAAAATATTCACTTTATGAGCTTTTTTTTAAAAAAGATTTTTTTATTGAAGTAGCATTCTTTATAATATTACATAGGTTTCAGGTGTATATGGCCTCTCATAGAAATAGTTTTTCAACCTGTGAATAATACAACAGCCAATTTTATCCTTTATCTTTTTTTTTTTTAAGTGGATACCTATTAATATCCGCTTCCTACTTAACTCCCATTGCCCTTGGAATAAAATCTAAAATTTTATATAGGAACTCTGTGATCTGGCCCTAGCTGACTACCATTCCTGCTTGCTTTTTATTTTTTTCTATTAAGTCATTAAACAGTTGTTTTGCCTAGTTCTTTCCCACACCGAGTTCTAACTGAAACTTGTTGATAAAAATCAAGTCCATCCTTTCACATTCCTATAACATCTTGATTTCTCCTTTACAACATTCATTATAATTATAATTCTTTGTTCTTTCTGTTCTCCTTGGCTGACTATAAACACCTTGAGGATAAAGACCATGTCTACTTTGTTCATTGTTGTATATCCCGTGACAAACTCAGTATTTATTGGACAGCTGGTTTGGCATACATCTCAGTTTACCCAATACAGTCTGGGACTGTCTGTGTTTAAGCCTCTGTCAATACAAATATAAATAATGCCTGCTTTATTCTTAAATGTATGCCAGTTTGGACAATAAGGGTCATACAACACATAGCCAACATTCAATAAATATTTTTGAAATCATTCAATTTAGTTGGATAGCAATGATTTAGACTTCACATAATCATTATGCTTAATTAAGAAGACATTTTCAGTTTTCTGCTCAAGGAAAATCAAAGGATGGAGAAAAGACAGGCAAGAATTTAAGTGCAGAAATGTATTAAGGATATGTGCTAAGTTCGTTGTTTATTAAACTCAATTTCTTAAACATAAACATGCCATGAGAAGAAATATTTAACTTGAAACACTAAACTATTTCCAAAGAAATGTTATTTTCCTTCTATTAAAATTACTAAGAAAATAGGCTATAGATGTAAAGTTATTATTAGTTTCTAGAGTTAAAATGTAAAAGGTTTTTGATTAGAGATCAATCTTTAATATTAATACATTCATGTTCTTGGTGGTTTTATCATATGTTTGCATTTACGACAACTGATAACCGCTAGCATAGGCTTTCAGAGTTATTCCTAAACAGCAGGAGGCTGTATATGTCCAGACATAGGGATGAGGTGGTGACAGGTGACAGGTATGTTCTCAATCTATATGGACCCAACCTTTATAAATTCTTAGGCATGTCATTCTAGCTCCTATTCTGGGAAGAATGGTAGAAAAGTATCCTATTCCTCAGGGAGGTTGGGGAGAAATGATTTAAAATGATTGCTTGATGTCAGTCTAAAGGTGTTTGGGACAGGCTTAAGCCATGTACTTAGGACTTAGGACTGAAAAGCAAAGTCATGTGGCAGACTTTGATAACTAGAGAAATGTACAGGGTTGGTACAGAGATGAATCACCAGGCCCCACCAGGAACCACACTAAATTGTCCCTTAAAACTGTCTACCTTTGCTCCTATTCCATGCTTGTCATTCAACTTTCTGATTACTAATCTGGTTTCCAAGGAATTCAGGCATTTTATCTTTCAGGTAGAATGAAAGATTTCTGATGCCTGGAGAAGACTTTCCCAACACTATGCATTAATATATTTACCACTCAGCAGTACATAAAGTTCAGGAGTGTGACTTACATCAGCTATTCTGAGCACAGCTCTAGAATGATGGCAGTGCTGAGGCTGTACACCACAGTGTACTTCTTCAATTTGAATGAGTGGTTTTCTCCAATGTCACTTTGATCCTATAGTCTGCTATTGTATAAAATGATTAGCTTTTAGCTAGGATTGATCCTTACAGTTCATCAAGTAACATCTGATAGTACCTTACTAAATTAAATGGAACAATTAAATAGGAATTAGGGCAAGTTTTGATTTTCTCATTAGGAGAAAACATTTCTTCTGGGGAAAACTTGAAACTGTTGTATTTATTATAGTCTAGGTCTTCGCCAGGAAATTATTCTGATTAAGGTCAAAAATATTTTTAAAGGAAACATTTATTGAGTAATCAAGATATAAACTTTTCAATGATGAAAGATATGCTGAGTGTTTATTGGAATTGCTTCATCTGAATAACTCACACTTCTTGCTATTTCATGACATTGCATATAACAATACTCAAGAAATAAAGTCTTTCATAATTATAAAGGGTTAATACAGGAGTCAGATGGAGGTGCTGCTTCTACATCAGAAGTGGTATATGAAGAAGTAAAATGACATTGCCAGAATTAAATGAAAAATTTTGACATGGAGAAGAAAATTTAACCCTTAATATATTTAATATTTTAAATAAGATTAAAATAATATTGCAATAGGCATTACATAATTGAGCATAAGCAACATATTTCCATTTGCATTTTATTGTTTCTAATCTGTGGGTAGAACAGAAGAAATTGATGACTGTCCCTTTAATAAAGCCCTGTTTACCTAACCTCTTCTAGTAGGAGGGGCTTAGGAACCTGTAGAGTGAGGTATAACTTACAATTCTGCTTTCTGACCTGCTACCTTGGAAAGGGTGCTGATACTACAGACCAGGAAGTGACAAAACATGTGCTCTAAACTACAATAGAACTTGTCTTTTATAAGGAAGAACTTCTCATGAAAAAAATCAGGACATTGGAGAAATAATTTTACATAGTTGTCATTCAACATTTGGAGTGATATTACAGATAAGGGTGTTGCAGCATACTTAGAATACAAAGCTTTCTGGGCCAGAAATTGATCTTCTGACTTTTGAGCCTTATCTGATTGCTACCTGGTTCTGTATATTGTTAAAGTACTCTGTAGGCTGAAACTGGGAGACTGCATTTTTAGCAGGTAGGTGGTCAGCTTTTGTTTAAAATTTAGGTTGTTTTTTTAAGGTTACTTAATCCTTTCTGTGGCTGATTTATGAATTGTGACTATTAGCTTGGGTGTAAGTTTTAATGTTTGAATGTTCAGCATGGCTGTACATAACCACACTTCTTGTGACATCTAATCAACTTTGTAGAAGTCATTTTTAACAAATTAGCACAATAAGATGATAAATTAATTGAGTTCCTGTTTTATTTTCCATTAACCATATATTTTTAATAGATAAAAAAGTATATTGAAATTGTCCTGCAATTTGTTTCCTGATAGTACATAATAATATATTTTAAATATTTATTTCTATAGGCAAATAAAATTGTATTTGCTTATTTTCATTTCTCTCACTATTAGGAAGCAAAGTATTTATTATTGCTCTAATCTATTTTGGGGGTAGTTTGATGTCCCTTATTTTTAAGAAGTTTTTATAAAAGATTAATCTTCCACAAATTTATTGTAATATTACTTGTTTCTCTTTACAAGGGTAGTGATCCATTTATGGCTCAGTGTATTTTAAAGATAAAGTCTTTGGAAGATTGAGTTCATTATTAGAACTAACTACTATTGTGGTGTACCTGTTAGGGTCAAGGGCAGTGGTCGCTGACCACTTAACTCTTAACTACTAGGGATATTTTTTATTTTTCTTTATGGACACTATGCTTAAGAAGATTTTGTTCTCTAAATAAGTGGTGTATAGTAAATAATAAACTCTTGGAATGTTATTGTTTATTAGATGTATATTATTTTCAATGGGAGTTTCTTTTCAGGCTGAGGTTAATATAATTCACTGCACTGTAGGTTAATATAATTCAACACCAAACAGAGAGATCAGACATTTTACTTAGCTTGAATAGTTTTATTTTAGACAACTGTTTGGATATTTTTGATTTATTAAAATCTAATAATAATATCTGAATTTTCTTCAGTTACTCTTGCGGGATCCTGGTGACCCAAGCACAGTAAATTGGAAACTAGCAGTCTGAATTGCAGGAATTTTGCTTTTAATCTTGTTGAGGATCCATGAAATGTAATGAAGGCTCTCTAGTGCAATGTAATAAACAAAGGTACCATAGCTACTGGACAGAGGGAGGAACCAAGGAAAAAGAAAAAAGGAAGCGGAATTTGTTGTAGGAAATTCTGGGGAGGAATTCAAGGCATCTGAATGTTTTGGCTCCATTAAATCCCTCTGTACCCCCAAATTCATTTTTTTACTCTGATTAGACTGATAAACTATTCACTGACTTAAAAAAACAAATACCATGTATGTTCTTGCTGTATTAATTCTGTATTTTTATGTTAATTTCCCTCTTCCAGTGTTTTCTCATTTCCCCATTCATGTCCTTCCTTCAGTTCAGCTGAATGTTGTCTATGTGAAGCCTTATTTGATCAGCCTAATCCACGGTACTATTTCCTTGTACTTTCCTATCATGTTGATTCTACCGATTCTACCAGTACTTTAATACATAATAATAATATAGCTTGTCATATCGGACATTCCCTAAAAATCGTCCATGTTTCTTAAACTATATCAGTTGTTTGAGAGCAAGGAGCTATGATGGGTAATCATTTTTGTCCTCAATAGCATCTAATGCATTCATGCAAATTTGGTTGGTTCTAAATAATTAGCTGTTGAATGAGTAAGAGAATCTTGCCAAAAATTGCTACAAGTATTATGCTGCCTTCCTCTGCCTTGCTTAATTATGTAATTAACCATCTATATTTATTTTGAAATCAGACCACTGGATATCATAATATCACTATTATTTTTTTTCTTGCTATGTGTTACGCACTTTTTTCATATTAGATTACTTTAACATTTGATATGATACTTAGAATAGCTGGACTTTATTAAAAATGAATCAAAGATGATATTCTGAATTCTAGTCTCTTGCATTTTGTATTTTAGGAAAATATATTTAAAGTTTGTTGACATATAAGGGTTTGAAAGTGGTTAAAATAATCAGATACTTTATGGATTAACATGATGGGTTCTGAATTGGTGATTAGAACTCTGAATGGTGATTTGTGATAGACCGGTTGGATCGCAGAATTTAAATTATAGGTTAGTAACTGCCAGACACTATGAACAAATTATTTTATAAAAAAAAATGAAAATACCTTACCTCCCATTTAAAGTAGTCACTATATTATATAGTTTAAAATCATCATTTTATCTATTGCCAGTGTCAACTATGTCAGGTAAGTTTTATTAACCCAGTTTTTATAAACACAAAGAAAACAGGTCTGGAAAGATCAAATAGCTACCAAAGTCACACATCTCATTGTGGCATACCAAGCCGTTTTGATGTCAGAGTCCATGTTTTGAATCACTATCTTATACTATTTTAAATTCGCTAATAGTGTAATTTTTCTGTAATCTTAGAACTTGACCAAACAAGAATTCTGGCAGCTGCTCCAGCAGAACTATGGCACTGAGCTTGGCTTAAATGCTGAAGAGATGGAGAACTTATCCCCGTCTATAGAGGATCATGTGCAGCCAAGGTACAGCAGAATGTTGTGAAATATGAAACTTAATTAAATACTAATCAAAGTAGAATTATCTTAAACTCTCCTAATTCAGAATTTCTGGGTGAAATTTACCCCTTTTTGTTTGTGGTGGAATAGAGTGCAAGGTCAGGACAGAGAAGAGTTTGCTGAATTGGTAATCAAATACAGGGCATATAATAAAATGTATACTTTGTAGCTTTTGTCACCCAGGATTGTTTAAAGTGTGGTTTTAGCAAACTTTTAAATTAAGGAATTGGAGATTTCTTTTTTAAATTTCTTTTTTTAATTAATTTTTAATTTTTTTACATCATTGTTCATTTTTAAACAATATTTGCTTCCCCCCACCCCCTCAGGTGTAGTCCCCATGGAGTTTCCTTCACCAATGCACCTGTGCACCATCACCTCAGTCCCCTGTGCTCCTCCCTCCCTCCCTCTGATCCCTCTCCTGCCACCTCCCCTGCAGTATGTCTCTGATTCATAATTGTCTGATTTTGCATTGTTGTGTTTTGTACTGTTATTATTTGTTTACACTGATGTCTTATTTGGTTCCACTATATTCCTGCTATAAGTGAAACCATCCGATATTTTTCTTTTTCCTTCTGGCTTATTTTACTGAGCATAATTCCTTCTAGCGCCATCCACGTTGCTGTGAATGGCATGATTCTATCTTTTTTGATTGATGAATAATATTCCCTTGTGTATATATACCACATCTTCTTGATCCAGTCATATATTTTTGGGCATTTGGGTTGTTTCCAGGTTTTACCTATTATAGATAGTGCTGCAGTAAACATAAGGGTGCAGGTACTCTTTTGAATCAATGTTTTTGTGTCCTTTGGGTAGATCCCTAAGAGTGGAATTTCCGGGTCATATGTAGCTCCATTTTTAGTAGACTGAGGAACCTCCAGACAGCTTTCCATAGTGGTTGGACCAATTTGCACTCCCACCAGCAATGTAGAAGAGTTCCTTTTTCACTACATCCTCGCCAACATTTGTTGTTACTTGTTTGGTTTTTTTTTTTTTTTTTTTTTTTTTTTGATATGTGCCATTCTTACTAGTGTAAGGTGGTATCTCAATGTGGTTTTGATTTGCATTTTCCTGATTATAAAGGATGTTGAACATTTTTTCATATGCCTGTTGGCCATTTGCATTTCCTCTTTGGAGAAATGTCTTTTAAGTTCTTCTGCCCATTTCTTGACGGGATTTTTTATTTTGTTTTTGTTGAATCATGTGAGTTCTTTGCATATCTTTGTGATCAGTCCCTTATCAGTTGACTGGAGTGCAAAGATTTTTTTCCCAAACAGTGGGGTGTCTCTCTGTTTTGCTTAATGTCTCTTTTGCTGTACAGAAGCTTTTCAGTTTGATATTATCCCAGCTGTTTATCTCTTCCTTCACTTTCTTTGCTTTGGGTGCTGAATCTTTAAAGATGTCACTGAGATGTATGTCTTGTAGTGTTACGGTTTCAGGTCTTATGTCCAGTTCTCTTATCCATTTTGAGTTGATTTTTGTGCTCAGTGAGAGGTAGTGGTCTAGTTTCATTTTTTTGCACGCGATGGTCCAGTTTTCCCAACACCATTTATTGAACAAATTGTACGTGAGTAACTGGAGATTTCTAGTGAAATCTCTGTGTTACAAATATATGATTCAGTAAAAGTAAATTGGTAGGTAGTTTGAGACATACAAGGCAATGACTGTTCCTCAAGGTTACTCTAGCACAGTGCTTGGCCTGTAGTTGGCACGCAATAAATATTAGATACATTAATGAAAGGAGCTTATAGTACTGTGGGAAATGCAAATAATTGTAATTTGAGTTTGAAAATGATAGGGAGGAAAGGGGGCAATAGATATAAATGTGATAAAGAATTTCTAAGTAAAAAGAGATTCTCTTTGACTCAGGGGAATGCATTTAGAAGAGGGCACATTTTTATTAATCTGTACAAGTAAAAATACATTTTATCCGGTGGCAACTGACAACTAAGGTTAATACATTAATATTCTATAGCAAGCAGGCTAAATGAAAGAAGTCAATGACTAAAGACCATGTATCGTATGATTCCATATACATAAAGCGGAGTCCAGAATCAATAAATCCACAGAAACAGAAAGATGATGAATAGGTGGCAGGGCCTGGGAAGAAGGGAGAATGGGGAGTGAGTGCAAATGGGTAACTTTTGGGGGTGAAGAAAGTGTTCTAAAATTAGTTAGTGGTGATGGCTGCCAACTCTGTAAAATGCTGTATCGTACTCTTTAAATGGGGTGATTTTATGCTCTGTGAATTATATCTTAATAAAATTCTTATTTAAAAATTTTATAGCAAATTTTTAAATGGAAATCTTTCAAAAGTCTCATTGGGGATACAAAAATTTTACACTATCTAGGAAGTCTTCTAGTTAGGCTGACCCTATTTACATTGTTTCAGCTTACATCAATATTTTATAGTCTTTTGTTTTTACTTGGTTGCACATGCATATTTTATTAGTTTTCTGTAAAGTTAAAAAATTTCCACAGCACTTCTCTCCTTGTAAAGTTTTCCAACATCTCTCTAGGTACAGGTACTGAGTAGAAAGGCAGTTGATAAAATGCAAAGAACCTTGGATTGTGGTAAAGAAGATCTGGATTCTAGTCTGAACTTTACCACTGAGTAGCTTAACAACCTCAAGCATACCTTTTAGCCATTTCGATCCTTTGTTTACTGAAAGGAGGTAATTAAACTAGATAACCTCCAAGGTCCTTGCTAACTTGAAAAGTTTCTAGTCTTTGAAGAAGGAAAGAATAAATGTTTTTGGCCATCTGCTTTAATACGAAGTTTCACATTTTTGAGGTCATCTGCAAATCTTCTATTTTCTTCTGGTGAGTGAGTGCTGTCCAAGAAAACATGTGGGAGGATCCTTATTTCCTCTTCTATGCCTTTTACCCATTCTTCTAATTTCTGAAAGAAGCATTATCTGTCTCAAATCTTGGTTTCTTTAGCACTTGTCTTTGTTTCTTCATTTCAGTGTCTCTGCCACGCTTCCTCCTCCTTTTTTCTTTCTTTATTTCTCCACAACGCATCTCCTTCCAAAAAATCCTCAAGTGCAGACACTCAGCTCTTGGGCTGGTCTCAAGGAACCCTTCCGTGGACCTATATATTATTTGGGTGGAGCAGAATGGGGTTGAAAGGCCCTTTAGTTTTTCACTTCATTCCTGAGGATAATATGGTCTACCATGTTGGGCTGCTACTTTATTTTAGAAGAGCTTTCAATCCGTATATATTAATGATTATATAGGAATCATAATTGCTCAGTGAAGTTGAACGCTGGAAAGTGGATCAGTTGAACTTCTTTTATATTGAATAGACTTTCCCTTCTTGCTCCCTGAAAGAGGACAAGCAGCTCCCAGTACATTTACTGTTGTCTTGTCCTTGTGAACATTTGAAAGCTGTTCTTTAAGACTTGTTCTTAAGAATGAGAGCAGCAAGGAAGGGGTCATGGATTCTACTTAGACATGAGGAACTTCCCCTTCTGAGAGGTATCCATCATCTCAGTTGGGACTGAATCAGAAGGAAGGTGCAGTTCAAACACCCTGCACCTTTCAAAGCTTTGTGGTTGTCCATATTGAAACTTATTTAATTTTTTTAAATGGAGATGAAATATTTATTTTCTCAAGGTTAAAACTCACAAAATCATGTTTATACAAACAGGAAAGCTAAAAAATTTAACAAAAATTGTTTTAAAATTTTAGGCAATTATTTCCTAAAATTCTTTATAGACCTTCTTTCTTTTTTTTTTTTTTTTTGTTTTTAAAGATTTATTTTTTATTTATTTATACAAGCACTGGGTACAGTCAGAAGCGCGGGAGGGTGAGAGAATTCACCAGAGTCAGAGCAGGGAGCAGAACAGGCAGAAGGACTGAAGTACACTGCTGAGGGGAGCAGCGGGCGGCAGGAGAGGTCTGTGCGCCATGTGGGACCCTCCTCTGGTGGCCGGGGAGCAGCCGGGGATCGAACCGGTGCTGCAGAGGCTGCGGGCAGCTTCGCAACCCAGCGCTCAACCGCTGCGCCACCGGGGAGGCCCATAGACCTTATTTCTTAATGTATTTCCAATTTTCCACCATTGAAATATTCTAAGGTAGAGCAGATATTTACATACTAAAACAATGAGCCCTATTCATTTAAAATTCACTTACTTGGGTTGATATAGTTATCCTTTGAATCAGCAAGTTACGTACTAAAAATGCTTACATTTAGTTAGTCCAGAGGGACTAATCAGGCTAATAACAATTTTTTGTTTTTAATTTTATTTTACCTTTTAGTTAAAGAAATTACTGAAGATTGGCTCAAAACATTATATTGTTTTTAGATGTATAATAGCATGTATAATTCAACATCTATAAACACTATATGATTGCCACCAAAAGTCTAGTTTCTATCCATCACTATACAGTTGATCTCCTTTATGCAATTTATCCATTCCTTTATATCTTTTCCCTCTGGTAATCATCCCTTTGTTCTTAAATTCTAAGAGTCTGCTGTTGTTTTGTTTGTTCTTTCATATAAGTGAAATTTAAATGGGCAATATCCATTTTATGGTTGAGGTTATGGCCACATATATTTGGTTAATTTTTTAATGGTTTCTGAAATTCATAAAATCTCATATGAACACATCTTATTTTTGGAAATAGTCAGTTTGCATGTGATTAAGAAAGTTAGCCATGTTATAGGTAGAGGTTTTTTGGTAAATATTACAAATATCCATTTGTTCTTAAACTGTTTTGCAATGAAAAGCATCATAGTAAGAAGACCAAATCACTTATTTGTATGGAAGTCACCTAATTTGTGTTTCTATAACAATATGTTTCTTACAGAAGTCCAGGAAGAAACAGCTTGGATGACTTGGGAGAGCAGGATGAAAAATTAGCCAAGTCAATCAGTTTTACCCGTGAATCAGTTAGTCGGGTTTCAGAAATGGATTCTGCCGATGGACATTCACCCAAGGGGGTTAGTGTATCATATCCCTTTTAAAATATATCTGATGCTACTATGTATTAAGAGTAAATAAAATAAAATATAATATACAAAATGTTTAAAAAACATAAGATGTTTTAGGCTGCTCCTTTATTTTAGGTGAAGAGTGTTAGCCTATAAGTAGAAGAGTTTATGTAGTTAGATATGGTTCAGTGCTATGAGACATTTCCCTTTAACAGACATCATTAAAGGGGATAGACATCATTAAATATATAATAAGATGCAATAATTCACAGTAGGAGAATTTTTCCAAAATAAGTGATTTGTGTGGTGGAAAGAATCTATATTCAAGGGGGAGATAGGTGAGACTCCTGTTTAGTATGCTTGACTAACATAGATACTTTTTTTTTTAAAATTTATTTATTTATTTATACAAGCACTGGGTACAGTCAGAAGCGCGGGAGGGTGAGAGAATTCACCAGAGCCAGAGTGGGGAGCAGAGCAGGCAGAAGGACCGAAGTACACTGCTGAGGGGAGCAGCAGGTGGCAGGAGAGGTCTGCGCACCATGTGGGACCCTCCTCCAGAGGCCAGGGAGCAGCCGGGGATCGAACTGGCGCTGCAGAGGCTGCGGGCAGCTTCGCAACCCAGCGCTCAACCGCTGCGCCACCAGGGAGGGCCCTAACATAGATACTTTTTAAAAACTTACTGCTAAAGTAAGCGCATACTGTTAATTACTGGGCTTCAGAGTGAGTTACTTAGCTAATGTCTTCCTTTATTTTTTTCAGTATCATTATGAGCCCATTAGGTTTTTTTTTTTTTTTTTTTAATGTCAATAAGTTATCTGTCACTGGGAATCATTCTTTTTTTTTAATTCTCAGGTTTGTCCCTTCTACCAACAGGAGCTTCGTTAGGTTGGTTCCTTGTCCTTTTGAAATAATGAATAATCTTTGATAGCTTCCTTTTTTTCTGGTATGACAGTGTGTCCCAGGCACATTTTATACACTTTTTGTCTTGCATTTTAGTATCAGACATTTTCCTAGAAAACCATTGTTCTTAGTGAAGAGTGGTGTAGAGACCTTATTGTGAGGGCCAAGACTGCTTCTGCTGCAAAGTGTTTGTGCTGCTGATTGGATGCAAGTTTGGGACTTTGTTTTCTCAACCATAAGATGAGGATAATAATTCTCCACAGGATTTTTAATAAGCATTAAATGAACTAATAAAGATGAAAGTACTTAGAGCAGTCCCTACCATGATTAAGTGTGCGATAACCACAAGCTATTATAATTGAAAGTGAGTCTGTGTGTGGCCAGCAGCGAACCTTTTCTATCTCCTTTCATGGAGCAACTCACACCTCCATGCTGGGATGGAAATACTGAAATATTTATGTGAAAGGCCACCAAGTTATCAGCTTGTTTGGATAAACATCATGCATCCTGCACTATGATTCTGTTATGCTTTTCTTGTAAAACTTATTCATCTAGAGACACTTAGGAATGTACTACAGGTGCAAGAGAGGTGATTCTGGATGCTGATTTTTTTTTTAAGTTCTCACTGAGAAGACAGAACCACACTATGAGAAGGTAATAAAATTGGGAACTGTTTTCGTCTCCTTATCTTTTTTTGCAAATATCTGGTATTGAGGACTGGGTTCTCAGAACTACTAATTTTACTTGTGTATTTCTTACAGTGTCCTTGAAAATGTATTGATATTTTGTACCTGCTCTTGAAGTAGTTAATCTGTTGGTCCTTGCTTCTTATTTTGTCCCTAAATAAGGTTACTACATTTTCTCTGAAGAAAGGGAATGGAATGTAGATGAATGATGTAATGTTTTAAGACTCATTAATGTTTAGTATAGATGTTTTTAGGTTATAAAATGCAAGTAATATAGAAATTTAGTCCTTTTTTTCCCTTCTGTAATCAAGAGAGATGTGGTGACATTTTCAGATGTTAACAAATATCATATGTCACTTTGTTTCAACTTTACTTCTAACAAAGTTAGAAATAGTAAAAAGTCAGAAAAAACATTTTTCAAAGGTGATAATTTTTTTAAAATTTGAAATTAGTATTCATTGTAAAAAATCAGGAAATACAGAAAGTATACAAAGAAATAAAAATTGACAAGATGCCAACCCCTCAAAGATAGTGAATGTTGGTATAACTTCATAATAGGAGTCATGTCTTCAGTAGAAACAAAGGAGCAACATGTGTGAAAGTTTACTCAGCATCTATTAAAGAATCCCTTAGTCAGCTAAATAAGATGTTGCTTTGTAATATAGAACTCCCATCAAGTCTTGATTTTAGCAGCACTTTCTGTGTAAACAATCAGCCCTCTACTGAGGATAGTATAACCCTTTAATAAACTGTGTCCTGTGTCTCATTTGTTACCTGCTTTCTGAGTAGCCAATGGAAACATGTATCCTCCCAGGAACTGCTTCTGCTGTTCAGTGCTGCTCAAAGGTCTCAGGGGGCAGGGTATGTAAGATTGTCTATATTCTTTGCTCTTTCATGTGCTTACATACAGACAATGCAAGAAGGTACCTTGCCCTATAGTTCATGTTTTTTTTTACGTTGTTTTGGTAAGCCTATTTACACTACTATTCTACTTGAATATTAACTTTGCAGTGGCATTCATACTCTTCACTTGATCTTAGCCAAAAGGCCAAGAAGCGATGACATTCATACTTTTTTTTTTAATTAAGATGTATTTTTATTTATTTACACAAGCACTGGGCACAGTCAGAAGTGCGGGAGGGTGAGAGAATTCACCAGAGCCAGAGCGGGGAGCAGAGCAGGCAGAAGGACCGAAGTACACTGCCGAGGGGAGCAGCGGGCGGCAGGAGAGGTCTGCGCGCCATGTGGGACCCTCCTCCGGTGGCTGGGGAGCAGCCGGGGATCGAACTGGCGCTGCAGAGGCTGCGGGCAGCTTCGCAACCCAGCGCTCAACCCCTGCGCCACTGGGGAGGCCCGCATTCATACTCTTAATGCCTAATATTAAAATACTTATAGAAACAACTTATCTTTAGTAAATTGTTCCCTGGAAGTATCTATGGCATCATATATTGAATACATTTTATTTATTTATAGATTTATCTTTATTTATTTATGCATACAAGAACTGGGGTACAGGCCAGAGGTGTGGGGGTGGTGAGAAGATTCACCAGACAGAGTAGGGAACAGAACAGGCAGACGACAGAAATACACTGCTGAGGGGAGCAGCGGGCGAGACAGGAGAGATCTGCTGCACCAGTGAATACATTTTAATGCCCAATTTATTTCCTTTAACAATCCCTTAGTCTCTTAACAGCAAAGCCATTTGTATTCTTATAAGTTGCTGTAAAATTGATTTTCCCTTTTAATCTTCTCTTTCAGTGTACTTTTATGTGACTTTTGTCTATTTTTCTTTCCCTTTCCCCTTTAGTTACTGGTCTTGAGAAATGGGTGAGTTCTTTTCCTTGAGATGATGGGAAGGTATTGTCTTGGGAAAATAACTGCCTTTGACTCCTCTCCCTTGTCCACTGCAGAGAACTGAGAGTTCCCTTATTTTTGTCCTCTACCCTTTTCCCTTCTGTGTAAGTGATTCACATGATGTTAAAACTAAGCTCTTTTTATATGGTGTTTTAAGATGTATATTTGTTGTTCATTATTATTGTGTAGAAGATGATCTTAAAATGGTCTATGGACTGAACTGAGTTCCTTGTGATGCAGACATAACATTTTCAGAGAGCAGCATTTCAAAGCATCTTTATTATTAAAGATCTCACTGTAAAATGTAAACCTATAATCTGTTTTCTAAACTAGATTTTTTTTTTTACTTTTAGGGATTTGGGAAAGAGGAACCCCAAAGTGAGAAACAGATCAAAAAGAGTCCTTTGCTAACTTCAGAAATGAGATTAAGTAGAGTGGTACCAAAATCACTGGACTTGAATAAAAATGAGTATCTTTCTCTGGATAAAAGTAGCACTTCAGATTCTGTTGATGAAGGTAAAGAATTTCCTATGAATTGCAATAAAATCTCAGTTATGTATTTTAAAGTTTATTATTTTATTAGGTATATGCAGATTGAGAATTTAGTTGCATTAGATATAGTTTTACTCGATAAAGAATCAAAAAAGGAATGGGAGTTAATAGAATATAGAGGAAGGAGCTTGCTTAGTCTAACCCATCTCTGCTTCCTTCATAAGTCTAGAATTTGAAAATCACATTGTATTTAGCTTTTAAAATTTCAAGCTTTAAGGCAATGGAGATGGAGCAATAGCAAAGGAAAAGCAAATCTTTTTTTTTAAGTTTTTTTTAAAGGTTTATTTATTTTTATACAAGAACTGGGGTACAGGCCAGAGATATGGGGGGTGAGAGGATTCACCAGCGACAGAGTGGGGAACAGAACAGGCAGACGGACCGAAGTACACTGCTGAGGGGAGCAGTGGGCGAGACTGGAGAGGTCTGTCCCGCCATGTGGGTTTCTCCCTGGCCGGCAGGGAATCGAACTCATGCTGCAGTGGCTGTGGATTGCTCCTAGGTTTAGTCTTTTTTTTTTTTTTTTAAGAAGGCCCGTTTATTTTTTTTTATTTATTATTTTTTTAAACATGTATTTATTTATACAAGCACTGGGTACAGTCAGAAGCGCGGGAGGGTGAGAGAATTCACCAGAGCCAGAGCGGGGAGCAGAGCAGGCAGAAGGACCGAAGCACACTGCTGAGGGGAGCAGCGGGCGGCAGGAGAGGTCTGCGCGCCATGTGGGACCCTCCTCTGATGTGGGACCCTCCTCTGGTGGCCGGGGAGCAGCCGGGGATCGAACCGGAGCTGCAGAGGCTGCAGGCAGCTTCGCAACCCAGCGCTCTACTGCTGCGCCACCGGGGAGGCCCTCCTAGGTTTAGTCTTAACCCCTGCGCCACCAAGGAACCCCAGAAAAGCAAATCTTAATAAAAATCTGCATGCGCACTCCATCAGGCAGTGTAAAATGTTCAAGTTTTATAGGTAGAATGACATTTGAATTCATCTAGCTTGCTCCTCATTTTACCAACAAGGAAATTAAAAGTTAGGAGGAGTAAATATAAATCATGCAGCTAATTAATGATAAAGAACTAGGATTAGTTATTAGGTTTCCATCCAATGTTCTTTTTTTATTTCCTCCCATACCTCTCACATTCTTTTTTCTTTTCTTCCTTTTTATAAAGAGATAGCTTAGCAAAGGCTACTCTAAGCCTATTTTATGTAAAATTATGAAAACAAGTGGTCTTGCCAGGAGTGTATTGTTAGATGACTAGTAATTATTAGGTATCTTCCAAAAGAGAATAAAGAAGACTCTCAAAAATTCTAGGAAGTAAATGATTTAATCAGTAAATGATTAAAACAATTGTTTACTCATTGGTATTACTCAGAAGAGAACTCAAATTTCATTTTGTATAGATTCAAGTTTTTGACTGTGGTTATATTTTAGAATAATGGGATGAGTTTTTGAAAGCAGAAACACAGATAGCTCATTGTAATTGCTCCTAAATTTAATTCTTTTTTACTGTAGTCAATTTCTTATTTTTTAAATTCCCATTTAATTTCCATTCACTTTTTTTTTTAAAGATTTATTTATTTATTTATACAAGCACTGGGTACAGTCAGAAGCGTGGGAGGGTGAGAGAATTCACCAGAGCCAGAGCGGGGAAGAGAACAGGCAGACTGGCAAAGTACACCGCTGAGGGGAGCAGCAGGTGGCAGGAGAGGTCTGCGTGCCATGTGGGACCCTCCTCCGGTGGCCGGGGATCGAACCGGTGCTGCAGAGGCCGCAGGCAGCTTCGCAGCCCAGCGCTCAACCAGTGTGCCACCAGGGGAGGCCCTAATTTCCATTCACTTTTGAAGGAACATTCTATAGTTGATATTTATTAGAAAGACCCAATGATAATATTTTGTGTAACATTGAAAAGCAATTTATTTGGCTTTAGAAAGTCAACAGAGATTAAGCCTAATTCTTTATATAATGATAAATAGAATCATGACCTAAAAGGTCTTCTGAATTTGAAAATTATTATATTCTGTACAATATTTGTCTTATGTTTTGTATTATAGTCTGTAATTCATGCATACATAAGGTCTTATATGGATTCAGCAAATAGCACCCCTTCTTTTTTTAAGATTTATTTATGCATATAAGAAATGGTTGTAGGCCAGAGGTGCAGGGGGAGGTGAGAGGATTCACCAGAGACAGAGTGGGGAGCAGAACAGGCAGATTTACTAAAATACACTGCTGAGGGAAGCAGTGGGTGAGAGGAGTTGTCTGTTGCACCAGGTGGGTAGCTCCCTGGCTGGGAATCAAACTCATGCCACAATGGATGGGGATATCTTGATAGTGCTGACTTTACCCCTGCTCCACCAGGGAGGCCCCAGCACCGCTTCTTGACCACCCCAAGTATAACCAAACTGAAAGAGAAAACAAATAGCAAGTAAAATAGAGGCCAAAATATCCCCTCTAATATTAATAGTGATGAAGTTGAGGATGTATGTAGGTATGTGTGAGAAACAAACAGGCTGCCAACTGAGCTACAAAGTCATATACTTTTCCTTATAGTCGCAGGCATTGCTGGACTTCCTCCTCCTCCTCTCTTGGGGAGCATCAGCTTCTGTGCGCACTGAGACCCCAGGAGAGAGGACAGAGATGTGCGATGAAGCTATGGAAGGAGTAGTTTTAGAATTGCTAACTAATATCTTTGTGAGAAACTTATTTATTAACCAGAGTATAGCACAACCTTGCAGTATCAAGTGAAGATACTGTTTTCCACTTAAGTGACTTCAGTCCTTATTTTCCATGCCTTCAACATGGATATGCTATTCATTGTAATGTGATTAAGTTTACTTGCGAGAAGCTTTGTTCCCTTAGGATTCCCTGTCTACCCATGTCCTGGTTGGTTTTAATTGTTTATTTAATTGTTAATTTGGGTGTAAAGGGTAAGTGAAACTTGTCACATTTACTAAGTGGATATTTTAAGAATTTTTTAAAATTGTGAGGTTATTGACATTGAAGTCAGATATAAACAGGGGGTAAAGATAAAGGATAGTGACTGTTTTCAAATTTCAGAAACAAGAACAATGCTAATGAATTTTTATTTTGCCTACGTTCCTACTAGTAGGGACATTACAGTGGGTTGCATTTATAGAACATGATTGTATTTGCTAGTCAGGTTGGACCTAGTTTGAGAATCCCTGTTGTCTTTTTACTGAAGTGAAAACCAAATCTATGAAAACCAAAGCTAAATTCAAGTCAAATCCAAATTAATCCATATCAAGTTTAAATCTAAAATCCAAAACCAAGACCAAGTCCATGAAAACCAAATTCATATCAGGTTAAACCTTGGTTTTGGAATAATGAAGTATATTTGATGAAAATTAAATCCATGAACTTAAAAATATAAATAAAATGTCACAAAAAGTTCTTAAAAATCATAAAGTACGTTATGAATATGGTTGTTGAGTTCTTTTGAAAAGATAGTTGAGAGGAAATTTTTTGAAAGGGTCATGTCCCAGAGTAACTGGATCCTATTCGTAGCTTATCATTCAAGCTTTGGAATACAGCAGGCATGAATTAGTTATTTCCTGCCTGGCTGACCTCTAATTTTAGGAAGATCTACTCTGGCACCCAGTGGCCAGATAGGTAAGTGATGCCAAAACAAGGATATTTCCCTTTTTTCTCACCTGCTCTTTTATAAGAATTATCCTTAAGAAGTTGTTTCATTAATGGTAATGTAACATTAAGTATGTTTCATAAATAATATTAAAACTCATATAATCTGTGTTCATATCTAGACATAAGGAATAAACATTTCTGTATTGCATATGGTCCTGATCACAGTTTACCCCTTGCTGGTATCCTTTTAAAGACTGACGTTACAGCAGTAAGAATTACATGTGATGTTCAGTCTTCTGTTTGCGGATATTTTCTTTAAGGTGTATGGATGACTTTTTTCTCTTATTAGATTATCATTACATGGTGAATCAAGTATTCCCATTGCTTCTCCCGTGGGTTTATCATATGTATAAAGTGGGTATTACAATGAATCTTTTTTATTTTCTGAAAGTTGTGAGATTATGAAGACACTTGAAGCCAGTGAACTGGAGAGACTTTGGAAAAGGTCAAAAAAAGTAAACACTTGTCAGAAATTTGGAAATTCATGTGGATTTAAAGGGAGCTAGGCAGATGGCATATTATTTTATTTCTCTTTTTAATGATTATTGTTTTTGTTATTATTGTAGTAACATTTATATGACTGTATATGACTTAGAAGAATAGGTTCACACCTCTTCAGATGTATGTCACCACATCACACCTACCACCAAGCATCCAAAGTCCTTACTACTAATAATAAACTTTGATACAAAATAATTCACAGAATAATCTACAGACCTGCTTTGTTTATCTCAAGGATTGTTGCTAATAGACTCCTCCTGCCCCTTATTACCTACTTGTCCTGTTTTGGGTAGGAGTTCAGAATATCTGAGAAGATACAGGGAGTTTCCTGTCAAATAAAGATGAGGTGACACTCTATCCACATGCACAAGTACAAGGAAATGATAGGCATGTTTTTGAGGATGTAATATTTCTGCAGCTGTCAGGATTGACTTTTACCCTACTCTACTGTGTCATAGTCTTGTGAAACATCTGCCTCAGGAAGTAGAACTGAGTGGAAACAGAGAAATTGGCCAAGGGCATGAGACACCTGAGCTGTATCATGATGACAGAGTTAAATTTAGTTTTATGTTGCTGGGATTAGAATTTGTTGTGGCAGGGTTCCCTTATCCTAGAATGGAAGCTAAGTCAGGCAAAGAATAAGCTGGGGGAAGGGTGCATAATAGCAAAATTGAAATCTGTAGTCTGTAGTTGACAGAGAAAGATGAATTCGAGGCAAAGCCATGAAGAAAAGAGAAATAGGAATCAGAATATCAAGTAGACCTCTTGGAAGGTCAGAGAAAAGCCGTTAAGCAGGCTGGCATGACAGGCAAGTAACTATAAGACAAACTAAAGAACTCTGACATAGTTATCTTAGGTTTTTTAAAATCAGATTTTACTGATTCATCATTTGTTTAAAAAATTAGATAGTTTCAGGAGTACAGCTTCACTCCTTGATGTGTGCAAATGCTTCACTCACTCACCCACCACCAAAGCACCATCATGTAACCCCTTCTGTCCTTTACGCCATCCCTCTCCCACTCTGGTAACCACCATATTTTTCAGTCTTAGGTTTTTGAACAACACTCTCAAATTGAACTTGGTTTTTCAGGGTGAAAGAAAAGCCTTCAATCTCAGTCAAGAAGACAACAGGTCACGATAAATTGTGTCCTTAGTTATTCAATTAAACTCCTAATCAGCTTTTTTAAAAATGCCTATTTAGTACAGTTTTCATGTATTCTCAAAATACTGTCAACATATGGTTTCAGTTTCAGTCATGTACATTTTCTTTTCATATTTATCTTTTACACTTTTCCTACCGTTCCCACTGGTAGGAAACTGATATGTTGGAAATAGTAATCTGCTTCTGGACTTACTGAGAAGTATTGCTTTCTTCATTTAAAATATCACTTAATAGGGCCTCCCCAGTGGCACAGCGGTTGAGTGCTGGGTTGCGAAGCTGCCGGCGGCCTCTGCAGCGCCGGTTCGATCCCCGGCTGCTCCCCGGCCACCTGAGGAGGGTCCCACATGGCGCGCAGACCTCTCCTGCCGCCCGCTGCTCCCCTCAGCAGTGTACTTCGGTCCTTCTGCCTGCTCTGCTCCCCACCCTGGCTCTGGTGAATTCTCTCACCCTCCCGCGCTTCTGACTGTACCCAGTGCTTGTATAAACAAAACAAACAAACAAATAAATAAATAAAACATGCCACTATTAAAAAAAAAAAAATATCACTTAATAGATTAATATGCATAGGGGAGACTTTAAAGTATCATGAATTTTATAAATAAATAATCAAAGGTGGAAACAGTTTATTTCATGTCCTTACTTCCTAAAACAAATTTGCATACAAAAGGTATTATTGTTCATTTCCAGTAGTGGTACCACAAATGGAACATTATATCTAATAAAGGAGTTTAGAAGAAACATAAAAATATTATATTAAAATACCTATGAGTATAATATTTTTCCTTCAAGGTGAATGAGAAGCCTACTTTTGAAAAATTACAATTTCTGGGCTCCTTAGAGAAATGGCTACTTTTGGGGCTGGGGTGGGGAATATAGAAAATGAAGCTGGAGCACCTTGTAGTATCAGAAAAAAAGAAGTGCTTTTTTTTTTTTTTTTAAGATTTATGTTATTTATTTATGCATACAAGAGCTGGGGTGTAGGCCAGAGATGCGGGGGTGGGGAGTTGGAGGTGAGAGGATTCACCAGAGACAAAGTGGGGAGCAGAACAGGCTGATTGAAATACACTGCTGAGGGGAGCAGCAGGCAAGAGAGGAGAGGTCTGCTGTACCATGTGGGTTAGCTCTCTGGCCAGGGATCGAATCCATGCTGCAGTGGCTGCTGATAACTTTATTATTTATTTATTTATTTTTAAAGAAGATTTATTTATTTATTTATACAAGCACTGGGTACAGTCAGAAGCACGGGAGGGTGAGAGAATTCACCAGAGCCAGAGTGGGGAGCAGAGCAGGCAGAAGGACCGAAGTACACTGGTGAGAGAAACAGCAGGCGGGAGGAGAGGTCCTCTGGTGGCTGGGGAGCAGCGGGGAATGGAACCGGGGAGCAGCGGGGAATCGAACCGGCGCTGCAGAGGCTGCGGGCAGCTTTGCAACCCAGCGCTCAACCGCTGCGCCACTGGGGAGGCCCACAGCTGCTGATAACTTCATAGTGCTGAGACTTTAAACCCCTTGTGCCACCAGGGAGGCCCCAAGAAAGAAGTGCTTTAAAAAATAAAGGAGGCTTATCAAAAGAACACAGAAGTCAACCTGAAATGATTCGTAATGACTAATTAAAAAAATAAAGAGAGCGAGAAAAAAAATAATACTGGATTATAACCTAAAGGATGAAATAACTATTCTGAGTCCAAACTGATGCAAATTGTTATATAAATACATAAACTGAGGAGAAAGCACAGATTTTCCTTACAGAGTTCCAAATAATATATGTAGCCACTCCTCTTTCCAAGAGGTGGAACTTAAGATTCCTCCCTTTGACTCTGGTCTGAACTTAGTGACTTATTTCTAACAGACAGAAGATGGAAAGAGGAAAGTAGTTATTTTACAGTCGAGAAACCTGCCAGATACCACCTTAACCAAGTGATGATGATTAACATCATCATATTTCATGCTCATATCCTGAACCCCCTGAGTTAGATGAGAAAGGGCACTTCACCTATACTTGTACCAGTTTGCTCATTTATATAACGGGGATGCAACTGCTGCTGTATATCTCACAGGATTGCTGCGAGGATAAGATGAGTTACTGCTTGTCAGGTGCTTATCACAATGTCTGACATATAGTAAACATCACATAAGCCTGGGCTATTTTATATAATGTTTCCAGGGAATATGAGAAAAGGTGAGCAGTTACTGCTTCATTTGCTGCAAGTAGTGTTCAACATCATTATCAGATACCCAGAAAAATGTAATATGCCACTGGGCATTATTTAGCTTTGAAGAATACTTTTCAGAAGTATTTCCTAATTTTTTTAATACGTGTATTAAGAATAGATGAGAATACAATGATACTGGTCTCAGGGGAGTCAGCTTTAAGTCCAGTTTCAAATGTTCAGGCTAGCAAGTTAATAATAGCAGCAGATATTAGAGTAAGTTAGTGAATTCAGTAGATGTTATGGCCATTCATGACTTAATCACTGAATGTGTGAGCATTCAGAAATAGGACCTGCTAGTTGCTGTGGTAGATGGCATCTCGTGTGTCTCATTGTTGCCCTTATTACTTTTGAAGTATTATTTTGAGTGGTATCATTCAAATTAAATATTGCTTTATCTTTTAGTTTTTGACAACTGAAATATTGATCACATATAGTATAATTAACTAAATATTATTGGGCATGTAGTTATACATAGTACTTATGTGTATAATAGTAACTCAGAGTTTTAATAATGTCCCGAGATGTGCTGATCATTGTAATGACATTTACAAACCATTTTGTGCCAAAGCAAGCATTTGAAATGATCTTTCCTTGGTTTCTTCCCTTTTACTTCTGTTTTTTCCCCCCACAGAAAATATTCCTGAGAAAGATCTTCATGGAAGACTTTATATCAACCGTGTTTTCCACATCAGTGCTGAGAGAATGTTTGAGTTGCTCTTTACCAGTTCCCGCTTTATGCAGAAATTTGCCAATTCTAGGAATATAATAGGTTGGTTATGAGTTCTTATCTAATATTGAATTTGGAAGAATCTTATTATTCTTAGAGGGTGGGACATTTATAAATTAATATATCTTGTCAGGGAAAAATTAGACAGGCTTTGATTTTACTTTGGTGACATATAAATTAATATTTAAATATTTTGGTACAATTCACATGCTAACAGTATAACTGTTCAATCAGTCAGATCCTACATACAATTAAGGCCCTTTGAAAATGAAAACTCTATTTGTTCATTAATGCAGCAGTTCAATTGAGTTGAACCCAGCTTTAAAGGGTTTCATTGTGGAACAGTTAGATGCTAGTAGACTGCTAATTGTCACAATCACTTTGCAAAATGGCTTGGCAATCTCTACTATAGCTAAACATATGCATTCTCTATGATTCAACAATTTACTAATAGATATATATCCTTACTAGTAGATATATATTCTTCAGAAATGGGAACATGTGCACTCTGAGTGACATGTACTGTAGTTTTCATAGCACCATTATCTACAGTGAGCCCAAAACTCAAAACAGCCTGGTCATCAGTAACAGAATGGATAAACATGTTGTATATGTTTACACAAGAGAATACTATATAGCAATAAAAAAGCAGACTGCTGCTCCTTATAACAATATGAATAACTTTCACAGACACAAAAGAATATATACTATGATTTCTTTATATATACTTCAAAAACAAGCAAAACATATTTGTAACCATAAAGGCAGTATAGTAATTGTTTTTGTAGATAGCTGGGTGGATAAAGACTATGAGGGATTTTCTGAGATACTGGTAAATTTCTCTCTTGCTGTGAGAATTTTTTCCCCATTTTTCCCATTTTTCCATGTGGTTTTTTTTTTTGTGTGTGTGAAAATTTAAGGAATTGCATAATTGGGATTGTAGTGTCTATGGTATACCTCAATGAAAATACTAAAAAAGGCTTTAGTTAGGAAATTAGTGACTCATAGATCATAAAAGATTTCATAGATTATGTATTAAAAGTTCTACTTTGGTAAATATCTCAAATTAGCTTATAGTTAGTTTGAAGCTGAACTTATCCTAATATTTCAAGATATTTTAAAGCTTTGAGAGCCTGTGGTTTAGCTTGCTATATAATATTGGAAAGCAGCAGCAGAGATTTATGCAACATGAATCATTTGATATAGTCAAAGAGAAAGTTATTCTATAGTCAATTCAAATGTAGTTTATAATCTAGACATTTTATTAACCACCAGATGTTATTCCTTTATTAGAAACTTTTATGTAAACATAATTATGTATTCAGAGATCACATCATTGGTATGGATTCATGTATAAAAATAGTTTTTCTTCTTCATAGTAAAGTAGCTAAGTAATTTCTAATTGACAGCAATTGTCTTATGATTATATTAAGGATAACATAGCTTTAAAAATATTTTTTTCCATTCTTCCAGTTTTAAAAATATGGACTATCTGAGGGATATAAATCTTCCTCTTCATTTATATTTAACCTGTTTTATCTATTCTGAATCAAATATTTTCTTGCAATTCGTATCTACTTGAAGAACTTGGTATGTCAGAAGCATTAGCTATATTATTTCTCTTAGGTTCTCAAATTTCACCGTAATTTTCTTTTTCTTTAAAGATTTACTTATTCATAGAAGAACTGGGGTGTAAGCCAGAGGTGCAGAGGGTGAGAGGATTCACTAGAGACAAAGTGGGGAGCAGAACAAGCAAACTGAGTGAAATACACTGCTAAGGGGAGCAGTGGGTGAGACAGGAGAGATCTGCTGTGCCATATGTGGGTTAGCTCCCTGGCCCAGGACTGAACTCAGGCTGCAGCTGTGATAGCATGAGAGCACTGAGATTTAACTGAGACTATACCACCAGGGTGACCCTCACCTTAATTTTCTAAGTTGATGCCTATTGATATTGCACTGCCTTTTTTATGGTTAAAAGGTCCACAAGGAACTAACATATTATTCCATTCTGGCACTAAATGAAAGTTTTTTTTTAGAATTGCAACTGCATTGGTGTGTCTCATATCATATTTGGTTTCAATATAGACGACAATATTTGCAATTTGATGTTATAAATGGCCTTGGGAAGCAAAAACTTACAGCTAATTCCAAACCTAAACAGTTATAGGCATCTTATCACTTAGACCTGGAATAGAAGGTTGATCCCAAAGGAGAGACTCTGCTTAGGATTGCACACCCCTCTGCTATCTTCTGGATTTTTACCTGGTAATCAAAGTTGTATTTCTTGAGAACTGGTTTTAAAAACTTTAAAAAACATCAAGTACTCTGTGAAAAACCTTTAATCAGTTATTGTGCATTTCATCTAACTTCTGCACTAAAGTACCTACTACTAGATCTAATTTTTTTCAATTAGGGAACTTTTAAATAAGTATTCTTTAAATTTTTGTCTACAGTTGTATGTGAAACTACTTTTGTAATTCAAAGCTGTTTTAAGTCTTTATTCAACATTTTAAATTTTAAAAAAGTGTACACATTCAGGAAATTTGCATGTGTAGTAAAATAAAACCCATCACCTTAATTTACCATTTTTATTTATTGTGGTAAAATTTATATAATATAAAATTTACCACTTAAACTATTATAAAATGCACAATTTAGTGGCATTAACAACATCCACATTGTGTAACCATCATCACCATCCATCTCCAGAACCTTTTTCATCTTTCCAGACTGAAACTCTGTACCTATTAAACAATGACTTCCCATTTCCCCACTCCCTAGCTCCTGAGAGCCATCATTCTACTTTCTGTTTCTATGAATTTACTGTAGGTACATGATTTCTCCACAAGCTGGGATCAACGTCATGTTGTTGCATAATGACAAGTGATGGGGGCTGTGTCACCTATAGGACATTTAGTTTTGCTTTTCTTTCATGTTAAACTTGTAGCATACAGTTATGAGTAAGTTAGGGCTTATCGGAAATTAACTTTAAAACAAGTCTACAGCTACCTCTTGGATTCTATTTTAAGTCATACTCTTCAAAAATCTAGAACTAATTCAGGTTATATTTTGCATGACTAGATGTAGTATCTACTCCTTGGAAAGTACAACCTGATGGTCATCAACTGAGGAACATGAACTACACTATTGTCCTTAATAATCCACTGACTGGAAAATGCACCTCTGTCAGTGAAAAGCAGGTATGTCTATTCTGTCAATATCCCAAAAGAATAGTCCCCAATTTACAAGAGTTTCAACAATTAAGTGGCAAGGAAGAAAAAAAAGGGCAGAGGGGAGAAACAGTTCTATGTTAAAGAGACTTAATCATGCTAATTAATCCAATCTGAAAGCAAACAAATTAATTTTTTATATGTCATTATGGTATTGTGGCTATGTTTTAGGAAAATATATTTTAAAGAGATATTCTGAGGATTTATAAGGAGATATACTGATGCATTTATGGATGAAATTATATTAATGTCTGGGATTTCCTTCAAAAGCCAGGCAGAGGTGGAAGGAAGGGATGTGGAGATGAGGTGAGGATGAAACAGGATTGGGCAGGAGTTAATGTTGTTGAAGTTGGTTTATGAACTTATGAGGACTCATTATACTTCCTTTCTCCTCTTGTGTGTGTTTCATAAGAAATGGTTTTAAAAAGATCTAGAATCTGATCTATAGGATCATATCAGAGGTTACGGCCAGATCACTAGGTGGTTGCTGTGATGTATGGGGAAGAGATTGTAAGATATTGAATATATGGCACTGTGGAGTTTGTGTCTGGCCAATTTGTGTTGGTGCATCTATTATGCAAATAGTTTGAAAATATCTATTAATGTCTGTACAAGTTATGCTGTTGTAGTTTTCATCGGTGTTAAAAAGTACTTAAATTTTAGATTTTCAAACATTTAAGAAAAGTTTGGTAATTTGATACCGGAGCATAATTTGACTCTGGAGCATCTATACATTAGAGGATAAGTAGAAAAGCTGTGATTATAATGAGAAAGGTTTTGCTAGCAACCACATCAGATCCTACTTAGGGAAAGCAGTGTTTTATTTGGTTGCCCTTTCCTTGACTTTTTTGGTGAAGTGGTGGTGTTGAATTTGGGGGTTGTAATCCTTGCTTTGGTCTATTGAACCTTGAATTCTTACCCCGTTTATAAAATAATAATATACACAAAAGATTATATGGTTCCTTTTTCTCCTTCATACCTAAAAGAAAGCAGTCATGCAGTTTTCTGACAGAGAGGCAGCAACTACTATTTCTGCTGGTCCCTTCTCATTTGTTAGCTAGCACTGCCAACATGGAGTCCTCTGGCTCTGTATATAGGTTTTTCATGTCTTTTGTACTTTGTCAGAAGGAATTCTAGCATGTTTGAAATTGGCAAGGAATTTGATATACTAAACATTTACATGCAATTTTTTTTCTTATTTTGGCAGACACTATATAAAGAAAGTCGGGCAACACAGTTTTATTTGGTAGATTCAGAAGTAATGACACATGATGTCCCCTACCACGATTACTTCTATACCCTGAACAGATACTATATCATCCGAGTTTCGAATCAGAAATGCCGGCTGAGGTGAGCTGCTTTAGTCAGGATAGGCTTGCATATACTCTGGTAACATATTAATTTTGAAATCTTTACTCATTAACACTATGGTGAAGGCTTTGATATCCTGGAACTGCACAATTCAGAATCTGTGTCGTTTCAGTTCACTCTGTGTGGTTGCTGCTGCAGGAAGAGAAAGATGTAGAATTGTGCTCACAGTGCAATAACCAGAACTGGCCACGTGACCCTGTTTAATGAGAGAGGGGGTTGGGAGTTCTTGGAGAACACATGGTGAGCAGTAAGCACTTGTGCTGTAATGGGAAATAAATGCTGGTGCATGAAAAACAGTGACGAGCCAGCGTACATTTGACCTAGGCTTAGCTCATGTGATTATTTTCAATTCGTGTCCACTAGAGATTTTTCTATACAAGACAGACAATTTAGAATTGATTTTGAAACTTTCTTGTTTAAGAAAATTCAGGGCTAGCAAAAGGAAAGAAATAAAATAAGAAGTTCTTGGAAGGTAATTCTGATGAAATTATCAGAGGCAACAATAGTGAATTTTTTGAGGACGTCTCTATAAGTTGACAAATTTTCTTTTATATTCAACATATTTTAATTCTTTTGGCTTTCCACTGACTACAGTTTTACATTTAATTGCAATGTTAATATGACTAAATTCTGTCCTTTAAAGATTAAATATTCTTCTTTCCTCCTTACCCAATTAGAGTTTCCACAGATTTGAAATACAAAAAACAACCATGGGCCCTTATCAAATCTTTGATTGAGAAGAATTCCTGGAGTTCATTGGAGGACTATTTCAAACAGCTTGGTTTGCAAATTTCTTCTCTTTTTATAAAGATCACATTTATTAGTAAAATAGATGGATACTTCATTTGAGTCACAATAGGAACTGGTAGATATTATTGGAATGACTCCCACTGAAGTGCTATGACTGCCCCAATTGGCATTTAGATTTTTAATTTTCATTGGTGTAACACTTACCTAATAATACTTATTACATTTCAGACATTGTTCTATGTATGTTATGTATGTCCACTCATTCCAACCCTGTGAGGTCATTATTTTTTGCTGTTTTACTAAAACAGAAATAAGAGAGGTTAAATGACTTGTCTAAGATCACCCAGTTAGGCGATGTCACACTCCCTTCCTCAGCAAGGATCCAAGATGGCTGACTACAGAGGCTACGATCATAACATTATCTTAACTTTATTGTACTTGCTAAGGTCTGCAGAGTTCTTGGGCCCACACCTCCCTTACCAGTGCACCTTTTCTGGGTTTATGCAGACCCACTTAGCAATGGTCTCATGTACAAGTATGGATTTGGTGGAAGAGGCTGGTAAACATAGGGAAATGATACTGTTGTCTTGTTTGGATATTTCTTAAAATATACATGAGGAAAAATATATACATAAACATAAGTAATTTTAGTTATAGAAAAGCTGGAGGTCAGTCAGCCCAGGGTAATTTGAAATTTGTTATTGAGTTGTTATTTTCCTTGCTTTTCTCTCTGGCTATTTTATTAGTAAACTCCCAATCAAAAGCAGAGAAAATGAAACTCAAAAATTAGTTTGGCTACTGGATAATGGGTTTCTTTTTTTTTTTTAAGATTCATTTTTTATTTATTTATGCATACAAGAACTGGGGTATAGGCCAGAGGTGTGTGGGGTGAAAGGATTCACCAGAGACAGAGTGGGGAGCAGAATAGGCAGATCTACTGAAATATACTGTTGAGAGGAGCAGCGGGCGAGACAGAAGAGGTCTGCTGTGCCATATGTGGGTTAGCTCCCTGGCTGGGGATCAAACTGAGACTTACCACCTACACCACCAGGGAGGCCCCTGGATAATGGGTTTCTAATAAAAAAAAAATCTGGTTAAGGAAAAGATTGAAACAAATGACAAAATAGGGATTTTAGGTTGTTTGCAAGTTTTATTAGACTTCCTTTTTTTGCAAACCCTCATTATAAATTAGAACTTGTTATATGCTATTCTTTTCTTTGAGATTTACAATCAAGTACCATAATCTATCTTGGAAATCTTTCTAATGATTCAGTGTAAGTGGGTAGCCTGTTGTTTCCATAACTGAAATCTTTTCATTAATATTTAATAGAGTACATGGCGAATTTGCTCTGATGATCCCATTACTTATTAATACAGTTCATTCTTCCTAGAATAATGAAACCTCATTATGGAATCCCTGTACTCTCCAAAACTTTTCATTAAGAGTAAAATTTGACTCTAGGCCATATGAACTTGAGTAATAGTTAAAGAAAGTTACCAAGGCTTCAAAACCCAAACTGAAAGCAAAATATCCAACCTCCCCCAACAATCTTACAGTTTAGAAAGTTTCTAGGGGGCCTCCCTGGTGGTGCAGTGGTTTGAGCACAGCACTGTGAAGCTGTCTGCAGCCTCTGCAGTGCGGGTTCGATTCCCACATGGAGCCGCAGACCTCTCCTGTCGCGCATGCTGCTCCTCTCAGCAGTGCTTTAGGTCTGTCTGCCTATTCTGCTCCCCACTCGGTGGGTCTCTGGTGAATCCTCTCACTCTCCTTCGCCTCTGGCCTGTACCCCAGCTTTTGTATAAATAAAAAAATAAATCTTAAAAAAAAAGTTTCTATGCTATGTATAGATTTGTTTTATTCTTCTTAGAATCAGATTTGTTAATGGAAGAATCTATATTAAGTCAGTCCATTGAAGACCCTGGAAAACTTAGTGGCCTACGGAGGAGAAGGCGAACATTCACCCGAACAGCAGAAACAAACCCTAAACTTTCTTCTCTGCGTTCTTCTGGAGATGTGGGCTTAGATGCCAAAGGGGATATTACAGGTAACTGTTAGCTGGTAAACAGGGTTGGAACATTTTATCAGTAATTACTTATATGAAGCAGAATACACTTCTTGTTGATGTCAGTTCTTAGGTGCTCTCCCTTGTCTTCCCTCCTTTTCTGAGGTTTCCAAACTCTGAGTTCCTTAAAGATAACTAGTATTTAAATATAAAGGAGCAATTGCAAAATGTTAGGCATATGGCCAACAGCAGTAGTTTACTAGGCCCAAATGATATTTTAAAATTGGATATATTTTATATAAAAACAGACCTGACAACCCTGGACCCAAATCCCTTCTTAGCAACTGTTGGCAGCTGGCTCCATTTGAGCCAGGGCTCCCAGGTCGCCAGTCCCGCCCCTGTTCCCTGCTCGAGGACTCCTCGCTCATACCTTTCCTGCTTAGCATTTAGAGACACTTGTCTACCCTTGAATGTAGTAATTATATGGTTTTAATCCTATGTACTGTCAAAGATGGAATTTGATGTTTATTATTCCGACTTTCAATTTTGAGGACATCTTGCCTCTATTAACTGTTATTCTCTCTTCTCAGTGCTGTAAAGCTGTCATACCTTCTCATCCTTCTACATTAGCAAATCCTCTTCTAAGGTTTACATCAGCATGAATATGCTTATCTACTGTTTAAATTTCATGTTTCTTTAATTTTGGCATTTAAAAGGTTGGGTGACAGAAAACAGGTAAGGATGATTAAAATTTTTTTTTAAGGAGGAAAGCGCTGTACCCTGTTCAAATATTGTTTGCAGAGTTGGAACTTAAGTAGAGAGCTTCTATGCTGTATTGAAATGCTTATTTAATTAATTCGTATTATAGGCCAAATTTGCAGGACTGATGTTTTTTATTGTAGATATCTTTCATATTACACAGGATATCAAAAACCAAAAATGAGGTGAGGGAGTTCAACCTAAATCACTTTGTCTTCACAAATAATTTCAAGAATTTTTTCTTCAGTTATTTTCAAATGAAATTAAATTTTTACCAGTTGTTATCACAGTCCTGATTCTGAAGCAGCCTCTTTTTTGTGTGTGTGATCTGCAGGAAAGAAAAAGGAAATGGGAACCTACAGCATCGCTCTTATTGTGGTGATGAGTATTTTGTAAGTGTTTGTTTTGGATTCTTATTTTATTTGTGTCTTCATTTATATTTTAACTCTCCAAGATGATTTAGTTTATTTACATATTACTGTATAGAAATTGCCACTGTTTGAACAATTTTGGCCTTCAAAACCAGTAATTTTATGTGCTTGTCTGATAGTTTTTGATGTATGATTTTCATAATTATTTAATTTGAAAGAACACTAAGTACATGTTCAATAAATGTTTTTTATTTTTAAAACTAATCTGGGAAGTTCTATACAAAGTGCTTAAGTTAGTTTACAGTGACATTTTTGAATAGAAAATATTATCAGTAATCTTTTCCCTTACTTTGCATAAAATTTATACTCAAATGTTGAAATGTTAATCTACATACCATTTCAATACCACAATAATTTCTTAGATTTGATTTTCTTGCTACTATCTTAGCTTTTGTTTTTTCTTCAAATTCTCTTCTGGACTAGTAAAGGTGAATACTATATATTTTTAAGGGTGTTTAAGTATTTTAATAGAAAAAAAGAGATATGTTGCTATCTATGTATTTGAGGAGATATATGTGTGATAAGATATATACATCCACTGGAAAACTGCTGTGAAAGTCAAAGGAGTAATAAGTTAATCTTGTATATAACATTTTATACATGGCACCATTAATATATATTTGGGATTTGATACTTTCTTTGTCTAAGGTGAACTAGAATTTTTGCTGAATAGGTATTTTTCCCCCATTGGGAATAAGAGGTACATCGTGATCTGTCTAAGATCAAGTCCATATTGATCTTCATTTCCTTTTCTGAAATGGAGCATTATGGGTATATAATTGCTTAGTCCCAAAGCACCCAAAAATAGATCTTGAAAGCTTAGCCGAGAGATTTCTAAGTTGGTGGTCGCACATCAACAATGACTGGGATTCCTAGCTTAGAGGCGAGCTCTCAGGAACAATTCCAACCTGCTTTATCTGAGGACTTCAGTGTTACTTTAGTTACCTTCACAATGTTCCACTTAATACTTAAAAGTAATTCTTTCATACAACAAAATAGGAATAAATGATTTAAATAACAATAACTGGAAACTGGTTTCAATAATACACATTCTGGAAACTTTTGCGTGTATATTCCGCATTAACAGTACCTCAGGTGTACATAAGAATGGATTAACCAGCTGTGATTTGCTCTGCCCAGTTTGCTGTTGCTAGTTTTGTTGAATGTGACACTGTTTCTGAAGCTGTCAAAGTTAGAATATGCTGCTCAATCCTTTTATCGTCTCCACCTCCAAGAAGAGAAGTCTTTAAAGTAAGTCCTTTTTTCAACCCTAACCTGTTTTACCATATTATTTCAATAATTCTTTAGCTGCAGAAAATTTCATTCCAGTTTGAGAGATTTTGGTTTGCTAACTATTCTATAGTCATCAATTTTTCAAATTTTTTATTTCCTGTGCAAATATATGGGGCCCTAAAAGATGAAAGATTAGAATCTATCCCCCTGATTCTTAAGATTTTTTTTTTCAGTTTAGTCTCTGATACGGTGTCAAGAGCAGAAAATATTGAAAACAACAGTGAACGGGCACATAGTTTAAAAGGAGTGCTCCGAGACTCCATTGTGATGCTGGAACAGGTAGGTGACTGGACCACAGGGCTCAGCACTTTCATACGGGTAGGAATCAGCTGCCCATCTGGTTGTGAGAGAATATCTACTCTAAACTATATCCACACCTCCTCTTAGGGGCAACTCAGCCTTACTAGTTTCTGTATTATGCACAGTTTACCTTTTTGGGTATGTTTGTTTACAATATGGAAATAAACTGTGGATACCACTGCACACCCTCCTTTTTCAATTAGTAATAATATATTTGGCAGATGTTTCCCCATCAGCCAGTATACATCTGCCACATTCTTTTTGTTGATCCTCCTAGATAAAATTGATGCTTAATATCAACTCTTTTAATGAAGAAATGTAAATACTGCATTTCTGTTCATTATTTTTATTTTATTTGTTGACTATAGATCTTAGAGGTGCTTCCTGCATCCTCATAGCCCTTGTTTTCCAATTTCTTGGTTAACTCTGCCCTCATTTGAACATTACATATTCTCTAGTGCCTTCCTGAGTAATGGTGTGGAGGTAAATATTTTAAGTATTTGCCTGTCTGAAATTTTTTTATTCTGTCCTCCCCCTTGATTAATAAATGTCTCTGGAGATAGAATTCTAGCTTGGAAATAATGTTTCTTCAGAATATTGAAGGTATTGTGCTATTGGCTCTAAGTTATTTTTGCTTCTGGTGTTACTATTGAGAATTCTGAGGCTGTTCCCATTCCTAATCCTTTAACCTGGAAATTCTGACCCTCTAGTTCTGGGAAATAATGATTTATACATGTCATGATTTCCTCCCCTCCATTTTTCCTGTTTTGACTTTCTACATTTATAATTCAGATGCCCACCTTCTACTGGACAGGTTGTCTCATCTTACCTTCTGTTTCCAACTTCCATCTCTTTGCTTTTTTGTTCTGCTTCCTCAGGGATTTCCTCAATTTAATCTTCAAATTCTTCCATTGAGTTTTTCAATTTTTGCTAACAAGTTTAATTTCAAAGAGATGTTATTTCTCTGAATTTTGCTTTTTTAAATGGCATTGTGCTCTTTTTAAATGACTATAATATCTTTTATTTATTTTTATTGTAGTAACATTGGTTTATAGAACAGCATATGATTTCAGGAAATGGGTTCACACTTTTTTGGATATATATCACAACACCACACCTACAATCAAGACACCCACAGTCCTTTGCCCTAGACCATTGCTCCTCCTCCCCAAACCCCCACCCCCACCTTTAATGACTATAATATCTTTAATCTCTGATCATGTCACTGAGAGTTAATTTTTTTGTTTGTTTTCTTCTTTCATACTCACTTTCCATCAAGATCCTTTCCCCACTTTGATTTCTGTCCTTAGGATTAGAGGATTTCGTTAGACATCTGTAATACATGACTGTGTTTCTGTAGATGTGAAGTTCTCAACATGTGGTTCTAATCTGACTCTGTAAATCTGGCTCAGCTGTTGCTTCAGAAATCCTGATACTAATATCGTTACGTCTTTCCTCTTGCATTGGTCATTTTTCATGGAGGACTCTTCCAGTCTCCTCTCTCTGAAAGATTAAGGGCTGGCTGCCAGCATTTTTGGAGTTCAATAAAAGAAGAGGGGTTGGAGAGGGCAGGGGGGATAATCTCAATGCACTTTTGCATAATCTCTGTTTTTGGTATGGGCACTGCTGTCCTTACTGATGTCTAATGTTCCCCCATATCACCCCCAGATAGCCAGAAAGCCTTTCTTCTTTCTAAAAAAGAAAGAAGAATATATTTGGCAGATGTTCCTTCTGTCTGGGCAGAAGGAAAGGTGAGGTGCCTATCTTAGTCCCTCTGTATTCCCACTTCCTACTGGCCATCATTCTCTGAGACTCTGGTTGGTTCTTAGCTTTCTCTGCTGTTTTAGCTTACGATACAGCTTTTTCAGACCTGCAAAACCATCTATCTGCTATCTAGTTTCCAAAGTTGTGCTGCTGTTGTAGCCTTTTCTGTCTACTTCCCTTGTGGATTTAGGCATTTAAAAAAATCTCTCTACTGTGTCTTTGGTGAGGTTTCAGGTGAGAGCAAATTGGATGCATACATTTAATCCACTCACTCAATCCCACCGATTCCTACCTTTCTCCCCTACCCCTCTCATTTTCCACTGATGTTGCTTGAGCTGAGGTCCCCAGTGACCTCTGGCTTTTAAAATTAATGTACCTTTTTTTAGTTTTCATCTTTCATTGTCAGCATTTGATAGAGCTGACCCCTCCTTTTTTGAAATGTATCTTGCCTTCATTTAAATCATGAAAAAAATCCCAGCATTATTGTAACTCACGTACTATAAAATTCACCCTCTTAAAGAATTTTTAGAATATTCACCATCACCACTAATTCCAGAGCATTTTCATCACCCAATAAAGAATGACTGTACCCAGTAGCAGCCACTCCCCACCCCTTACTCTCTCTCTGCTCCTGGCAATCACTAATCTATTTTTCATTTCTGTGGTTTGTCTTCTTCTAGAGATTTCATACAGGTGGAATCATATATTGTTACTGATTTCTTTCACTCTGCATAATTTACTTCTCTTCTGACTTGTTCCTGGCTCAGCGCTCCCAGCTGTGTTAGAGTCTTTACTTTACCTTCTTTACTTTCCCTTTTAGGTGGATTATATCTACTCTCCTAACTTTGCATACAAAACATACCAGTGACTCCTAAATTCATACCTTTCATCCTGATCTCTTCCCTGAGCTCCAGACTCATCTAGTCACTTGCCTACTTGCCCTCTTCACCTTGGTGCTAACACTTGCTGCTAACAGGTGTTCCAGACAGATTGTATCCAAAACAGTATATGCTTTTCATCCCAAGCCAAACTTAACTTTCCTCTAGTTGACCTTGTTTCAGAAATGGTTCTGTCATCCCCCAGTTACTCAAATCAAAAACTTCATACACTGTGTAAGTGTGTATTTATGTATGTGATTATCCATTTTAGTTCTGTAACCCTTACTAGTCTGTAAGCTCCATGAAGAGGGGAAAGTGCCTATTTGGCTCACCATTGTATACCCAGTGCTTAGCACTGTGCCTAGCAGGTAATAGGCAACCAAGAAATATTTGTTGAGTGAATGAGTACAAAAAGACTAAGAGATAATTCTTGCTCTCAAGTTGCTTATAATTTCACTAGAGAAATCAGATGTCCATGTGTATTATTTAAAGACTGTAAGAGTATAAAATTAGGGCCTCCCCTGGTGGTGCAGGCAGTTGAGTGCAGCGCTGTGAAGCTGTCCTCAGCCTCTGCAGCACCAGGTCTATCCCTGCCAGCTGGTAAGGAACCCACATGGCGCGGCAGAACTCTCCTGTCTCGCCCGCTGCTCCCCTCAGCAGTGTATTTCGTCTGCCTGCCTGTTCTGTTCCCCGCTCTGTCTCTGGTGAACCCTGTCACCCTCCCGCGCATCTGGCCTGTACCCTGGTTCTTGTATAAATAAATAAATAAATAAATAAATCTTTAAAAAAATAAATAAGTAATAAAAAAAGCTTTAAAAAAATACAAAATTAAGTGTCAACGGAAGTAGTAATGCTTTGGGAGTTCAGAGGCAGAATGGCTAGGGAAAACTACATGGACACATGGGGGATGGGTAAGTTTTAGATGAAGAGGAACATGAGTGTAATAGCAAGCAAAGCCCTGGTAGTGGAACTTGAGTTGTTCAGGAGATAGTGAGAACAATGCAACTTCAGAAACCACTTAAGAAAATAAGACTTTCACTTTGGATAATTTGACAAATGGACCCCCTGGGAAGTAGGATACATGGCAGTATGTTGTAGGAAGAAGTGCATTACAATAGCAGATGGGAGGATCTCTGTGGCAGCTATACTGAGAGATACCAGGGCTTTTATATATGCTGTTTTTTATTTGGGCATCGGTATAAACACAATTAATATTAAATATATTTGGAAACTTTTGGTATAAAAGTAATAAGAAAAGTTGAAACAATCTGATGTTGAAAATTAATTTTCTTTGCAGTTGAAGAGCTCACTCATCATGCTTCAGAGAACTTTTGATCTACTAAATAGGAACAAGACGGGTATGGCTGTTGAAAGCTAGTGAGCTTAAGGACTGAAATTGTAGAGACACTTGGAACTAAAAGCAAAAATCTAGAAGGAAACCAGAGGATGAAGGATTTTAATCATCACAGGAACATCTCCATATTTTCTCATCATTGGTACTTCTGATATGAGCATTCTTTTTAAATAACATTTACTTGATAGTCTCCGATGGCCTTAAAAATCCGTCCTTTTACTTATACATAATTATAAGCTGTGAATTTCTTCAGTGAACCATGAAATATACTGTGGATTTAAATTTCTGTGATACAAAAAGAAAATGGAACATTCTGAACTGAGTAGTACGGCCTCATATTTTTAGTGAGGTTGGAAGTTTGATGTTTTTTGTTAGTGTAGAATCAGTACATGTCCAGTGGGTTCCTTTACAGTGGAGAGAGCTTGAAGAGGCTAAAGAAGACAATATAAAAAGAAACCTCTCAATCATTACTAATTTTGAAGGATTAGTCTTTAGGCATATGAAATTACTAGATTTGTGTACTGTAAATGTCTGTCTATTTAGCAGGTAAATTCAGTAGTCACACTTTTGCATCTACTTGTGATTGTTACCTGAAAGGCTCTCCAGCCATGTTGTATCTTTATGAAAGAAGTAGTTTTTCCTTCAGGTAGCTAGCTTGCCTCTTCATGCATCAAATGACAGAAAAGTCAGTGTCCATGAAGGAAACATATAGGATATTAACATTAAAGAGGAAAAAGCATGCTGAGTTTTCAAAACCAGATTATATGAACATCTGGGCAGTTAGTGACAGGGCAAATTAATACTTGAACTAAGCTTAGTTTTAGCTTAGCAGTCTTTCATGGTGGAAGTAAGCTGTCTGGTTGAAAATAATTTATGTATTAGTTTTCAGTAGCCAGTTATGGCATGTTTTAATACTTAAGGTAAAAGCCAGACACAGACTTTGCTCTTTAATAAAAAAAACTTTGGGGGGGCATTATGTCCCAACACAAATAAATGTACTGATTGAAGTTGTCAGACTCAAGATTTGATTTTTTCATAACAAGTTTTTAGGCATATATCTCAATACAAGTGATGCTTCTGGAACAAGAGAAATTTGTATATATTCTTGGAACAACCATTGCCTTTAAATGTTTCCCTTTTTTAGAGTCACTTGGGATTACTAAAGTCATTTTTTGAGATGCCTGCAGAGAATGAAAGTATTGACTCGGTTAGAGGGAAAATGGGCTTTTCTGGATGAATCCCCATAAGCCTACCTTGGGGTACCAGTGTACTTAGGGACTTTTTGATGAAGATTTAATAAGTGTCTGGCTGTGAGCAAGTGACTGCATTAAAAACTTGAACCCTTGTTCTTTGTGAAATTCACAAAAATGATGAGTGACAAGTTGAGTATTTTTGTGATGCTTCTTTAAAACTTGTACTTCATAATATACCTCAAAGAAAATTACCAAAATAGTTTATAAATCAAGACTAAAAATATACACAGAATTTAATTAACTGTATAAGTGTACAATACTGAACAGCAATAAATTCCACAATGTCTAAGTTGTAGTTTTTTCTTCGTTTTCTGTTTAACCCCCCCCCCCCCAATTATTTAGAAAACCTGCTGTAGTGAAAGTATGTACATGGGCCCACACTCCACAATTTTGTGCGAAAAAGAATTCTCATCTTAAAGCAATGTCATTTCAAATATGCTAACTGCTGAAACAAATGCACTAGATAGGCCTGCTGGTCTCACGTGGAGACTCGCCAGAAATCACGACTATGAACAAGTTGGATAAATGAACAGCTCAGGGACCGTGATGGGCCTTTAAGGGAAGGTTAGCGAATTTGGGGGCGGTACCTCGGTCACAATTTACGGTGGCGAGCACCCCCAACGCCTGTTGCCGAGGTCTGACCGAAGACTGGCCAACCTACGGGTCTCGCGTACTTTGGAAATCCTCGGTGTCCCCGAGTTTTCCTTATTAGGGTCCCCACCTCCCCCGGCCTAGGGATTTGGAGGCCACCCCACCCACGCGCCGCCCGCAGGCACCCGCGGGGCTGGGCTGGGGCCGGACACCGCCTCTGGGCGGGGCGGGGGTGCGGGGCTGGCTCGGAGCCCCCGCCGGCAGCGCCCGCTCCGGGGAGTCCTTTCCCTCCGGGCTTCCGGGGGCCCAGGTGGGGAGGGGCTCGTCGTCCGACCCCGCCGGGCGGCGCACGTGCGGGCGGGCGGGGATCCCGGCGCCGGGGGCGGGGCACCCGGAAGCGCGCGCGGACTTGCCTCGCCGGGCGGGGCCGGCCGGGGGCGGCGGGGACGGCGCGGGGAGGGCGCTGCGCCCCGGCGGCTACCGGCTGTGGTCACAGGTGGGCGGCGGGGGCGCAGGGGTTCCCCGACGCCAGCCTTCGGGCCGGGAGCCCCGCGCTGAAGACCCGTCCACGCCTCCGGAGGAGCCCACCCTTCTCCCCCTCCTCGCTGGCCTCTGGGGGTGCCGGCACAATTCGCCGCAGGAGCTCAGGTAACTTACCTTCCAAGGTCATTCTTCGGGTGGGGCCGAGCCCGCGGCCCGCCCACGTCCTCGGATTGGCAGGGGCGGGGAGGGTGTGAGAAGCTGGGCTGGACGGCGACCTGAGCGCTGCCCCGGCGCCCGCTGATCTCCGCCGAGCGGGACGCTGGTCCCGGCAGCCCACGCCTGGTCTCTGCCTCCAGTCCCGGGGGCGAGTTTCCACCCGCGCTTCGGACGGGGACGGCTCCACCTTCCGAGCCGGTCCCCGCAGGTGAGCGCAGCCGCCCGCGCCGGGCTGTCCCGGGCCGGCCCAGCCGCGTGGTCGGCTGTCGCTATGGGAACTGCTGGTGCGCCCAGGGCGCCTGCCCCGCTTGGAGAGGGACTGTGAACGCTGCTCGCGCCCCCAGAGTCACCCCTAAGCTCTCTGTCGGGCCAAGCCGGGCCACAAAAGCCTGGTAAGAACGGACCCCCTCCCCCTCCTCTTCTCGTTTTTGATTTCTCAGGCGTTGGCGGTAAATCAGAGGCGTGGATGTGTTTACAAGATGTAAGTTGTGTTCTTTACCTTCTGAGGGCTTCTTACGCCTCGTGGTGACAGGTGCAAATCATGGCACAGAAGAGCAGCATGAAGCCAGCGAAGAAAAACAGAACGGAAGAGCCTGAATTGGAGCCCCTGTGCTGTTGCGAGTACATAGATCGAAATGGAGAAAAGAACCACGTGGCCGCTTGTTTGTGTGATTGCCAAGATCTGGACGAAGGGTGTGATAGGTAAGAGCGAGTGTCTCTAGATGCTTAACTCCACTAGCCCTTTGGAGAACCACCGTGTATACTTTCAGCTCAGCATTCTAAAACACTAGAACGTGCCCTTGATTCTATATCCAAGGGTCTGAAATGCAGAGTTAGACGTCTATGTGAAATACGAGGATTTTTCAAACATGTATTATGCGGTTGTGTACAGCTATCTGTTCAGCTTAGGCTACTGGGACATTATTATTTTATTTAAACATATGATGACGAGAACAGAGAAAGGGATAGCAGGCAAGTTAATGTATTAAAAAATGCAGATTAGCAGAACCTGTAAGTTTAAAAAGAACACATTAAGATGACCAGCCAGAAAGTTCGTACTTCTTAGTGGTCTTGGCATGTAGAGACTTATTTGGGACTGAATTGTACTTGGCCACAGAGGGCTTTGAGGTTTGAAAGACAGTTTTCCTCCTCTTGGAATTGTCTCATCCCTTGTTTCTGGGGCGGAATTGCAGTCAAAAAGCTTGTGCCTCCCCTGGACTGTTTTCAGTGTGAAGGCAACAGTGTCTTCACTGATCTAATTGTATTTATTCATTTCCATCCCAGTGATGGAAATGACTAACCAGAAAGATTATTGTTAATATCACAGAAAAAAATTTTATACCAAACAGTAGTAACCTGGTTTTCATCCTTGTTTTAATTAATTAATTTTAAATTGTTGTCATGTGGAAAGAATAAGGTGGAAAGAATAAGAATGTCGGGAACTTGGGCCTCCCTGGCAGTGCAAGGGGTTGAGACACAACCTGTGAGGCAGTCACAGCCACTGCAGCACGAGGTGGATTCCCAGCCAGGGAGCTGCCCATGTGGAGCAGCAGGCCTCTCCTGACTCCCCCGCTGCTCCCCTCAGCAGTGTATTTTGGTCATTTTGCCTGTTCTGTTCCCCATTCTCTCTGGTGATCCTTTCACCCCCCACATCTCTGGCCTGCACACCAGTTCTTGTTTGCATAAATAAATAAATGTGAAAAAAAAGAAAGTTGGAAACTTGCTTTCCCATTAACCTTACTTCTGGTTAAAATTACTGCAATGGCAAATTCTATCTTATAACTTGGTGTGTTAATTTAGCCATGAAAAGCTTTCCTTGGGGACTATTGCAGTCTAGTACCAACCTTGACCTCTGAAGACCCTAGAATCCATTTGCAATTCTTCCTTGACAGTGACCTTAGCCTTTTTTTTACCCCCTCAGGTATCTTTAAATACAAGCTTTCTAGATATAGTCTAAAATTCGTGCTAAGTAAACGGAGAGCTTTGCACTAATAAATGGAGGAGTGACGTTTTCACAACCTCCACCACTTGAGACTTCAGCACTTCCACTAACCTTCTAACTTTTCCTCTCTTCTAGCTTTTGGGATCTGGGCTGTCCCTGAGTTCTCCCTCTGCTCTCTCCATACCCTTCTCTGGAGACAGGCTCGTGGTAGTTACACTGTCCTGCTCTGTATGACTCCCATAAGTTAAACTCGCATTCACTTCCAAGTTCTAGTCCTACTTTTTCTTAATTGTCTGTCTAAAATCAAAGTTATTCCCTAAACTAGCCTAAGTGTGCAGAAAAATGCAACAGGTCATATGTGTACACAGAGCTGTCATTGACTCCTACTGGTTTGACCTCTGTTCTTGCTGATGAGACCCATGCCCCTTCTAGATCATTTACCCCTGGGCCCAGGACAGGTTTTGTGCTGCACACATCTCTCTTCCACTGGATCGCCTCCCTCCTTTCCTCCCCACCTGCACATATGCTAGGCAGCCATCAGGGTCAAGCACAAATCCCACTTTTTCCATAAAGACCCTTCTGTTGCCTCTACCCAAAGCTTCCCTCTTCTCTGGGCATTCCCTACAGTGTTTGACCAAAATAGTTCATTGGGTAATTTTGCCGTTTTGTCAGTTAACTCATATTTCTCAAATTTCACATGTTATCTTTACAACTAGATTGTGAATATTTTTAGATTGTGTTTGAGTACCCACCCAGGTTCCATACCGTACTCGTGTGGAGTATGTGTGTATTCCTCTATATTTGTTTTGTAGAGAAATAGCCTTCATGTTAAATTTCTACACATTATCTTCTTGTACATATTAAAAAGTGATACATGAATCTGAGAGGCTCATGTTTAGTAATAAGGAAGTAGAATACTTGACTGTTGACCTCTTATTCATCCTGCCGTTTGGCCTGCAGTATTCAGTGGTATTTAATTCAACAGACCCATATGAAATGCCTTCTCTGTGTTCTTTCTGAATAGATGGATAACGTGTAAATCTGTGCAGCCAGAAACTTGTGAAAGAATCATGGATACAATCTCTGATCGCCTCCGAATTCCTTGGCTTAAAGGAGCCAAAAAAGTCAACATTAGCATCATTCCCCCACTCATCCTGCTGCCTATCTTCCTCCGCGTGGCTTCTTGGCACTTCCTCCTGGGCGCAGTGGTTTTGACCTCCCTTCCCGTGCTGGCTCTGTGGTACTACTACCTCACTCACAGAAGGAAAGAACAGACTCTGTTTTTCCTGAGCCTCGGACTGTTCTCTCTGGGCTACATGTACTATGTGTTCCTGCAGGAAGTGGTTCCCAAAGGGCGTGTGGGGCCCACTCAGCTAGCTCTTCTTACCTGTGGGTTATTTCTGATCCTCTTAGCCTTGTACAGAGCCAAGAAGAATCCAGGCTACCTCAGAAATCCAGCCAGCGATGGCAAGTCTCTAAGCAGCAGCCAAATCGAATGCCTGAACAGAAAAGGGCAGGAGAAGACCATAGGGTTCCCTGGATCGGATTCATCAGGAAGTCTCAACAACCGCTCGCTGAAGGATGAATCCAAGGGCTCTTCCAGGATGTTGGCTGGAAGCCCTGCCAAGGTGAAGGAGGACTGGTGTGCCAAGTGCCAGCTGGTGCGACCAGCCCGGGCGTGGCATTGCCGCATCTGTGGCATCTGTGTGCGGAGAATGGATCATCATTGTGTCTGGTATGTTGGAGGCTTACAGCATGCACATTCACTAAGACCGGCGGGTATTTGGTCTTCCTTTGTACATTCCTAAAATTCTCTTCTTCCCAGCTTTGCACCTTGTAGATATTTGTGGGCTGTTATGATGTTCCCACTTAGTCATCAGTTTTTCGAGTTTCACAAATTTAGTTCTTTCAGTCATTTCCTGAAGTTTTTTTTTTTTTTTTTTTTTTTTGCTGTTCTCTTTTGAGCTGCCCCTCATTTATCTTCTAACAGAACTGACTATAGTTGATTTTTTTTTTAAAAGAATCTATCAGATTCTGCATAGGAGTATTCCCCTCTGTATTCCTTTGAACACAGTGAAAGAAAGTGTTCCACCTTTTCCATATATTTTTTTTAAAGATTTATTTATTTATTTATACAAGAACTGGGGTACAGGCCAGCTAGATGCACGGGAGGGTGACAGGATTCACCAGAGACAGAGCGGGGAACAGAACAGGCAGACTAACGAAACACACTGCTGAGGGGAGTAGTGGGCGCGACAGGAGAGGTCTGCCGTGCCGTGTGGGACCCTCACCAGCCGGCTGGGATTGAGCCGGCGCTGCAGAGGCTGAGGACAGCTTCACAGGGCTGCACTCAACCGCCTGCACCACCAGGGGAGGCCCCATTTTCCATACTTTTATGTGACCTTTGTCCTCTCAAGGGTCTTACATCTATATGGACTCACATCTATAGTCATTTGTGATGCTACCAGTGATTTCTAGTCTACAGGATTGACTTCAGGCCCAGCAGACAACTCCTTATTTGGTTATTTGTGAAGGGATGAGCTCTTTTGGTACATCCTGACTGGCCAGTGACAAATGAGAACATGTAAGACCCATGAGATAAGAAATGCAACTTTTAAAGATAATAGTGCAGCTTTGAGTAAATCTAAACTAAAAGGGGGAGAGTTAATTGTTTCAGATGTGACTGCTGTAAGTAGCATGTTTACAGCTTTATTGCTTTTCAGGCAGATATCGTCAATGAATTATGCTTTTTAAGGCTAGGCTTCTGGCCATGTAGCTGCCTCTCATAAGGGCAGGTAGGAGAGGGTCCAGGTGCTGAAGGGACAGGAGGGTAGTGGAGTGGACCTCAAGTACAGCACTCAGTCCAGGGACCACTCTTTCCTGGACTTTTATCATTAGGAGTAAAGAATTATTTTCATTTTTAGATTTTCCACATCTCTATCTTTGTCATTTTTTTTCTCATACATATGTGTTGGCCCACTTATAGGTGCAAGTTTGCAGAAGGCCTGACAGCCTCTCCTAAAAGATCTCTGCCTACGGGGCACCCCCGTTCCCATGTGTCCTGCCCTACAAGGGCCGTGGCATGGATAGGTAGTTTGCGTATTACTGAGTTGGCCTCCATCCCAAACCATCTTTCTAACCTCTTAGGATCTTTTTATTAGTATATATATTTATTTAACATATATTTTCCCAGTCTGTAATACTTCTGATTTAGCACTGATTTGTTTTGTTTTGTTTTTATTACTCTGATAACATTCCTAATCATGGTGATTATAATACTCTTCATAGCTGCTAATGGACTTGCTTGTTAATATCTAGTAAGATCTGTTAGCCAGGTTATGCTTTTTACTCAGTCTTGTCCTTAAACTAGTGATACAATTTCACTTTACAAAGAGCAGAAAATATGAGACTATGTCTCTGAGCAGACAAGGTTTTAATCCCCTAAAATTAAAAAATAAGAGAACTCACTTTAGTAATTGAAATTCACACTATCCTTGTTTTAAGTTTTCTTGTTTACTGTGTGTTAGAGGACTTTTAAAAACATGTTTGTTTCCCTCCCCCCGCTGCTGTTTTGAGGATAAATAGCTGTGTTGGAGAATCAAATCATCAAGCATTTATACTTGCCCTTTCGATCTTCTTGCTTACCTCGGTGTACGGGATAACGCTGACCTTGGACACCATTTGTAGAGATAGAAGTGTCTTCACAGCTCTCTTCTATTGTCCTGGAGTTTATGCAAATTACAGGTGAGATGTGGATAATGGGGTGCCGAGGTCAGGGGAAAAGGAATGGCTGTTGTCATTAATGCCACGGGCTATCATTTGCTGTTAGGTGTGCCTTCTCAACCTAAAGGCTGTAAGGATGCTGGGTATCCTTGAAATTGGCAACAGAACTGTGCAGTGGAGAGGTGCATTTTTGTAGGTTGATATCAGAAGGATCCTGGACCCTGAAAAAGTGAGGAACTGGTGTTCCCCAAGTAGGACCAGACTTTATTAAGGATTTCCAGTGAGCACTCTCATGCCCACGGTAGTGACAGTGAGGTGAAAAACAGTAAGCTAGCAGCCCCAGGGTCGGTGTAGTCTGTGTTGTTATCAGCACCAGCGAACTACTCACTTTATTGTTGCCCAATCTCAATTTACTGTTTCCCCCCTTTTTATGAAATGCTACAATTTCTATAACCTTTCTTCTCTTTATAATCTCCATAGGTTTTTCCTGTTCTACTTTTTTTTAATCACCACTCATGATTACTGTGGTATCTAGGTCAACATTCCCTTAGGTATTGTCAGATTGGAGCACATTTAGATAACGTGAAAGTGTCCACGCTTTGGCAGAAGCTAGGAGTGTTCAGCATTGGCTCCCCTCCCCTGCCTGCCCTGGACTCTCCCTGCCTGTGTCCTCTGTTCTCTTACTTCCACCATTTTCCAGTGACCCCATGGTCCTTTTCTTTCTTCCCAGTCTTTGTTTTCAGAACAATCTCTTTTATCTGCATTGTATCCTTGCGCAGGCATTTGTTTTTATTAGTTGTGGACAGATCTCCCCATTGCGACTATAGAGAGAGACATTTGTGGGCATTATTAGAATTGATTGGCTCTCCTTTTCAGGGTAATTTCCTTTCTGTTGATGTGGAGAAACACATGCATCCTAAAGTGGAGTGTGTCTAAATATTAATAAGCATGGATTTTGTCGACTTTCTCTGAGACCCTTAAACAGAACAGGGAACACAGTCTTGCTGTTGATTTTCCCTGCTCTGCCCGGGCAGTCGTGTTCTAAGACATTGGGCTTCCTCATCTTTATGGTGAGGACAGAGATCTGTGAGGTCCCTTTCAGTTTAACAACTGAAGATAGTGGATGAGTGATTTCCAATTAACTCTTCACTTGCAAACTGTTTGAATGAAAATAATCATTCAGCAGACACTGATTGGCAGCCTTCCCTTCCAGTCTTACTGATGAGATGCAAAGAACTTTTTTGTCCTGTTTGGCTTCAGAAGCTGAGTTTGAAATATGATGATACGCCTACATAGCTAATGAGTGAAATTGGCTTCTTATTTGTGTTCATCAGCATTGAACTGAAAAGAATGGAGATTAGTAGCTCTAGCAGTGTCCCTGGGCTCCCAGCCACAGCGTCCTTAAACACATGTGTAGAATCTTACGGTACCGTCCTTTTCTTCCGAGTTCTTAAGAGCTATTCAACACTCAGATCCTGAACACTGTTATTTCAGGCACTGTGTTGGTTGTTGGTTGTGTGAATACAAAATACAAGGGAAAAAACCCCAGTCTTTATTATTCTCATATAACATACTAGAAAAAGAGACACCAATAGAGTAAAACAGAGCAAGTTAAGTCATCCGTTAAGCAGGTTGTTGTGCTGTGGCTGGGAAGGTATCTTACAGTGGGATGATTGTGGATGGTGCCAGAGTCGCTAGTAATTAGTACTAAGTGTGTAAAATCTCTGAGAAAGCCAGCGGTCCTGACCAGCCCTCTCCCTCATTCCAGCTCCGCGCTGTCCTTCACCTGCGTGTGGTACTCTGTGATCATCACCGCGGGCATGGCCTACATCTTCCTGATCCAGCTGATAAACATCAGTTACAATGTGACTGAGAGGGAAGTCCAGCAGGCCCTTCGACAGAAGACGGGGCGCCGGCTCCTCTGTGGGCTCATTGTGGACACAGGCCAGTACAATCGGGGCTTCCTGCGGAACTGGCACCAGTTCTCCACCCTGGGCACTCACCCGTTCCACCACCCTGCTGAGGACATTGTCTGAAGTGCCTTCTGTATGGCTTCTGGGAGGGACGGCTCCTCCTCTGCTCCCTCCCCCTGTACGTTTCCGTGCCCTTGCAGGATGTTCGTGTTTATTCCCAGTTTCTTAAAGGCATTATAGGGCCATGCTCAGGTTTAGCGACTGGACTGGGAAGAAGTTAATTTTTCTGACTTCACAACTTAAGAGATTTTTATATCGAAGCCGTGAAAGTAGAGCCATTCCTTTCCAGTCACCTTATTAACTAATTCAGTCACCAGAAACTGAAAAGGATGCGGATTGCTAATGCACAAACTGATAGAAGCAATACCCATCCACTGGTCTGCGAGAAAGAGTTTGGGATTAGGATAGTCTCTAGTCCTCTTTCCATTCCTAATAGCCATGTGACCCTTGCGGGGTCACTTCCTGAGTCTCAGGTTCACCTGTATGTGGGATACCGAGCCTGCCCTGGCTGTCTCACTGCGTGGTCGTGAGGGTCACATGAGGGATGAACTGTGTGTGGAAAACAGCTCAGCGCAGATAATATGAAGTATTATTCAGAAAATGCTAAGACTGAAAAAAAAATATAAGTCAGGATACTGAAGCCACTAATACTTGAGTAGTTAGTTTTCAGCATTTCACAGTGAAAAAAAGAATCCCCCCAAATGCCATGTTGTACAGTTGGGGGAATTTTTTTCTGAAGTATTAACAACTCAGACAGGGTAGAAGAGGCCAGATGGACTTATGCTGTCGCCTGATCTTGAAAGGACAGTAACAGCTGTAAAGATAGTCGTGCTGGTAAACTGTACAGTGGTCATGAGTTTAGGTGAGGAGTTCTCCTATTTTTCTTATTATCTGTTTATTCTGCTTGGATCTGCTATAAATACCCCCCAAAGGCATTACTGATTCTCCCCCTCTCTATGTTTCACCTGGTAAGCACACTTGTGATAATGGCTGGAACAGGAGAACAGACTCTCCTCTGGGAAACACCCTCTTTCCTGAGTAGTATGACTGATTAATATCAAGGGCTTTTGTTGTTGTTGTTGATCTGAGTATTTCAAACTCAGTTACAGCTCTCAGTTGAAAGAATCACTCCCCCGGCCTCATATCATTCTGGCATGAACTCCTTTGTGCAGCTGATGGCATCATCCCACAAAACCTGCACATTACTTCATTCACCTTTCTATAAAGCATCTCACTAGGAGAGAACAAACAAGGTATATGTCGTTTCTACTAATAAATGGATTACTGTTCTTCTTTCCCTAGCTTTGCCTAAAAAAAGGTTGTTTCTTTAATTATCTCAGAACTGAAAGTGTTATAAAGGATTAAATATTTATATAGAATAGGTCTGTTTCCCCATAGAATTAAAATGAGGGAATTTTGGATGGGGGTAATACCTTCTTGAATTTTTTGGGTTGTGTACTTGTCCTTTTTTCTTGCAATCCCAAAGGTAATTCATGAGCCCTTAAATTCACCTTGGCTTATAGCTTAATATGGGAAAATGTTGCCAGCTTTTTCAGTCTTTCTGTGCATGCTGCTGTAGCGAGAGGTTTATAAATGTTGAGAGGAAATAGTGCTACTTTCTGCAGTTCTCCCCTCTGCAGCTATCACCACCCCTTGTTCTGCCATTAATTGAAACTCTACTTGAGATAGTCACTGCATTTTTATTCAGCCTTGTTGTTGCTCTCCCCAGAGATTGATTGTTTAGCAAACGATAAACTCTCCTATCCACTGGGATGAGCCAAAGAGCAAGCCTGGGGATGTTAGAGGCTGTGGTTTCTACAGTGATGCCCTCTCCCTGGTCCAGAGTCGAACATTCGTTTGGAATTAACGTTGGATCTGATTTAACAAACTTCTGTCTGTAGATTTGAGATAAGAGAGAGATCATGTTAAGGATGGCGTATGTGGCCAGAAATCTCTAGTTGTAGTGTCTCTTGAATGCCATCTATACTTAACTCTGATTGTCTTGCAACTGATAATAAAATTCATAGGAATGTTAGTATAGTCAGTAATTTTAGCCTCTCACCAAGTCTTTAACGACAATCAAAATGTGATATGATGAAAATGAGTAGTACCCAAAAGACCAGAGTAATTTGGGAGAATTAGGCAAGATTGCCATCTTTATAACAACCCTAGTAGTGTTACCTGGATGGGGCAACTTATTAGTTCCCCCACTTGGCTAAGGACTCTTTGTAGACTAATATGGCTTATCAGAATTAAGATGCTGGTTTTAAGTTCCTTCAGAATTTCAAAATGGACAGTTTACGGAAGGAAACTCAACTCTTTGATGACATCTGTGGTTTCTGTGGGATTACAAGCCTACTAAGGTATTTGCACCAAAAGCAGCAGCCAGGAAGGAGCAGTGTTCTGTAGGCTCGCGGTCCTTCTTGGACTATTTTCTAAGTATTCTGGGATTTTTAAGCATTTTAATTGGTCTGGAACTATTTTAGGGGATTGCGTCCTTTGAAAGGACAGGGCCTCTATGAAGCAGCAATCCTGGAGAAACATTTTGTTGTGGTGGCAGTGGGGAATTGCCTTACAAACCTATGAACAAGAAGTCTCTTGGCCATAGGAGCAAGACCTCCTACCCCATAATTTTAGGCAAAAGGGACCTTCCCCCCACATTCTCAGCCTCTGTTAATAAAGATGTAGAACTTAGTAAATTATCTACTCGATTCTGATCACTTGCATTGCTGTCATGTCACTGTGCACTATTCCTGGGGAAGAGAAATGTGTGCATTTGAAAGATTCCTGGGAGAAATAAAGATGAGGATTGCATGAAAGGAGAAAATCCTTCAATATTTAAAATGTTTCCTTGTGATATTTAAAATGTTTCTTATGATACCCAAAGAGTGCTCTGTAGTTACAGCTGTGAAGAATTGACCAGGAACATGTCTTGGGTGAGTTTCCCTGGTGTTGCTAGTCAAGCCTTAAGTGTGTTCCAGGGACACTGTGCTGTTCTCTCACCTCAGCCATAAAAGTATCTGTGTTAGGATACTGTAAACCTTTGCTATTCAAGTAGTATTTACCTTTGGTGAATGAAGTAATTGTTGTCTTCCATTCTGCCATCTGCCTAGCAGAAAGACTACTACAGAGATTCTATTATGCAATAGTCCTTGGTATTTCTAATATTTTTAGCAAAAGAAAATTTTCTATACTAGAATTGTCCACTGCCAAAAGACACAATGCCAGTAAGTTTCTCTGTGCCGCTGCCGTCTGCTTAGCCCCTACTGCCTTTGGATGGGACGTTGGCTTTTATTATAAAGCGCCATTAAAATAAGGAAAAACATGACATCTAGAAGCACAGTTTTAACCAGGATGTTTACAAATTAATGTTGTTTTGTGGAGTTCAGGGTTTCTTAAACTAATAAGTAGGTTTCTATGACTTCATTTTATCTACACATTGGTTACCTGCATGTTAAAAGGAGAATTTCCTTAAACAAGCAACTTTTGCTTGAGGCACCTGTTGAGAATCTGGTTTTCTCATCATCAAAGTGTGCAGTTTTGTATTAAACACTGTAAAGGTGAGGCAGGGGATGAATGTGAGCTATGTTTAACTTAATACCAAGTAAATTCTACTATGTTGTAATGGAGGTTTGCTGTGATTAACAGAAACTTTTTGCAAAGTCGGCCAAATTTAATCCTGTTGCTATTGTCCCTCATCCTCACTGCAGTTGGCACTAAGTGTTTCACTATAGTAGCAGCAGCAGGCCAAAGACTAAATGTTTATTGGAGACAGAGTCCTTAGAGGTGCTGGCTGTTTCCAGGTGGGGCTTGTCACTTATTATTACTCCAGCCTTCCTGATGGCACTTTTTACTTCTAGACAATTTGTATTTAAAGGCAAAGCTTTAAAAACCAGAGCTAGCCTCATCTAGTTATTGATGCAGCTAAAATTCTGTATTTCTCTAGATGGAGCCACTGACAAAATGCCATGTTGTGGAACTTGCAAGCTCAGCTTTTTGTGATCCTATGGTTCAGGTGGCTTCATGGTTTGAGTCATTAGGGCCTTTAAACCCTTTTGTTTCTGGGTCTGATGTTAAAGGAAACTCAGAATATTTATTTAATATAAAATTTAATATTTAAGGTAACTGGCCTGACAACATTAAAGGGGATTTCCGAAGTCAACTCGGCTGTGGGCTAAACTTTTGCACTGTTTCTATATTTGTATCCATAGCCTCTTCTCACCTCAGACTCAGACACAAAGCCTTTTAAATGGAAATGTTAAAAATGACTGCTGTTTATGTAAAATAATGTACTGTGACTGATTGTTTAAATGGAAAATAAAGTGCTTTAACGAAAATAGTTGGTGTTTGTGGTGTGTTTCCTGAACTCTTAAGAAAAGCCTGCATTGTAGCTGAGCTGCCTCTTTGGCTACCTAGATTTCCCCACCAGGTGGACCTTATTTTCCTTACCCCTAAACTATCCTTTTCCTAGGAGTTACTTTTCTAGTCAGATCACTCGTTAAATCCTTAAAGATACACAACGACTGGGACATTGTTAAAGTTCAGTTTCATAATGTTTCGTCATACCTGAGTAAATCATCACACGTCTTCCATAGAAAACTGATGTAAGTCACTTAGTTGGAGTAGCTAGATATCTCTTCTAGTAAGGAAGAAATAGTAACAGAATGTATGTACTGAATAACATGCAGAATTTTATTTTACCAACTCAGATATTCAACTTACCAAATAGTGGTAGTTACCTTTGGACTACAAAGGCCTTTCTGGTTTTACTGTGAGCATTTATCACTATTTTGGTATATTGTAATACGTATTTTGTAATGAAAAATTTTTTTTCTGTTAATTCTCTACAATAATTCACAGGAAGGAGGATTTTGCCAATTGTTACAGTCTTTCAGCCCAATAAAGCTCAAAACATTCTTTGAATTCAAGGTAAGTATGGCAATATATAGATCAAACTCCAATCAAACTGAGCTGAGAACTAGAAGATTGATGGAATGTGTTATTTAAAAGATGCATTTGGGAGCATGAATAGACATTTTAATAAATACCTAGATTGCTTTGATAGTTATTAGCTTTTGGAATTCTGTACGTGCTTATCAAGATGCACTGAAGGGAGGTGTCTTTGGAGCTTCAATTTCTCTAAAATCAGGATCCCCTCTGCCCTTTGTAGTGGCTGCCTGGAGTACCTTTTGATAGGCGGTTTTCCATGTGGGGTGGGCAGAAGGGACAGGGTCGGCAGAATCCCTGTTGTGATGATCAGTTACTGGAAGACCGACCACTCCCATGCCTCCTTTTCTAAATACTTTCTAACTACTTTTAATTTGTATTTAATTAAATTTACATTTGGCCACAACCTAAGCTATAAGGACACATTTTCTGTCACAGATTCAGGCAGGCTTGGCCTTCTCAAAGTTTACAGTGCTAAAATTATATAGGAGACATTTGAATGGCAGAATTCTAGACTTCCTTTGGATGATCCTGCTGTAATGCATGCTTTAGCGAACTGACTAGTAATTCAAGAGAACTCAAGGAAAAAAGTACAAATTCTCAATTACTTCCTTTGATGCAAGAAGTATTGGATGAAAGATAAGACAGGTATATGCACATATGTACGTGGGTGGGTGGAGGTAACACATGTAGGGACCAAAAGAGAGTCTATTCTAAGCAACGCACTGGCTTGTGTTCACTGGCCCACCAAGGGCGTGTTGTACACAGGGCCATGTAGCCAGTGATGGGGACCGCTAAGAGTCACGGTGCTGCCAGCACCTGAAAGTCTGGAAGGATTTCAGTCACCTTCCTACGGAGTTGCTCTCGCCTTTCTTCTCTCATTCTTTCCTCTTTCATAAATCTTGTGAATTTCTTCCATGTCTGAAACATGCTCCAGAGAATCTTCCTTTAAGAATAAAAAAGGAAAGAGTGAAACACTAAGGAAAACTTGACTTTCCAACTAAAGTACATGAAAAACTTCACAAAAAAATGATCCTTATGTGCATGAGGCTTTATATAAAAGGTATGAAAATCACAGTTGGGAGTCAAACAGTGAGAAATGCTGTGAAGAAACAAAGCAACAAAAGAGGATGGGAGTGACTAATAGCTCATTTTTATTTTCCATCACTTGGTCAGGGAAACCTTCAGTGAGAAAGTGACATGTGATCCTCTGACACAGCCGTGAGGCACCTCCTCCTCTGGCGGCAGCTGCACTTTGTGCGCAAGACAGGACCGGGACTCAAGGACTCCAGCAGCCAAAGTCCTCAAGGCAGAGATGCTGGAAAACTGCGTGGGGCCTATACCACAGCTACAGGCACTGAGGCCTGGTGCTTGGATGAATATTGTTTCAAAAGCCACGGGTTACCAACCACAAACAGCGGTCTTGAATTTTAGTTGACAAAAGAATAATGTCAACCATGGAAACCAGGGTTCTGGAGGGGTTGCATGCTGAAGCTTAGAGTGTCTGCTGTCATAGGGAGACACGCGCTGGCCTTTTAGGGAAACACAACCACTATCAATGCCACTGCACTGGGTACTGGGGGTGTAAAGGTAAGCAGGTAGTCTCTGCCCAAGGAGGCAGTTGACCTGGTGAGCAATCCCCACACAGCAGTGGGGAGCGCCAATGGTGGAGATAAACATGGGGTGCTATCTGCTCCGGTGGTGAGGAGCATTAGAGGTTTTTGAAAGATGGTAACTGAACAGAAATTTTGTCCGGCAAGGAAAGGTTTTCCTAGAGGGGTTACTTCTTGAGTAAAGGCAGAGGCAAGAAAAGGATGGTGTGTGTAAGGAGTAATTATGTATGAGCGGAGTTACATTGTTGAAATGAGTGCAGAGTAACTAAGTTTATATTTTCACAGTTAGAGGCATAGATGGCATTTATTCTGGCTTCTTTCCTTTAACAAAGTCCTAGAATGCATCTCAGTCCCTGTTAATTTTATGGTTGGTATTGATTGGCTGTTTCTGATTATGTTGGTTTTGATGGTGGAAGTATTACTAGTAAGAAAAACAAAATGGCTTAAGGAATGGAGCTACTTCATTTACTTTCTTCTTTCAGCCACTCAGCCCACCATTCATAACTTCCTGCACTCAGCTATCTGGCCCTCTCCCAGTCCTTAACCCTACATCCCTCACTCTTACCTGCTATTCACACCTTTCTCCTGGTTACACTCCTCCTGCTCTCTGACTTCTACGTTTAATTTCCAGCTGTTCTCTCTAACTCAATGCTCTATCGCCTGGGAGAAATCTTAGCTCTTCGGAGATCATCTTTGCCTGCATTTATCTTTCCTTTCTCTGAACTAAAAGGACATGATCACAATCAGTCACTGGTTTGACCTGTTTATAGTATGCAGGAATGCATGTATGCCTGTCTGTGTGTATATATCTATTTAGTCTGTAATGTTTTCTATTGAATGATGGGGGCCAGGAACCACGTTATTAGTTTTTTCTTGTGCTTGGTGAATAAGTCTTGTGTGTGTATTGTGTAATAAGTGTGATTTAAGTCACCAAGGTAAGCATTCCTATCTCAATGTCTACAAACTCCTTGACATTTTGTGTCAATTGTATGTGATGTACTTATGTGCATTTTCCCAGGTGCAGGTACTGACTATCCATACCACCTCAGAGGGGTCTATGCCTCCAAAAAAAAAAGAACTACAGAATCAAGGCAATATCAGAAATATGAGAAGTGCTGGTTCAGCTAAGAGAACTGAGTAAGTGCATAACTGAGTCTAGCTACAGGACTACAAGATAACTACTGATAATGATAGACTTAGGTCTGGAGACATCTCTTAGTCCCCCAAATATAAAATACAGATTTATAAAATTATGAGTCCTTATCTATTTATGAATTATGTCTATTCCATGCCTGGAATAGACATGTAAAATTAAATCTCATATTCTTATTAGGAATTACCTTTCTCAGTGTTACTACAATTTAAAGATTGGGCCTCAGACTAATAGATGGCTCTCCTTCCTTCCCTTTCACCCATAGCTTATCTATATAATATTCTTTAATTCACATAAAATTGAATAAGAATTTGCAATATTAAGGTTTAAATGTTAAAGTTCCCTTTAAGAGACCCTGACTTTAAATGATAATGTCACTCACGATAAATCCATCCACTCATTCCTGCACAATATCCACTGCATCCCATGCATTAGGCACTTGTCATCTACAGACAACACAGGAGTGAGCAAGATGTGGCACTTCCACTCTGTTGGCAGGGACAGATGATAAACATGTAAATTATATAGCTTCAGTGTCTTCAGTGCCATGAAGAAAACAGGGCAGGCTACTGGAAAGACAGTGATGGAATGTCAGGCTGGTCAGGGATGTGCGTTTGCGCAGAGATCTGGCAATGAGGAGATCCAGGTCTTGTGAAAATGCTGACGCAGGTGTGAGCTTTGAATTCTGTTGGCTAGAAAATATAGCCCGAAGAGACTGGAGCAGGGCGGACAGAGAGGCAAGTGCGAAGAGATGAAGTCTCAGCAATGCTTTTACATCAAAGAGACACTGGCTGAGAATTTCTTAGTGAATGCATGGATTCCCATGCTGATTTTATAATTCCAAAATCTGGATAGGGGTACACTATCATACTGTTGTAGTTCACAGTTTACAAATGAGAATGAATTAGAAAAAGAAGAGAGTGGTTTGGAGTCGACCTGACGTGGAATCCAGGTTCTATCATTTCTTTTTTTTTTTTTCTTCTTTAAAAGATTTTTATTTATTTATTTACACAAGAACCGGGGTACAGGCCAGATTCATGGGAGGCTGAGAGGATTCACCAGAGACAGAGTGGGGAACAGAACAGGCAGACTGACTGAAATACACTGCTGAGGGGAGCAAGGGGGGAGACAGGAGAGGTTTGTCGTGCCATGTGGGACCCTCACCGGCCAGCCAGGATCAAACCGGCGCTGCAGAGGCTGCAGACAGCTTCACAGTGTGGCACTCAACTGCCTGTACCACCAGGGGAGGCCCTCTATAATTTCTTTGTGTGCCCTGAGCAATCCATTAATTCATGCAAGCATTTCTGCAAGGGCAAGTCTTCTGAACACATTCACTCGTGACTATTTTAGGACAAAATTAGAACCGATTTTGCTTATATTTTCTAGCCAACAGAATTCAGTACCTGTAAGTTAACAAATGAGCAGATTTTGATGGATTTAGAATCCTGGTGGCAACAAGGTAGAAACACTTTTCTAGAAAACGGAGACACACACACATGCACATACACATAAATGAAAACAGAGCAACCATAAACGAATCTGAGTGTAGTCAGAAAAGGGGTACTTCTACACCCACACAGCAGTCTTCATACCTTGGAACTTAAAGGCTTATGCCCACTGCATTATGCTATAAGGGATGGCACTTAAAAGGAAGTACATGATGACAAATTTAGAACATTTCTATCCAAAATGCTTAACTTAGAAAACAAAGGGAAAAAAATTACTTATAAGGAATTCCTTGTGCCCCCCCCCCAAGAATGCTGCAGTAAGACAGACATTACTGTATTATAAATATCAATATGGCATACAGTGATTCCAATTATATAAAGTTCCAAACCAGACAAAACTATAGCATCTAAGGCTGCATACTTAGGAGGTAAAAACAAACAGAAATGCAAGGAAATGTTCCTCACAAAAGTTGGGAAGGTAGTTTACCTTTGGGAGGGAAGGGCAGGACTTGTGACTGGGAAGGAGCCCCCAGGCCTTGCGGGCACCAGCCCTGTCCTACGTTTCAATCTCAGTGGTGCCTTCCGCTTTGTAGAAATTCACTAAGCTGTATGTGTATGATTTACGCAACCGTCTATATTTGTGTTATATTTCACAATAAATGTAAAAAATAGAAACTGAACTTAAAGGATGAATCTATATGACTAATAAAAAATACAGTACGTTTGCTTAGGTTGTATTTCATGTATTCCATCTGCACCATTTATTCTCTTGCCAGTCCCCATGAGGCTGAGAGGACAGGCAGCATCCTCCTCATTTTAAAGATGGAGGTTCTGGAGTTCCAGAGATTTTACTATCTTGCCTTCACCCATGTCATCAGTGTGTAAGCTGGAACAACACCCCTGCCTACTATCTGCAGTGCGCAGCTAGCCTCCACCACATCTTTTCGGACACATTACATGCATGGAACATATTACCAAGCAATTATGTAGTCAGTGAATGAATTTCTTCAGAGCTTAAAACCTCACCTGTTATTATACTCCACAGCAATCTCGTGCTTGCTCTGAGAATCGATGTTGGCCTCCTTGACGATGTTAAACCAGGTCCTGAAGATCTTCTTCTGAAGAAAATGTCTATGTAGTTCTTGTATTTCTATCTCCAAATCAGTCAGGTACTGAGAATGACAGGAATAGAAGTGAGAGAACATCATTGACAAAGAATTAGAGCAAATAGAATAAAAGAGGGAGAGTCGAAACAAACACAAAAAGAGGAACAAAGGGAAAAGGCTAATGTGGCAGCCAAGATAATATCCTCTTATAATATTAAAAAGTAGTAATGGAACCAAGGGGTAGAAGCAATTATAAGACTTGGGGTAAGTTTCTAGTAATTTCCATTAAAATCACTTGAACCATTATGGGGTAAGAAGCAAGAAATTAGCATAAAAACAAAAGCTGATGCAATGGTAGGTTACAGTTTATAGAGATGAACACTGAAAGAAATGTGCTTCAGATTACACACAAACAAAAAACTGATCTGACATTTTTGAATTCCTTTCAAAGCAATGAATTGGATTGACTGTTCAATATTCTTGAGAAAGCATAATGACTATGGACGTTCTGAATTGATTCTAATTTTCTTATGTGGTACTAAGCAGAGTCATTTATTGAAAGCTCCCTTTTCTGTGCCCTTACCTGCAGCCAGCTCCGGATGACTTTCCTAAGCAATACTTGGGAATAAAACTGATCAGCCTGGGCTGTCTTCTTAGCCAGACTTTCCTGGCTCTGCAGGAACCAGGTCAGCAGGCATTTCCTCTGTAAGGCCAAAGAGTGATGTTCTTTGGCCACCTGGACATTTTTTTAATGAGAAAAGGAAATTAATTCTTTTATCTTAAATCATTTACCTTGGCAAACAATGCTGTAAACCACACGTAGGCAGTTACCGGAGAATAATCTTTAGGATATTCGGCCTATGTCCTAAAAGCCTTGACTACTGACCCTATTAAATGCTGGTTTTAGATTCATGTCATGCATAGTCTTTCAATGCTGACTCTCCAAAGACCACAGGGACTTGCTGGTTATTATGGAAATGCCTCCAAGGCCATTATTTCACTTGCAATGAGTTTCAAAGTGGGTGGTTGGCAATATTCTTGGATTGTTCTCCTGGAGCTGGGACAGCAACTCCATAACAAACCTCTCTTTATTATGTTCTTAACCACTGTCTAATTGAAGAAATGCCATTACTTTCAATTAGTTTTCCAGAATGAGCTGTCACCAGCATTGAAATCTAGACATTATCAATAAACCACAAAACCATTTGATAGAAAAATAACATGATAAATTATTTAATGTCTTACCAACTTAAAAGGCTCACAGTATCATTCTATCAAAATAAACACACAACTCAGTTTATAGAAAGCCCTTCTCTCTTAGTGCTCTCCAGACAATTATACATTTTCCTAAGCCTTGTCTAGGCACCTGGCACTGAGTGTGACTGATCCTAGTGAGCCTCTAGGCAGTGATAGTTTTTGGCCAAAATGACCATCACAGGTTGTCTCTGTGGCACCCGAGACGACTGACTGTCCTGACTCATCCCAGTCTGGGATCCAAGAGGCTCCAGAAATGCATAACCTTATCCTTTCCCTCCTCTTCATCCTCTAGGAAGCAGAGCCAGGAAGAAAGATTACCAGAAGATTTCTTAAAATTCTAAAGTGGTTAATGGAATAAATTTAAGGGAATGAATTAGGGGAAATCCTAATAAGTCTTTTTTAAAAACTGTTATAAATAAGCCAGGGACTGTCTAACTGACCCCTTCTTCCTTCTTAATTTTTTTCTCTTCCTGGAAGTCATCTGTGATAGGTGAAGGAGCTATCCGTTCCTCTTTACAGTTCTCTAGAACTTTTGGTTTTATTCTTTTTTTTTTTTTTTTTTTTCAACTGGTGGTTGGCATCTGCACACACCTCTGATTCCTATACAGTCAGACATGCCAGAACTGGGCAGGCTTCTTCGAGGAAGGGGCTGCTGAGTTCCATTCTAGCTTTGTATTACCAGGGTCCTTATAACCTTAAGCAAATCAGTTCTCTCTTGGGCTCAGTTCCTTGCTTACACAAAAGATGGACAGGACTGTCAATGTTCTAAGAGTCTACTATTTTGCTATCCTAGGCTGAATAATGGTACCTCAGTGATGACCACGTTCTAATTCCTGGATCTTATAAATATCACACCTTATGTGATAAAAGGGATTTTGCAGATGCAATTAAGTAAAGGATCTCAAAGTGGGGGAGAATGTCCTGGATTATTTGAGAGGGCCTCAAATGTAATCAGAAGGGTCTTTAGAAGGAGGAGTCAGGAGAGACCAGCATCAGTACGAAATATGAGAATGAAAGCAAGAGACGGATTTAAGGGGTCATGAATGATGGAGGTGGAAAAAGCAAGGAAACAGATTTTTCTTTTGGGCGCTCCAGAAGGAACTTGCCCTGCTGACACTGAACTTAGCCCAGTAAGTCTGACTTTAAACTCTGACCTTGATAATGAATTTGTGCTGTTTCCAGCCACTAAGTTTGAAGTAAGTTGTTAAAACAGCAATAGGGAACACAAATACTTGTTATTAACTAGTCAAAATGCGGTGCTCAGAAAACCACTAGAAACACCTGACCTGCTTTTTAAAAATGCAGATTCTCTACCAACCCTCACCCCCCACTCCCTGCCCAGTGCTCCCCCATCAACAACCCAGTTCTGCTGGGAATACCTGGAGGTAGGACCAGAAATGTACAATTTTATAAGTTCTCCAGATGGCTTTATGAAAAGGAAAATTTAGAAATGCTAGTTTTAGATTTGTGTTTTCCTGTTTTATTTTAATTGAGGTTTTCTATAATTATTTTGAGTCTATAATTATTTTGAGTTCAAATTTCTATTTTTACATTATTATAAATTAAAAAAATTAATTTTGTTATTCACCCATAGATCCTAACTTATTTCTAAATTTTATACCTTTCTTGACTTTACTCAGTCAAAAATAAGGACCCAAAAAAAGAAAAGCTGATAAGAGTGTGAAAGTGAGTCTTTCTACTTCCTGTCTGCTTTTCCTTTGTATCTTAATAATTAAAAACAAGGAAACAGATACAATAAAATTAAAACAAAACAGAAGCATTCAATTGGATTGCAAACTATCTGATACAAGTACTTTTCTGGTCGGATACTGTAAATTTCCAGATTTAGTCACTCAAAAGCCGAAGAGTCAATACTCCCATCTCATTACTAGGCAAAAGCCAAAGTAAAACAGCAATGGCCGGGGAAAAGATGGGTCTAGTCCTCCAAATAGGATGGTTCTTTCTATTTGCCTTTAGGCCTACTGTCACAAACTGGCTTCCTCAGCTAGTTTGGTACACTCAATAGTTCTAGAACCCCTGGTAAAGAGGCTGAGAACAAAAAAACAGGGACGGAAAAAACAGTAGGGGAGGGAATTTAGGGAATATAAAAAGAAAAAAAAAAGTGAAAATAGGAAGAAAAAAAAATGGTGAGTATGTTGCCAGAGTGGAAAAAAAGAAGCCCAAGTGATGCTCACAGAGGTAGAACCTGCAGCATCGCAGAATTCAGCAGATCTCTCCGGAGAGGAAGCAATACTGCGCATCTTCAATCCTGGTTTTCATAATCAAAAACACTAGTCTTTTTACTATCAATCTTCCAAAAATGTCTAAATAAGGATAGTCATAACAGGTATGTATACTGAGCTTATTATTAAAAAGAATTTTAAAGATAACATTTTATCTACTTTGAACTTCCTGATCATTTAGTTGAATGGTCCATTCCATGCAATGGACAAATTTGAATTGCAATGGTGTTTGAGTTCATATATCTGTGTGGTACAGTGAATTACTATCATAGGATTGTACACCCATATTTCTGCATGTGATTTCAGTGTCTCCCAGTAGATTAAGTAGATGGAGCCTCTTTCTCTCCTAAATGACCCTATGGTCCTATGACTTGCTTTGGTCAATGCAATGTAGTGGACATGATATAAGCAGAGGTTTCATATAGGTTCACATAATTTGATATGGCCTCTGTGGGTCTGATATTTGCCAGGTGAAAAGCATGCCCTGATTAACTGCTGGAACCAGAATGAGAGGCTGTGGGAAATCTTGAACCCAATCCTCAAATGCCTGACAGGCATGTGAATGAGAAATAAATGTCTGAGCCATTAATATTTGGGGGCAGTTTGTTGTGCAGCTTTATCACAGCAGAAACCTAAAATGCCTTACAGTGATTATTTTCTCTTTGTTAATTCTTATAGAATTGAGAGAGGCCATTTCTCTTACCTTAGAGGTCTCTAATCAAAATTTGACTTTAGAGTTTTTCCAACCTGATTCAAGTATAGAAGTCTTTCTCTACTTGGAAGACAAAATTTAAACTGTTATCCCCAAATACACACACTCAATTCATTTATCTCTTTGACTTTTAAATTACCAAACAGCTCCCAGAGTCTAACTGGGTATTTATCCTATTTGAAAAGTCCATTTTCTAATTTGGGGGGGTGGGGGCAAGAGTATGACACTGTACCTGCATGTTTTGCTTGCTTTGTATTCTCAATCTCTTCCAAGGCTCCAGACCATTTTTTCTTAGCAAGACCCTTTCATAATGTTCTTTGGCTATTGCTTCCATCTGCTGGTTTCTCTTAATTCTCTTCTGCTTCTCTAGTTCTTTCTGTGGGGAAAAAACAAAACAACACACACATAAAAATGCCGAGGAGGGATGGAGGGAACAAGATGGTGACAGGAGCTCCTGAACTTTCCTCCTCCCTCAGATGCATTAAATTGTGAAGCTAGACATGGAGAAATTAATTCCTTCTGAAAGCAGTTCAGCAGCTAGCTGAGTGACTGATACATATTGAGCAAAACAGAAAATTCCCACCTAGAAATGGGTAGAAAAAACTAAGACACATTCTTGCCATAAACCACATCCCAGGCTCTGTAATGAGAGGGCAACTTCAACTCCCTGCTTCTCCCTGAGAGTAAAGGATTTAGACTGCACATTTAGCATCCCAACTTTTGAGACAAAATTCCTGCCTCTGAACATCTAATTCTGAAACACCAAACTCTGAACACTAATGCTTGTGTCTGTGAAACACACAAGATTACAGCAAAGAATCACTTCTTAATGGGTGTGTTAGTACTAGTTTTGCATATGCCCTATCTAGGTCTCAGCTTAGAAGGATCAGGGAAAGAAAAGCCCCCCTCCTAGTCTTTCCCTGAAAGGAGTTTGACTAGATACTTTACAGGCTGCTGTCTGAGAGCCTGGCTTCTAATTCAGTTCCTGTCTGAGGGCTGACTGTGATCCTCCCTAGAGACAGGAAAGCCACTGAACACTTCCCTATCTTTTTCCAGCTTGCTTCAACAATTAAACCAAAAAACACATCAAAACAAAAACAAACAGACAATTATAAATCAGAGACATCCTGCAGGGGAGGAGGAGGGAGAGGGATCAGAGGGAGGGAAGAGCACAGGGGACTGAGGTGATGGTGCACGGGTGCATTGGTGAAGAAAATTCTATGAGGACTAACCTGGTGTGGGAGGGAACCAAACATTGTTTAAAAATGAGCAGTGATGTAAAAAATATATAAAATAAATTAAAAAAAACAATTAAGCCAGATTGTCAGCATCTCTCTGGCAGGAGCTTGTGCATACTTCTGATGCCCCAACTTTTGTAGCTGCCACTTAAGAGATAGTTCCTTGGATTGCTTTGCTCTGACAGCCAGTGACGTGTGTCGTCACAAGTCCCGCAGACCACAACAAAGAAGCAATCTTGACATGAACGCAGCAGCATCCCGCCCTGTGGCTCTAAACCTGGGCTCAGTGCAGAGGAAACAAGCAAAAATGTACCTCTCCTAGTTTCTCCCTGGAAGGGGTTTAACTACATTTCAGCTGCTGCCTCTAAGCAGCATCCAATCCATACAGGTGCTGACTATAATCCTGCCCTTGGGACACTGTAGGCTTGGGCATATGCTCAACTACTGGAAGCGACTGAGAACAATGACAGTGATTGGGACAATCACAAATGATTGCAAGACAACCAAGAGCTTGGGCCAGGTTGAACTACAAGGTTCATCTCCTACATGAGACCACTGTCAAGACAGGGAGGAGGGCTGTTTCATCTCATGCACAGAAACCAACACAGGGTGTCAAGGAAAGAAAGAAACAGGGTAATATGTTTCAATCAAAACCAGTCTTTATGATATGGAGATAAGTGATTTACCCAAGAGTTCAAAATAATGGCCTTAGAGATGCTTGCTGAGTTCAAGACATAAATGCATGAAGAAAAAGAATTTCGACAAGGACAGAGAACCAAGCAGTAATCAAACACAACAAACACAATGTGTTCACACAATGTAGAAGGACAAAATGACACTGAACTGAAAAATTCAACAGAGGGATTCCACAATGAACACTGTGTAAATTATGGTAACAGAACTCTGAAACTTGAAAAAAGGGGAGCAATTCCTCCAATTGTGAGGAAAAGTTAAAAGTTGGTCATAGCCCTATAAGAATTAGGGTTATGCACATTTTCAGATTTATTAGTCACTGTCCACAGACATGATTTATGTCTCACCAAGTAACTAAAAAATAAAATAACCAGTTATAATAGCAGTCAGTATTTTCCCTTCAGCATTCATGGAGAACTTAGCAATGCAGACCCTTCCTTTAGATTCTGGGGTAGAGATTTATATGCCACTGCCTTGTTCGAAGTTAAAGACACCTCACTAAAAGTCTAGAAAAACATTCTTACACCACGTTATTTAAGTGATGAACGATAAGTCAATATACAAGTTAAAGGCATTTGATCATTAAAAGGCCCTTATGCCCCCCTCCAATATGAAACATTATCACAGATGACAGAAGATCTCATGATGAAGACTGTGGTAATGAAAGGAGAAATCTGCTCAAAATATGAAATCAGAATTCCTTATTATAGAGAATAAGTATTATATAGAAAGTTTAGAAAATCAGGAAAAATACAGAAACGGAAACGCCATCTCTCATCCTCCAACCTATAGCTAACATTTTGACATGTTTCTTTTGGGCCCTTTTTATGCTTATTTTAACGTAATTGTAAAATTTTGTGGTGTTCCCCTCTGTTTCACAATAAAATGTGAGTACTTTCCTGCACCATAAATAGAAAAATAAAAGCCACTCCCTCCTCTAGGAGGAGAAAGTTAAACCATTCCAGATGATGCACTCAGAACAGATACCCCAACAGAGATATCCTAGCTACCCTAAGGCAGAACTCCACCCCACATAGGCTGCTTGAGAAATAGGACAGAAACTTAATAGTCTACTACACAGATGCCATTTCTTTCTCTTTAATGAAAATAGCCTAAAATAAAGGTGAGAGGAAAAGGATACTACTTAAAAATGGTAAGTGGTAGCAATTGACAACCATTATGAAAGTCACACAGAAAAAGCAGAGATTTCAGACTGCATTCATGCCAGGGGCCTCTAGGTAGTATAAATATAACAACATCGAATTTAAGCTGCTGCTTCTTTATTTCCCATAATTTCACTTCAGGAAAGGGACAGTGGTGTATTACTGATTCTGACAAGCTCCGTAATTGCCTGAGCTTTCGGGGGGGGGGGGAAATAAGACCGAGAACACCGTAACATTTCTAATATGGAAGGAGATTTACTCTAAGCTTCGAATCAAAATGATGTATTTCTGGGCAAATTTATCAAGATGAAATATCCATATTCTCTAAAACCGTAAGCCAAAATTACCTTTATAGTCTTTATTTCAGACACTTGAGATGTGGAATTGAATGGCCAGAAATAAAAAATTATGTATAAGAATTTTCTCGTGAGTAGCAAAGGGAAGTCAAGGGCTAAGTAGGAAGGAAAGTAGAAACATCCACTGGGTGTGCCTGTAGCACCCAGACAACACTTGCGACCTGCAGACAGGAATAGAACACACACCATAACCCTCTGGAGAAGCTCTTTGGCCAAAATAACACTGTTCACAGGCACGGCTAAGTTATGGTGTAACTATCTTCTTAGAATTACATTTCTACGGCTGATGTTGTGAGTACCAAAGTAAATTTTTGGATGGATTAGGGGAAAATAACATTTTTTAAAGTTTGCTTTACCATGAGAAAACAGAAAAATATTTAATAAATTAGAGATCTGTTTGAGTAAAACTTGTAAGCATATTTCCTCCCTTAATTAAGGATTCCCCAATAGAACCGACTGTATTTTGTTGTTATTCCCACGTTTTCCATTACCTTGTATACAATATGTCTGTAATAAGACCTGCAAGGTTTTCTGGGAGGACCACATGAAACGATGCAGACTGCTGTGAGACAGCATTTTGTTCACTTAGGCTAAACATGGATACAAAATCACAATTTGTTAATGGCATACCAAAATCTGACTCATTTGAATGTGTACCTATAATCAGTCAATTCTGCTTTGGAAGATCAGGAATTATAGCAACAATTAAGAGTAAAGGGCTTCCCCTAACTCTCTGGCCTCTGTCCATTTAAGCACTCTCCTCTCCCCCCTTTCCTTTTGCTCTTGACTATATCTCCACTTATGCAGTCCTGTAACTTACACATTTTGGTCTCTCATATCACGAATTTCTCCCAAACTACTGGCTAATCAATAAGCAAATATGTGCTGCTATCTCTCATCTTTAAAAAACAAAACAAAACCCCCAGTCACCAACAAACAAAATCCTTCTTTGATCCAATGTGGTCCCTATCTGTAGTAATGGTCCCTGCTTCTTTGCCTCTCATGTTCTCCTCCACTCACTGGAATGGAGCTCCTTTCCCAGCATTCCACAGAAAACACTCTTGTCTAGGTCACAAATAACCTCCATGTTGCCAAATCAAAGAGTTTGTCTGTCCTTTTTAAATACCACATAAGCTAGTAAGGTAACTAATGCTGAAATTCTGGTGAATTGCTTGAGGCCAAGGGTGAGTCAGGATGAGAGGGTAGACCTCCTGGGGGTCTCAGTCCTCGGGGACTTCCCACCTTTTTGCCAGTTTTTGCTCCAGAAACCCTACCAGGCTCTCACAGACAGGATTAGGAAGATAATCCCAAGTAAATAATAAGTAAAATAATCCCAGGTAAAGTTCCCACCATGGCTCTGGCTGGGGGAGAGGAATAGAAGGTATTATAAAATCTGCTCAGGTCATTCTCCCTTAGGAGACAAAAGGTTCCATCTGTAAGCAGGACCATCTGTGGGCACCAGTGGAATACACTACAGCTGAGGGAGGGAACTTGACTTAGACCCATCCCCCCATCACAGGGAAGGATTTTTAAGGTCACAGACTGAAAGTGGCAGATACTGAAAGAAGGGCATGAAGGGGGAGGGAAGAACTCCACCCCTGAAGCAGTAGAAATTCTTGTGAATATCTAATGCTTTGTACTCCACAGACTGAAACTAAATCAAAACTTTAGAGAATGACCCCCCCTCATTCACACCCCACCACCACACTAACAAACCTCCATAATAATAGTGCAGTATAACCTGGAGAGCTGTAAGAGACAGACTCTCTGGGGAGCAACACAAAGGGAAGACATAAAGCCAACACAGGAGGCAAAAACAGAGTCGATAGAGGAAATGGAGTCTGTGATGCCCATAACAACAAGTCTCAACATGGTAGCCATAGCAACAACATATGTCCTACTAGAAGCTAGATTAACATAAATCTCCATACTAAAGTCCTACTTATCTCAGTTGTATTACCCTGTACAACATGGTTTTCAACAAGAAATAGAGTCTGAAAAGATAAATCAATCATCAGAACAAGACTAGATATGGCAGAGATGTTAGAACTATCAGAGAGAGAATTTTAAATAACTATGGTAATACTATTAAAGGTTCTAATGGATAAGAGAGTCATCATTAAAGATCAGGGAGGTAGTTTTAGCAGGTATGGAAGCAATAATAAAGATTTAAATGAAACTGACTTCTGTGTCCCTTTGACATGCCCCATCCTCATTCTTTGAGTATTTAACTTTCTGACACTATTCATCTTATATTTTCACTATCTCAGCCCTAGAATCAACATTTCTCCAAGCTGCCCTGGTTCTAAATGGTACTTGGAAAGCAAGACCTGAGCAGTGAGGGTGCTTATTGCTACTAAGGTATCATCATTTCTAATGTATACTAAGCCATGTATACATACCTATCTATATTTATTTCTGTATCTATATAGATAAATATATTAATTTAGGTATGAGTTCATACTTAGATGAAGTAGACAGGTGTCAATCTTAAAAGCTTCCACTGACCCAAGATAGCAAATCTGAATAACAAAATAGATTTTATAACTCAAAGTTTAAATAAATATATATATAAGTGCATTGATATAAATGATTAAATAAATGAGTGGAGGAAGAGAAATAAGTCTACCTCACAAAACAATTCCAAATACTATATATTAGACACTCCTCCCTTCAAGAGTCAGAGCTAAACATTCAACTCTTCCCTGCTTTGAGAGCTGTCTGGACTTAATGAATGACCTTTAAAGAATAGAGCATGCAAAGGGAAGAGGAGACACGTCACAGAGGAGGTACTTGTCTTCTAATACTGAGACCATGGCCTTAATCAAGTAATCAAGGTTAACATCACCAGAGATAAGTCATCCTGGGATAAGTCATATATCTGCTATGAGATTGGGAGAGTATTTTACCTAGGGAGTATTCTTTAAAAAACAAAAACAAACTGTAACCCCAGAATACTTATAAGAAAAACATCAGACCAACACAAATTGAGGGACATTCTATAAAATGCTTTGCCAGTGCCTCTCAAAATTAACAAGGTCATGAAAAACAAGGCAAGACTAGGTGCTATGGTCTGGTCTGCATGTGTCAAAAATTCACATGTTGAAATTCTAATGCTCCAATGTGACAGTATAAGGGGGGGGTGGCGCTTTGAGAGGTACTTAGATGGAGCCCTCATGAATAGAAAGTGCTGCTAGAAGAGACTCCAGAGAACAGAACTCCTTAACCCCTTCCATCATGTGAGGACACAGCGAGAACTTGGCAGACTACCACCCAGAAGAGGGTTTTCACCAGAATTTGACCATGATAGCATCCCAATATTTGACCTCCAACCTTCAGAATTGTGAGAAATAAATTTGTGCTGTTTACAAGATACCCTGTATTTTGTTACAGCAGCTTCAACAGACTAAGATACTAAGAAACTATGACATGTTTTAAAGGAAATATACTTCAGTCCATAAAGGGGCACCTACCCCAATCTTGGTGAAGAGGAAAGTGAGGTGCAGTAGGAAAGGCTAATGTAGAAGTCATGTTTGAGTTAAGATCTGAAGAAGACGCAGGTTTTCACAAAGGTAGAGAAAAAAGAATGAAGGTGAGGGAAGAGTGTTCTACACAGAAGTTCTGGGGACGGGAAGGTGTGCAAGGCCACAGTATTGCACACAATAAACTTCAAGGAAGAGGTGACTTGCCCAAATAGATAGTACTGACCATTTTCTTCAGTTTCTTCTCTTGTCGCTTTTTCTCAAGTTGAGCTTCCTTTTCTTCTGCCTCCCTTTTCTGACGCTCTTCTTCTAGGGCTTTTAACTGGGCCTGATCAAGATTAAAATTCGTAGAAATGAGAACCTCAATTTTTACAGAAATGAGAGCTATACTAAGAAAAATCAAGCATCTACCAACATACCTATCCCGTTCTGGAAGAAGCCTACATTTTGCAATAAAAGTAGGAAACCTGACCAACAGGTGGTCAGTTGTGCAACTTAAAATCTTATCTAGAAGAATCCTGGTCTACTTAGGAGAAGGTAAGACTAAACATGAATAAGATCATTAATTTTTCATCATAAAAGAATTACTTTTTAGTTCTTATTTGCACCTGAGAAGTATTAAGCCCAAACTATATACAATATGGGAAAATTTTTTTTTTCCCTTTCACTTCACCAAGCCAACCAACCAAACAAACAAAAAACAACCCAACCCCAAACTGTTGGCATATTTACTTTTTCTTAATAGGTGCAAAATTTACTTTTGACAGTCTGGGTCAAAATTTACAAAGTATCAGGTTGGACATCAATCTATAATACAAATCTTCCAATTTGTTAGCTCCCTTCAATTCTTCCTTCCTGCTACACTTAGGATGATGAAGATGCTTTCCCCCTTTATTTTTCTAAAATTGTCATAGAGAGTTCAGGTTAGCAGGCAAAAAGCTATTTTCAAAGTTGGTCTAACTCTGTTGTCATAAGAGAGCTAAACAAGCAAGTTTTCATGTTTTAACAAAGACCTATACAACTCCTTTTTCTTGCCTCAGTTTGCATTCTTGATTTATTACCAATTTCTCCTCTTCTTGTTTTTTCTTCCTCTCTGCCAAGATCCGCCTACGTTCAGCTCGCTGAGCTGCTCTCTCTTCCATGGCTAGAAAATAGTAACAGAGTTACAGTATCAAAGATATAAGGAATATTGAAAAAGAAATTTCTCCATTTTACAGTAAAAATTGTTATTGTTAGGATTTTCTTATAAGTTGAGTGTTCACAATTTCAGAAATATATGTAGCTACACATACATGTCTATGTACATGTCTGTATATATCATATGTATTTATTTAAATATGTAAATATATAAATATATTAAATACAGCTATATAAGATATAGATACTTATACCCTATAAGTTAAAGAACTATAATCTCATCCTCACTAATGATGATCAATTTTCAAATAAATTACGTTTTTGGTTACATTTCTATCAGAAAAACTGATTACTGGTTTAAATAAGATAATGTACCTAGATGATACTTGTAGTAAATAAAACTTAGATGCCAGGCTTTTAATTTGATGCTCCTGTAACACATGTAGAAAACTTTAATTACATCTAAAAAATATTTTGATAATAGTCACTTCTCAAATCCCATTAAGTTTGTTAATTTTTCCTAAGTCACTATACATATGTCTGTATATGTAACAACAACAACAAACAAACTAAAGTTTGGGGTCACAATGAATACATTTTAAACTAGTTTTAAGGGTTGTATATCCAGATGGGCAGGAAATGGAATTGTACTAGGCATTTGGAGAACTGGCATCTGAACAAATTTGAGTGTCAGACTCCTGTTCTTGACAGTCTATTAAATATCGATCCAAAAGAAGCAAATGTGCAAGATGGTCTGATAATATGACTCTGTCATCAGTCGGGGCTTTCATAGGAAGAGGGGCATGGGTGGGAGGAGTATCAAGTTCTGCTCACCTAAGTCAGCCAATAATTACTTTCAATTCTTTGTGCCATGTTATAGAGAAGAAAATGTAAGTCCAAGTTTTAGGAATTAGTAAACAAAAAACTCGCCAGGCTATTTCTTGCAGATATTAAGTGTCTGCTTTGCTGGAAAAAGAATCGTGGGGGTGCCAGAGAGAGTGGGAATGAGACCGTCTTTAAGGAGGCTGAAATAGACTAGAGGATTAAAGTGAAAGAGTCCTAAGCAGAGTCTCTGGTCATATGTCCTTTTCCCATCTTTTCTACAGCTACATGAAGGACTACTTGAAAATATACTGGGGTTCTGAGATATGCTAACTCCTTGATCAAATAGTAATTTGAACTGGGCATTTTCCAATCATCCTCAGAGATGGAAAAAGATGGCATAAGCTGATGTCTTGGAAGTTAATGCAAAGACTGCCAGTCTCTCCATTAGTAGGAACTGAGCAGGGACAGTGTCCTTCAAGTGACATCATTTCTTGTAAGAACAGAGATCTTGCCACAAGTGAAAAATCAGATTTATAAACCACAATATAATTGTCAAAGTACCTAGCACATATTACAAACATGTATACTTTGTGACTATAGCAATGAGAACAATTAACAGATTCAGGAGATGAGTTGTAAAAATGTTTCAAAGCATTATTTGATACAAAAAGGGATTTCTACTAGGTGCATCAAAAAAGCTATTAAAATGTCTGGCATATATTTCATTACTAAAAGCCTATGACCAAGACACAACTCATTCAAAATGATATAATAATGATGTAAATTGCTACAAACTGTTCAATACTTGTATATTAACAAAGCACAATGATAGGTGATTATTTTCAGTGTTTATCCTTAGCAGTTTCTCTGAGTTTTCTCATTTGTGTTATTGTTCCATTTTGTTTCTACAATCCAAATCTCAAATTTTAGAAAAATGACATCTTTCAGAAACGTGTGTGTGTGTGTGTGTGTTGGCTGAGAAGGCCAAAAAGTTTGGCAAAAGGGGTAGGAAAAAAGTCTTGTTTCTCTCTGGTAATTCCATTCCTCATGTGTTTACCCATCTCAAGTCTGACCAGGCTCTGCCAAGTCTCAAACCAAAGAGTTGCCAGAATTCAGTCCCAGCTACTCAAAGAGGGAAGACAAACACTGCCAGGCCACCCCCAAGACAGCCCTGCCTTTCAGTATGGAATGGGGTGCCATCAGCTGCCTTGGGTTCCTTCTGGATCCAGAAAGAGAATTTCGGGAGTCACTTCCACTGCCTTCAGTCCCAGGGGAAGTAACAGGCGAACTGGGGAGAAAAAAGCAAAAGAATTCAGACCATAACCAGATTTCTTCAAAGCCCTTTCACCGGAGAAACTCAGAGTTTTCATTAATCCTCACTCTCAGAGATAACTGTACACTATCACACATATTTTATAAAACTGATATAAAGAAGCAGGGAAAGTTGGTTGGCCTGTGTTTACAATGGGAGACAGGTGGTCTAACTCTCCTGAAGTACTTCAAACCAATAGTTACGACCCCTCCATATCCTACGCTTTATCACACATATTATTATGTCTCTGAAACTTTCTTAAATGGCTCTTGAGAAACTTGGACTCTTATTCCAGGGGCAAAGATGTTTACTTTTATCTAAAACAACTACAAATTTAAGCTAGGTAATTGGCCAGCCCAGGGGTAGTTCTATTTGGACCTGATATTTGTTCCACCTGGCTTCTCAGAACTAATATCATCAGAAAATCAGCAATCTAATTGGAGCAAGCAAACCTTTACTGGCATAATAACAGAACTCCTCAGACAAAGGCAAGCACAACAATGGTAGCCACTTGCCACTTGTATCTGGCATGAGCAAATCACATTTGCTTTAAGGATTCGCAATAAAAGGGGAGATTATGAAATCTGGAAGGCAGGCAAGAGAACCTCCCAGAGCTTCTTTACCAAAAAAGGAGAAACCCCTAATAAAGAGTCCAAAGAATGTTGTGATACAATGGACATACTTTGGAAGTAATTGAGGGGTTCTTTTTGGTTCTTCTTCTCTGGGGTTTGATAATAGGCGGCCCTGTGCCTCTGTGACTGATGCAGCACGCTCAGCTGCCCACCGAGCCTCTGCCAACCGCTGGCTTTCCTTCAATTCCAGAATTGTTTTCTGTTGTTCCTGAAGTTTCTTCTTTTGTTTTTCAATCAGCTGTTGCTGGAAGATATGGCGATTGTGGAAATGACCCATGCAAATAGGTTCTGATTTCTGACTGGTAGTTCTGAGTTTCTCACTGCCGCCAGGCTGTTGGGAGGGCTCAACATCCAGGGTCTTGTGCTGCTTATTGTCAGATGTGTTCTGAGGGACATTTTGGAGGGGAACCTGTATGCTGCTCTTTGTTGGTCGTCCCAATGGGGGGCTGAGCATAAAATCATTGCATTCTGATGGAGGCTTTTCCCACAAATGGGACATGGCAGTCACCTGAGAGAAGAGGAACACATTATAGCTTAGCCAGTTAAAAGGCTGTGCTGATGAGCTCCAACTCCATCTAGTCAGCACTGTTCTCTTCAAACAAGTGCACCCCAGAATTGCCCTGTGTTCCTGGCCTGGCTACCTCAGAAGCACTGGTCTTAGCTCTGTGAGTCACTCTTAGCCTGTGCAGTTCCACTCACCGTGCAAGCTGGGTAGGAGGGTGGTTATAGCTGTTCTCAGCATTGCTGTGGGTCAGGACATTTGCAAGAAGAAAAATGTGCTCTTATCAATTTCTAATTTGGACAGTATTTTATTTGTGAATTAGGTAAGATCACTCCAGATATATATTATAGGAGTTTAAATCTGTATGAATTAACTTTGAAATTTGCAGAGAATCAAAAATTTTTTTCTTAAAAATACTTGAAAACTAAGGAATCCTTTTACAGATCAGTAATAGCTCTGTTCTTTCAATGACTCTCCTGCTACTAGAAAATTAACCATAGGGTGTTCAGTTATTTCAGGGCCAAGGCCTAAATTAAAGCTTACAACTTCCAGTTATTCACAAATAATTTGGGGGAAGTATTTGCAAGCCCAGAATTATAGGCAAATATCTGTATTACTCAAGAATAATGTTATCTAATAACATTTTGTCTTAGCATATGGTTTAATCAGTTTTAAAAACTCTATCATATAAATCTCATTTAACAGAGACTGAGGTATTCAACTATAAGCTCTATACAGAAGGGAAGAGAACAGAATTCTTAACCAGAAAACTTATCCTGGCCAAAATAATGTCATAGTTAAAATGTCTCTTTTAAGAATGGTTTGATTCCATGGTCTAGGATCTGACCAGTTTTTGATTCTGCCATCTGCAGTGGCATAAGGAGAGAAATACTATGAACTATTTTACATCTTAGAAACTTCTAGCTTTAATGAGGTGCTATACTGAGGTACTCAAAAAATATTTTCATGATGATGGAAATATTTTCTATAGACTCAGTTAAAGTGAGAGAAGTGATATATTGAAATTCGGACAAGTTGCATATTTTTAAAAATAACCTCCTATTTCAAAAATGTTGGTGGACATTTATTCATGAGAACGAACACCTGCTTAAGTAATTTAGCGTCAAGCAGGGTATATGTTTTAGGCCATTTTAGACTCTGTGGTGGTACTACATTATTACCCCAGCAAGACTAAAAGCCTTGAATACAGGAACAAGATTTCCTTTGGATCATGTTAACTTCTTAAGGTAAAAATAAGAGAATGAAAGAAAAGCTTAATGATACAGGCTGTACTTAATGGGATAGGACTGACCATTCTGGTTTAATTGAAGAAAATCACCAACTAGCTAAGTGATAATTTTGAAAAAAATTCAAGGTATATGTGTTTCTGGTACATGAGTTCCTATGATTGTATAATTAATGAGCACCTGACTAAAGATTTTATATTTCATTTGTTCATATTATATTCAATACTCTGGAAAAGACCAGACTTTAACTTGTAACCTATGGAGTCTATTATAGCCCTTTATTTTCATTTGCTCTATTTTTTACAATATTATCCTTTCTTGATAAAACTATTTGCTCTCAATTTCAGCAATTTAGAGGCTTTTTTCTTTAGCTTAATACATGTAATAATTTTTCTATTTTATGTAAGTAAAAAAAAATACTTCCTGCTGACTTTTCTTTTTCATGTAAAGCTAACAACAGTAGACCTTTGTAAGGTAAAAACTTCCACACAGCTATTTCCTAAGATAGAATATTTGCTTGAATCTCAATGGAAACAAAATTATCTAACTGACATAAAATATAGGTGGAGATATTGCCTTTATTTAGGGGAAGAGAACAAAATGTTACATAAATCCCAAGAAGGATCCTCACGATCCCCCTTTGCTGGGATACTACGCTTAAATTAAAACCACCCTGCTTGCTAGTAGTAATGAGGATAAACAGCAAGACTGGAGAAACTCTACTGCCCAATTTAACTTCACAAGTCTGAGTTAAGTACTTAACAGTATCTTGTGAAAGGATGGAAGGTCTAGGATAGAGGTGAGGGCATAGAGGACCTTCTCCAAAAGGCTTTTCAAACAAGGTAAGTATAATAGTGAAAGGAAAAACTGATAGGATTGATTTTATAAAAAGCTAACTGTGTATACTAAATACCATATATAAAACAAAAAGATAAGTGACCAAAAAAATCGCAAGGTATATAATAATAAAAGCATCACATCTTCGAAAATATAAAAAGCTCCAGTAAACAAGAAAAAAAATATACAATCATGTAGAAAAGTTACAAGGGGCACCAGGAAACAAGTCACTATATATCTATCTTTCCATATCTATTGTCATATATATATGTAAATGGACAATATAAAAATGTTTACCCTCCCTGATAATCAAGGAAATGCAAATTATGAATCAATAATAAAATTGAAAATATTTTACCTGTCAACTTGGCAAAAATAAACATATGTCATCAGGTAGGAAAACAGGTACTTCTTTGGTACAGCCTTTCTGGAAGGGCACTTGGCAATAGCCTTTAAAATGTGCATTCTGGACCTCCCCAGTGGCGCAGCAGTTGAGCGCTGGGTTGCAAGGCTGCCTGCAGCCTCTGCAGCGCCGGTTTGATACCCGGCTGCTCCCTGGCCACCGGAGGAGGGTCCCACATGGCGCATAGACCTCTCCTGCTGCCTGATGCTCCCCTCAGCAGTGTACTTTGGTCCTTCTGCCTGCTCTGCTCCCTGCTCTGGCTCTGGTGAATTCTCTCGCCCCCCACTGAGCTTCTGATTGTACCCAGTGCTTGTATAAATGAATAAATAAATCTTAAAAAAAATAAATAAAATGTGCATTCTATTTTTAAGGCTTTATCCTAAATAAAGCATTATGGATATGTGCAAAGATTTAGCCACAAGGATGTTCACTGAAGCTTTGTTTACAAACATCTTAAATGTTCGCCAAAGGAGAGAAGGTAATAACATGGTAGCTTATGGTTTATGACAGTGTCATGCAACCATAACAAAATGATGCACAGAATGGCAGTCTTTAATCAGAAGCTGTTCATCAGCTTCATCTGTGAAACTTAAATTTAAATACAGGTGCCCCACACCCAGAAAATCTGATTTAGAAGGTCTGATTCTGCAGTATACACTCAGTTGTGAATTACTGGTATGGAAGCAGATTTGGTAACATGGAGAATTCTCATGTTACATTGTGAAGATGTAAAAAAAAATTAGAAAAAATGACAATTATATTTTTAAGAAACAAACATGGGGGCCTCCTTGGTGGCACAAGGGGTTAAGAAGCTATCAGCAGCCACTGTAGCACGAGTTCAATTCCCGGCTAGGGAGTTAACCCACATGGCCCAGCAGACTCTCCTGTTTCGCCCGCTGCTCCCCTTAGCAGTGTATTTCAGTGGATCCACCTATTCTGCTCCCCACTCTGTCTCTGGTGAATCCTCTCACCACCCCAACCCACCCCCACCTCGGGCCTACACTCCAGTTCTTGTATGCATAAATAAATCTTTAGAAAAAAAAAGAAACAAACATAGCTTTCCTTTTTCAGTACTGTAGTAGACTAGTTATCCTCAATGGCTTGGCTGAAGAAAATTTAAAAACTGAATGAAATATTAAAGAGGAAAAAATTGCATATGTTTGAGTAAAGACTGGGTGGCTACACAACAACATATTATCAGTGGTTATCACCAGCTGATGTATTTATAAGCTATTTTTCTTTTTAAAGTAATTTTCTTCTACTAAACTGCTACAATTAAGACATATGATTTTTCTCACTAGAAAAATAAAAAAAACTTAAACAACCCCTTCTTCTAAGCTACAAGCTCATTTAGAAAGGAAATGTCTAATGATCAAATCATAGGAGTTCAAGAGTTGTGAACAATGCTTTATATATCTGTTCCTGAGTCTTTCACTTATTTAAAATTCCTTCTCTATATTATGTCCCTACCAAGTTTCAAGTATACCAAAGTTTAGATGTGCTTATAAAAGCCCAAGATTCAGGTCAAGAAAATAAACACTGCCTGAAAAAGAAACCTTTGTGCATTTATAGCCCCTCCCATCCTTTGGACAGCCTAGGCAAGGCAGCTGGACAAAGGCTATCACACCCTAGGCTATACAAGAGCAAAGCTAAAATGCAAGTGTTTATTAAGGCAGAAGAACAAGTAAAGGAAAAACCGTACCTCTCCATTTCTTATAGGTGGATCCACTGTGGATGTTGCCTCCTCAAGTATACAGAAGCCCGATGACCCACTTGCACTGAGTTTCCCCAGTGATGCTGCCTTCAGCAGCTCATTCATTTTTTTCCTGGTTTCTTCCTTTGCTAGAGTTAGCTCTCTCTTTAGGATCTCTGCGCGATGCCAACGCTGCCATTCCGCAAAGCGCTGTCGGAGAACTTGTTTTCGGTTATACTCAGTGGCCAGTTGTTGTTTTCTAAGCAACAAAGCACTTCCATTAAAAAAGGGGAATCATTTATAGGTTGATAGTAAAAATGAAACAAATCTAAAGGAGTCCCAGAAATGCTCCATTTTATCCTTTTAGTTAAGCTAATAAAATACCCCACTGTACAGGGCTTTCTCTTAGAAGGCATTGATACCTGAAGACATTACCTCAGAAAAAGTCATATTCAATTTTTTTATTATAACAAAATAGTTTTTGAGAGCTTTTGGGGAGGGAAGAAGCAAAAAAGCAAAGGTATATAAATACGGATACATGAAGGAAGAAGTTAGTTATGCTGAGAAATCTAAGGAAGACAGAGGTTTGGGGAGAAGAGAGGAACAAGACTTTTAAAAGTCAACGTCAAATTATGAAGGTGGATATTGCCAAAGAAGGGCTTGATAAGGGAAAGGATCTCTAAAAACAAACACTCACTTACTAAACCCATAAACAGAATGAATGAAGGAACTGCCTTGTGAAAACACTTGCTAAACACTAGACATGTGTAAAAGGCAAAGACAAGGCTCTCGCTCTCATGGAACTCACCCAGAGTCTACGGAGGGATAAGGTTCATTCTCTCCTACAGAAGTGTCCCTTTTGATTCCTGGGAATTTCATGAACATTAGGAGACATGACTGAGTGGAGTCAGGAACTGCCAACTACATTCCCTCCCTATTGGAATCTCCATTGGAACCACTTTGATGGCAGCCAGTAGAGACTTCAAGCATACAGGTCCTCGGTCTAACTGTAAGTTGATAATTCTGGCCCTGAAGAATTGAGCCAGAGAGTTTGGAACTTATGTCCCATCAGGGGTCAGTTTTGAGGTTAAAACCTTAATGTTCAGATGCGTGCTTGATTTTATCTTGTCAAAGATGACTTGAATAAGTTCTCTATAATACTATTTGCATATTTATTTCTGTTAAACATATAACGCTTAACTGTCCTCATGGACTCTTTGGGGTCGTATAAAAAAGTGATAAAGTTCTTAAGTCAAGGAGCTAGGAGAACATTTCTAGAGTTCTTTAATGTTTAAGTGACTTTTAAATATTTTTGATAGCCAACTACATTAAAAATTTTACCCTGTGATTCAATACACAAGTTTATGTGTGTATGTATGTATGAAACAAATGCATATCAAACTGAAGCAAGGGCCTCCCCAGTGGCGCAGCGGTTGAGTGCTGGGTTGCGAAGCTGCCCGCAGCCTCTGCAGCGCCGGTTTGATCCCCGACTGCCAGGCAAGGGTCCCACATAGCACGCAGACCTCTCCTGCTGCCCGCTGCTCCCCTCAGCAGTGTACTTCGGTCCTTCTGCCTGCTCTGCTCCCTGCTCTGGCTCTGGTGAATTCTCTCACCCTCCCACGCTTCTGACTGTACCCAGTGCTTGTATAAGTAAATAAATAAATCTTAAAAAAAAAAAGAAAAACATTAAAAAAAAAACTGAAGCAAAACTTTTACCAAACAATATTTGACCTTACTAACAGAGATGTACTCTGGTAAAGTTCATCTTGAGCCTGACTGATTTCAGGACCTAAAGATGGATTAAAATTCTTAGTTTGAAAAAGACTACTATTTATATTTAACATGGTAAGTTTTATGCTATGTATCTTTTAACAGGATTAAAAATAAAGGTAAATAGAAATTTAAAAAAGACTGCTTTGAATCACAGAATTTAACCTATCAGAGGAGGTGGATGAAACAACCAATTCGTGAGAGTAGAGTCAATTGAAATAGTGGTTTTTATGATAATCACTAACAGCAACTCTGACTGCAGCATATTTTATTATATTTAATTGCTTCTTTATAATGCATTAATGGTTGGCACTCAATAAACAAATACTTGGTGATTGACCAACTGATGGATTTTGTAATAAAAACATACATGGCAATAAAGATAAATATATATACACACATATATAGCATTTTACTTTGATGCAAATAAGAAACTGAATAACCTTGAAATAAAAATTTAGAAGAAATAAGAGAAGTTAAGTCAGGTAGCAACATAGGTAAGGACAAAGGCCCACAAATATCAATGTATAAATAGTGAAACAAATGAAAATCCCTAGAACACTTTACTTAGGTAATGAACAATCATAAATTTCCACAGGATAGACGATGTATATTGTTCTAATGTGAAATTCAATTTTCATCACTCTGCTCAGGAAGGGTGAGTATGAAATTTACCTGTTGTGTTAACTTCATGTTTTTATAGCATAAACAAACAAAAGCAACCCTGGGAGGTTTAACTGTCAGGGAATAGATTATTTGCACACTATGGAAGAGACAAAGAGAATAGTATTTCCTTAAGCCTCACAAAAAGACTAAACAGTAAAAAGTGGGTAAAAAATTGTATGTTCACTCCGTAATGGTCAAGGAGGGGATTTAAAAATGTAATTAAGATATCTATGTCTGCGGGTTGAAGAGGAAGGGGGGGAATTCAAAAGCTAGGTTCTACCTCTACTTCTCTGCTGTTCACTTCAGCAGCAACAATATTCTAGACTAGCCAATTTCTATATTTTCTAAAAGATGACCCTAAAAACGTAAATACTGTTGAAAAGGATCAATCACTTAAACTTCTTAAAACCTAAAGAAATGGTTCCACTGGTCATAAAATGGACAGAGTTCCCATGTGGAAAATATCCTGCCTCGATATGCTTCCAAGCTGAAATTAGGGGGACTTTCTGGCAGGAGTATGTAAGTTTATCATCACAATGATATAACTTCATGCAGAGAAAGGCTTCTCTAAAGACCTAAGAATATAAAGTATAACAGGATTCGATGGGAATTTAAACATGGACCATGCTGCTCAGAATCAACACCTCAAAAGATACTTGGTGACTGGTGCATATTCTAAAGCCTAGAGGCTAAAAGAACACTAACTCAATCTCACTACATATGGGGCAATGGCAAGCAGCTGCAAGTTTCTAAGCCTCAGATACTTCCTCAAAAATGGTTCTTCCCTTTATAAAAAAAAGGTCCTACACTGCCTATATTGCACGGCTTTTTTTTTTTTTTTAATGATCTAGTATAAAAGAAGCTATTAAAGAAAAAGAACCTACAAACAGAACAAATTCACACATAGGTATTATAATACCTTAGGACGAGACCACCAGATATCTGAAAGGTGTTTTGATTTTTTTAAAAGGAAATGAGAAGTGATAAATAAATAACCATATACTAGTGATCTAGTTGAGTGCCAAAATCTGACGCTGAACATAAAAACAGCTTTAAGGCTAACAGCTACCTGAGATGAGCAGGTTCAACAGGAATAAGATTGAATAAGCTAATGCATTCAATAATGCACCAGGCAGCCCCCAGAGAAATAGTGGAAGATAAGCGAATTCTGTTTTGTAGTGAGTCAGGCAATGCAAGTCTGGCCTTCTTGCTTCTCTGATAGATGTAGCAGGAGCTTTCCTAGCCTCAGACGCCATGCAGTTTCTAGCCTCTCTTGTGGATACGCAGGTGAGCACAGAAGGAAGGGCAATGGCACATGATTAACAGAAGTGCTCCAAAACTGATTACACAGAAGTATCCCGAAATCAGGAATGCCAGAAATGGGGGATACCTGACAGTCTATTTTCAACCCAGCCTCCACACCTCCATGCTAAACCTGTCAGGTTCACACCAGCCTGCCCATGTGTTGGTTTCCCAGTTTTTCTCTAGAATGAAAAAAACCTTCTCTTGAAAGGTGGAGCCCATGAACTCCTATTTTTAAGAAGCTCTTTGGGGGATGGTAATGCATGAGATCCAAGTTTATGTCATTCCTAAGTATTTATGGTGCTTTCTGTTGCAATTATTTTTAGTATTTGGGAACAATCTTTGATTTCTCCACTTAGATCAAAAGCTCCAAGAAGGCAAAAATGTTTAGCACTTTTGTAGTCCTCCTCTTACTTAGGAGTCTAGTACACAGGAAGCATCAGTAAAGCTGGCTTAATGAATACACTCTATCAAACAGAATGAGTGAATGAATGAATGAGTGAATGTCAAGGTTTGAGGGATGTCAAGGTGCTATTTTTTCCACTGGCCTGCCACAGTGCTCTCAAATCCCCATCATTTATATTTTGGGTATTGTTTCCAGCAGCTGATTGCTAAAGTGTAAGTTTCCTAGGAGGGATAAAGTATCCCTTTACAGTAACAAGGCATGAAACTCTTTAGGAAAAAGGGGAAGAAATAAAATGCATCTCACATGACAGCCTAGAACACTGGGTGCAGGACTGAATGGACAGTGAAGGTCACTACATGAAAGGACAGAGATGCTTCCTGTCCTGAGAAATAAGGGAAGTGAGTCTTAGGAAGGGCTCATGGAGGATGATGAACACAAACCCTGCTTCTTCCCAATTTTGTCTAGGGTTTGCTGTACATCTAGGAAAGAAGGGAAAGGGGAGGAATGCAAGATATGTAAGCAACTTCCAAAGTGAATATGCTGAGGAAATTCAAAATACAGTTCATATTTCAATACCACCATGGCAAAGGGCCTAACATAGTGTGTGTAGCAGAATTTTGTTGTATTACCTAAGTAAGGGAAGCCTCAGTTAGGGCTTGGGATATTTGTTAATGTTGAAGTTGTATTACAAAACTGAATTGAAATTTTATAATACCATTACCATAACTATATATTTTTAAAAGATAGATAAAAATGGAAGGAAGGGAGGCAGGAAGGGACGAAGGAAGGAAGGAAGGAATTAAGCAAGAAGCCCCAAAGGTTCGGCCCTGCATAGGGGACATGCCAGTGAGGAGAAACCCCAGATGGCAAAAGCAAATGTAGATGCAAAAGCTGGAGGATGAGGATACAGTTGACATCTGAGTAATGGGCATAGCAAATGATTGCAAGTTGAGGTAGATGAGCCACAGAACCAGCTATGTTTGGTCAATCTGGTAAGAGCTGAGTTACTACAATGAGTAGCCAAGTATATAAAAATGCTCTCTAGCCCTTCAGCATGCTAGAAAAAAAAAGTGCTTGAAAACACTATCAAGTTGAATTGCAGAAGAAAAAGGACTGGCTCTTCATTCATTCACTAACACACTTAAGTTCAGCAAGTTTGTATTTGGTATCCATTGAGGTACTGGAAGAAATCCTGATGAGCATGGTAATCCTGGCTCTCTTGACACTATCAATTCCACTGGTATTTGTTGATTTCTACTTGCAGTAACTACCTTTGAGTTGTTCTCTCCACTTCTAATATCCCAACCTTCTCTGAACAAAATCACCCAACTTAATTTCCTAAGCCAATCTCCAGAACAAAGAAAAACATGAAGAAAGCCAGGGATTTTAGGAAAGCAGTACAAAAGACATTTGTGTTAACAGCTCTTTTTTTTCTCTCCTGTGTTTCTAGTATGATGTATCATTTGCTAATTATCATGTCTATTTGTCATCTGTAATCATCTGAAGTAAACTGCAATATAATTGAAAAACATGGCAGTCTTATAGGACCATCAATATTTGTTATTTATCATAGGAGTATGGGGTATAGGAAAAAGCATCAGACTCAGAATCAAAAGACCAGCCTCTAGTCCTAGACTAGCTACTCTTAACTTTATGACCTTGAGAGAGTTATTTACCATTCTCAGACTTACTTTCATCATCTGTAAAATGATGGACTATATCAGATGATACTTGAGGTGACTTCTTGTTCTAAGAATTTTTTTTTGCTTTAAAGTTTTACAGTAAAAAAAAAAATTTATAAGTTAAATATTTTCTAGCTCCAGCAGTTTAAAAAAATGTTGTACCCATTCTGAACATTTAAAAATAGACACCTGAAAATAATTCACAGATATGAGACATAAAGTTCTGAGATCTTTAAAAAAAATTGGCACATCATGCCATTATGAAATCCCCATTTAGTACTTTTATTTTAAACAGTTTAATTGGGATGAAACCTCAAGTTCTTCAGGTTTTTCTTCTGCAAGCTTCTTTTGGCATGTAAATCTCACAGGCCACTGTTAACTTGAACACTGTTAACTTGAAATATTCTAACCCTTTATGCCTGTCCTCAAGTTACTTTCTCTTTATAACACCTTCAGTTTCCTGTTTATTTAATGAATCCTGCCAGCCACTCCTTTTCCAGTTAGCTATCATCTGCAATTTCTTTATCAGTCACTAGGATCTTGAGAATTTAGAAATGAATTATGGAAGAATTTTCTATTTTGAGCTCTTTTTTTCACTTAAAATTTCCCCCAAGCATACTTAGGAAAATTGACTCAGTCACTCTACTGCTTAAAAACCTTCAATAATTCACCTTCATTTACCAAAGAAAACCTAAACTCAAGGCCTTTCACAAATTAATGAACTTGACAAGCATATCTTAATGATCTCCAGCTAATCAGGGTGGCTACACTTCATGCCTTCACTTCCTTTGCCTGTCTCCACCCAGGAACATTTTACTTATTACGCAGAACCTAGCTCAAGTCCCATTTCTTAATAAAGCCTTCCTGACATTTTATAGGAACCTCCTCAGTCACAGCACAACTTCCCTCTACTAAGTTCTCAGCAGAATCACTACACAGTTTATACTGCTACTGAACACCTGTACTATTTCTACACCTGTACTATTTTTGTACCACAAAACCGTGAGTTCTTGGGGAAGAAGGGGAAATGCACCAGTCTCCTATGTATTCATCCCAGGGGCTGATTTCATCAAAGGGCTGTACAGCTCCAAGGGGGCCATATCCTTCTATAGAACAATATTCCACATATCATTCAATCACTTTTCCACCCTGAATGGAGTTGCTGGTGAAGAACTGATTATGCATAAGAACATGAACCGGTGCACTCCTCATCATCCCAAATAAACATATGGTTCCTTCTACATCTACAATTTTGGTTCAAGAATGCAAAGTTGAACTTGGAAATGAAAAGAAGAAAATGCATTTAATTTTAAGATGCTTGAACAAAGAAAGTTTTTTTCTGTGTCATTCACAAGAGACAGCATAAAAACTGATACAAAGGTGTCAAAAATCTCTAAATAAGGTGTGGTACAAAAGACAGGGGTGTGGGAGGAATCACTCTTGGCAGATCTGCCTTCCCAGATGGATGTTCCCTGTGTCCCTAATTAACATTCTGTGTGCAGACAGTGATTTCTATCAATGGGAATTACTGACATATAAACCAAACTGTGTCTTTGAAATGTAAGACGGTCCGAGGTACAATGCTACTAAATCAGAGGACAAGGGAAAAAGCATAATACTTGCTTTCTTTTAAAATGGGAAGTATATACATTAGTATATTTTAATCAAAATGTTTTTGCTTATAATTTTCATGTAATTTTTCTAGTTTGGGATGTAACATAGAAAAACAATGATTACCACATGTAAGTGGATGAGATGATTCTAGTGAACAGCATTTTTAGAATTTATTTCAGGATATTTCAGGAGGGAAGATATCCTTGGTAAACATAATAGAAGAATTTTCATGGTACAAATAATAATACCTGTTTTCTTCCCTAAGCTCATTTTCTATAGCTTGCGTTTCCCGTTCCAGCCTCTGGGATCTTGTGTAATCTCTCCAGGCTCGCAGGACCTTCAGTTGAAACTTCCAGTCGGACAGGGTTCCAGCTTTCCCCAGCTTAATCCTGTGATCAAGAATCAGCTTGTGCCAGGCAGAGAAATAGCGTTTCTGACACTGCAATGGAAACATTTGGAAAATCACCACTGATTTACGCTATAATGTCTAATATCTAATATCAAAACCCTTCTCTTCAGATTTCCTCCTCCCACTTTTCCGAACAAATCTAGGAACTGTTGTCTTAATGCAAGAGAAACAAACAAAGCACAACTGCTTTATGCTGATAATTACAAGAAGTCTTCAAGTCATGCCACTGCATGTCAGCCTCACCACTGACACTAGAGTACTTAACTCTCACTGTCAGGCACCAGTCATGTTGGGAGCTGGGGGAACAGTCACATCTAAGAACTGAGTTAAAGGACTTGCTTGAGAGGCAATGAAAGACCTGCTGCCAATAGGATCTCCCCTGCCAGGTTATCTAGGAGTTTAAAAATCAAGCATTTAATTCTTGGTATTACTAATATCAATCTTGTCCTGCACAAACGAATATGGGAGATCCCATGAGGATGGAATGGGGTCTCTGATCCTTTCAAACAATACAGCTAAAAACAATAGCTTCGGCTGGGTTACACTGACCATGTTAGGATTTTGACGAGCCAGCCTAGAGAGACAAGGTAGGATGCCTGTAATCTTCCACTCCATGCATCTGACAACAAATCAGACAAGGTCTACTGAACCCAAGGATATCCCCAGAGAAGTACTTTATTCACAGTCCTAAGAAAAAAAAAAAGAAAAAAAAAAAAAAAAAAAACAACTTTGAGATCTAATCCTTTCTACATCTTTCTTCACAGCAAACTTTTTGCTCATACTATATCAAATTACTCTCAGCTCTTGGCCTTACACCACTGCACTCTTTCAACTTCGCTATGTTCATACTAATTTCTCCATCCTTCTTCAGCCCTCTCTCTGCCTGAGTACTTTGGGAGCCATTTCTCTCAGGAAGTCCTGCTATTACCAAGTCTCTCCTCAAATATAAGTGCCCTTCTCCTGTGTTCCCAGAGCAACATGAGAACTTTGGTATGAGAACTTTGGTGGAAGTTTAGGAACTCTGAACAAAGTTGTTTTAAGATAGAGTCTCTTCTTTTGAGATGTTATAGGAAGAGAGAATATATAAATAAAAAGACCAATAACGTAAGGAAGTACATGTTAGAAATCTTAAAAATAGTATATTTTGCCAGAAATATTTACTAGATAGGAGTCCAGCTACAGTCCTATTTAGGCAAATTACAAAATCTTCTTTATTATAATTTCTCACCAGGAGAAACCACAGCAAATTTATTTTAAAAAGTTACTCCCTTTTCATTATGTCAAATGAGGGCACATTTTCTAGACAGTCACTTTAGATCCCATGAAATGAAGGGAAAGAGAGAGAGGGAGGGAACTAGGAAGGAAAAGTAGGATAGAAGAAGGAAAGGAGATTTGTTGAAAACAGGATATGCCTTTAGTGAAAACAAGGAAAAGACATACAGCTGTCAGGTTGAGGGAGTATGCTGTTTGCATTACTATTTACTTATTTATCCCAAAAAAAACCTGGAAAAAAAATGTTACTGACCTGTGTGTCATACTAAAAAATATCCTGTGTCTATTTACCAGATTCATATAAAAGACTTCTTGAATGAACTATTCTAGCTATAGCTACCTCTAGTTTTAACTCCTGGAATATTGCTACAAACATAATTCATAATTCATCTTAGTAATAATAACTATTAACAGTGTCCTCAGATTTCTACATTTCTTTTCTATAAAGTTCAAAGCACCTTACATATACTATTTTATTAATTTGTAGACCACCATTATAAAACAGAGAGTCTACAGATATTACCATGATTTACCTTACCAAACTAAATTTCATGAGGAGAAGGGCTGACAACAGAGCCCACAGGGTGGAGAGTCAGGGGTGCACCTGAGGCAAAAACTGAAATATCCTGTTATCCTGATGACCCTAATCTATTGTACAAAAAGTCTCTCCTGGAAAGGAAGAGCTAATTCTTTGCTTTTTTAATAATGAAAAAGAAAGAACATGATATATAACTTGCTACAGTAAAAAAGCACTTCTAGAACATATCTGAATTTAAGAGGGAAAAATCTGTGTTTAAACTTCGAGAGCAAAATGATCAGTTTTTAAGGTCTATAACTCAGTTTCACAATATAGAAGTTAATAACAGCAAAGTTACAGACTTATACAGCAACCACTTTCTTGAAATGTACTTGATATTTGTTTTTTCCTATCTATTCAAAAGAACAATCCCATCAAAATTTAAATAGAAAAAGAAAGGTATGAATCGCGAACAGTCATAGCTATTCTTGATTCGTTATAAACATAATTTAGCAAACAGGTGTTCCATAAATGTGCTTGGAGGAAAATATTTGAGAAAGAAATACACTCCCTCTTTGGGTCTTCTCTGGGAGATAATTTTGTTTAGAAGGCAGAAGAAGGGGCACACTTGCATACTTCTGATCTAGTCTTTCTTTTACTCCTTCCCCTGGTGAGTTCCTGCCGCTCCCAGGTCTGCGCCTCTTCACTCCTTCATTCTCTCCCTTTTGCTCCTTGAAAGAGGAACTATTATTTAATATCACAACTGGGGTGGAAGAGGAACACAGCCTGTTTAAGCCAGAAGAATTAATATTTTAACTAGCTAGACAACTAGTTTGACCTCCCTCCATTTCTATCGTCTTCATTTATTTCTGCACATGTTATTTCTGAAAGATGGTCAAAATACAGTCATGCATTCTTTTACTCTTCCATATCTCTGTCATAGCTATGGTGATAATCAGGCTTGGTATAAATAAATAGAATGGAAAAAAAATTGCTGTGGAAGAATTGTTCCCAAGTATAAAAAATTTATAATAATTAAAAAAATAAAATACTACAAAGTGAAATTTTAAAAGTTTTTTAAGTGAAAAAGCTTTTCTTGCTCAAAATCTTTCTCAAGACATTATTTGGTTGTTAAAGATTCCACTCGAGAGAAGAAATGACAGCTCGCCCTGTTAAATTTATTACCTGCACTGGAGTTGCCCTCGTTTTGTTGGCAAGAAAAGCTCTTTCCTGAAGTGTAATCACACTGCTGTCACTGGGAATGATTGACGTTAGGTGGAACAGCAATTTGCTATCTAATCTTCATTGTAATTCTAACCCTGTCACTAGAGATGCTTCTTCTGATTAATGAAGTGGGTAACTCATCAAAATTCCTCAGCTATTTTCCTTTTGTCAGAAAGCTCAGTGATAATTGCATCAAAATTCTCAGTCATGAAAAAATAAACAATGAATTGTAAAGAGGACAAAAATGTCAACAAGTTTACAATTTATTTTTTCCAAATGGAACTAACTGTAATACAACTAGTGGTCTCAGGGAATTGGGTAAGACTGGAATGTTAGAACTGAAGCTGCACCACGGTCCCCCCAACCGACCCTCTGCTACTCTCAGGTCAAAAGGGACAAACAACCTATTGCTATAAAAGGGAGCAACCCCCAACCCCCAACTTTAGCTAGGCAAAAGACCCTGCAGACCTATGAAGTAGCTGGTGGTGTAAAGTGGACATTTATCTTGGCAAATGAATGCCCCTAGGAAGAAGCAGCACTGAAAAGTAGTACCCAGAAGACCCATCCCATCCCTGATCTTCATAATTTTCTCCAAACAAAAGAGAGATCATTGTTCCTCTTACCCCCAAACACATATACTCCTATAACTAAGTCTATTAAAGAAAATCCATTCAGTTCTCAGTACAGAGTGCTAAGATCTGGACTTGCTGTTGGGGCACAGGAAAAGCCCAGTAGCCTAAACTGTGACAATTAATAGCTGTATGTTCTCATTGGCTGCAGACAAAATGCTACTAATGCTATATCCTGGAAGATGTGATGGTCATTCTATTTCTGTAGTTAATTGTTTTCTCCTTTTTCAAACTTAAAAAAACACATTATAGAAATTTAACTAACATAACCAAAAGTAGAACAGCCAAACAAACTCCTTTCCCAGCTTAAAAAATTATCAACATTCTACTAAATGTTGATTTCATCTCTCCTTTACCCACATTTTTTATTTTCTAGAGTATTTAAAAATAAATCCCAGATATGAGATATTATATCATTTTACTACAAATGCGTCACTTTGTATTGCAAACCTAAGGACATTTTATAAATTCTTCTGAAGTCTGTTAAGCAGTTCAATTAATAATATTACTTTAACTAATACTGTTTCAACCCAGAAAAACTTCAGAAAACTATTGCTTAGTAAATTCTTAACCAATAAAACTCTCTGGACTCTTTTAATGAAGAATGACCATAAGAGTTCCTATAAGCTGATTATTCATTAGAGTTCTTTCTCAATAGAGCTTTGACCAGTTTCCATGGCAGAGCGGACAAATCTACAGCTACCCATTACCTTGTCAACCCTTTCCTCTTCCCCATCTAGACTTTCCCCATCTCTACTGATCCCCATCCTGACCACTCTCTCCCATCCCTAAGCCACCCCCCACCCCCACTATGCCAAAAATACAGTTTATCTCAGACTATATTAAATAATTGCTAGGTTCACGTCTAGGGTAGTCTGACACTAAGACAATATGGTATCATTTGTTCCTCACACCTATGGTTCTGAAAAGCCACATAAATATTCATCTGAAACATCTACTATATAGGAGAAAAGATACTCTACTCTGTATAATTTTAAAGGAAGGGCTTGATTTATGCCAAAGGTTTTTTCTTAGATTTTCAGAAGCAGAGTTTAATCAGTATTTATTTTTCAAAAGACAAAAAAAAAAAAAAATCACATATATAAGAATTGAAACCCTGGGATCGAAAAAGATTTCCTGGCACTCTGAAAGGCAAAACAGCAGTCTTTTATTTTGGTAAACTGGCCTTCACTGTCCCTTCTGTGAGAATGGGAAACCCAGATTACTCACAAAGAGAGGAAGAATATAACAACAAAATAAACAACAGCCTCCCTACCAAAATGGTAAAATTTTACTTGGAAAAGGAATAAAAATTTTTTTTTTAAATTATACTTGGAAATTTTCCATGCAGTTGGCTGTCTGAAGTAATATATACTAATGCTTCAAACGCCTCCTAAAAAGCATACCACACTTTGTTTCTTTTCTTTTCTTTTTCTTTTTTTAAAGATTTATTTATTATTTATACAAGAACCGGGGTGCAGGCCAGAATCGCAGGAGGGTGAGAGGATTCACCAGAGACAAAGCGGGGAACAGAACAGGCAGATGGACGGAAAGCACTGCTGAGGGGAGCAGCGGGTGAGACAGGAGAGGTCTGCCACACCATGTGGGTTTCTCCCTGGCTGGCCGGGATCGAACCCACAGTGCAGAAGCTGCAGACAGCTTCACAGTGCGGCGTTCAACCACCTGCGCCAACCAGGAGAGGCCCCACACTTTGTTTCTTGACAATAGGCTTACATGAATCCCAATATTCTTCACATATGTGCCCAATGTCTCTCTTTCCTTGTACTTTTACTTGCAAAAAGACTCTTCATTCATTATGTTCTACAAATATAAGCCAACCATGCTAAGAGGACAGTTGCTATGTTTCAGTCCAGAAATGCTTTTTCTTCTGTGATGTGTAGGCAGTCCTGATAAAGCTAAGATCGTTGGGAAGGGACCATGCTATATAAATGATGTTCCTAACTAGAGTTTTCATCATCTTGTGAGGGGAAAAAAAAAGCCAGTCTTCTTTTTAATATCATCTCCAAATTCTTCTAGTTTATTTTGGGGTAGCCTTTTGGAATGTTCTATGCCACAGGATAACATCAACAATGAATTGTTTGAGGCATTATTATATTAAAAAAAAATAAGCAAACCAAAACCACTCCCCATAGAATCAAGATTTAGGTTAGTGTCAACCTATCATTCATTGTTCTCTCCAACTTTCACAAGTGGAAAAGATCATAGACTTTCTTATCTTATTAAGAAAACATTAAATATTTTTCAGAATAGGGTGAGAATTAAGAAGGCCATTTTTCCAAATAGTATAAGGATTTTAGTAGTTAATCCCTTGTTGTTTCTGCTAATTAGCAATGACATGTTGACTGCTCAATCTCCCCAAGAGATTTCACTGTAAGATCAAAGAGAAAATAGGATAGACTAGAAGTACAAAGTTTCTATGCAAAACAGATGCTTTTGATAAAACAAAGCAACCAGGCAATGAAATACATGGAAAAGGTACATGAATTGTACTGCACCTGAACTTGTGTTTTGATAAGAGCCTACACTATTTTTTCTCAGGAAGTCTCCTATTAACTAATATGGTCCAAAAATAATATTAAGAGACTGTTTGGGGGGAACAAATATAATCCAGAGCCAAAGTGCAAAGAATAACAGAGCTAAAGCAACTTCTAGAAACAGATTTTTTTTTTAAGATTTATTTTATTTTATTTTATTTTATTTTATTTTATTTATTTATTTATACATGCACTGGGTACAGTCAGAAGCGCGGGAGGGTGAGAGAATTCACCAGAGCCAGAGAGGGGAGCAGAGCAGGCAGAAGGACCGAAGTACACTGTTGAGGGGAGCAGCGGGCGGCAGGAGAGGTCTGCGCGCCATGCGGGACCCTCCACTGGTGGCCTGGGAGCAGCCGGGGATCGAACTGGCACCACAGAGGCTGCGGGCAGCTTTGCAACCCAGTGCTCAACCGCTGCGCCACTGGGGAGGCCCTAGAAACAGATTTTTAAAAGTCATTCTGCAAATACTCTACATAGCTGCTTTGGGTTTGAACCAGTAAATGATTTTGAGGGTGCTGACGTAAGCTTCCTACTATCCAGCCACTCACTACAAGCCAGTAAGGCATTTCCCCCCTTTTGATCCTATGGTCATATTTAGGCTGCTGAGTATCCAAGTTTCATTACCTAAGGGCAGCTTTCAGGCTCCTTTAGTACCAGGCTAGAAATGTGGGCTGGGGACAAAATAATGAGCCCAGAGGGTCTGCTACTTCTTGTGGCATTTACCAGAGCACTATCCTGTCTCTGGTCAAGACTATGCAAAAGGGTAGATGGATTTACCCCATGTCTCATTTATACCAATAAGCACTGGAGAAATCTAAATTAGAGGTATACTAACAATCTTACAAGTGAATAACATGAATACTTTAAAGGGGAAGGGGAAGAACAGAACTAATCTGAGCAAAAATAGTTTGTTTAAGGTTGAAAATGAAAATAACTGTACAAATATTTTACTTAGTAAATCTGTTTCCATAGTCTATGGGTTAGCAATTCTGAAACTACTTTTATAGCAAACTAGGATTAAACAAGTAAATATATTTTAGATAAATACTTCCAGGTTTCTCACTGTCAGCCAAAGAAAATACAAATAAGCAAGGGGGAACTTGCAGTGCTGGATTAGGAGTGAAGTCATTAAAAACTCACATTTAGTTCAATATATATATTTTTTCTATATATATATATATATATTGCCTCATTTTTAAAACTGAGCAATCTGTTTTAGGTAGGTCACTAATTTTGTGTGTGTGTGTGTATGTGTGTGTATATATATATATATATTTCTGTATCTTGCTTTATATATATATATAAAGCAAGATACAGAAATAGTTACAAATAAGGAAGTGGAAGGTTAGCATGACCCCATGTTGTTACAATGGAATTCGAGATGTATGAACTCATGGATTTTAATACCTATATACATAGACATAGAAATAAATAAAATGTGTGGTTTAGTATACATACATGCATATATTTCTCAGTTCTGCCTGTGGAGAGGGCTCAGAAACAATGACACCCCAGGAGGAGTGCACACATCTACTACCTGGATCTTGGTTCTTAAATACTATTCTCCAAGTAAAAGGAACCAGGGTTCCCTATAGAAATGGTTGATTCTAGGGCTTGAGCAGGGAAAATGCAAGATGTGGCTGGTGATGTTCTAATAAGGTCTATAGTTTATTTTAGTTAGTAATATTTAATGGTATTGTACTAATGATAATTTCCTAGTAATCTGATAATTATACTATACTTATGTAAAAGTTAATATTGAGGAAAACTGGATGAAGGGTATTAGGGAACTCTATACATTATTTTTGCAACTTTTCTGTATATCTAAAATTACTTCAAAATAAAAACTTAAAAACAATAAAGTATAGGTTCAAATCAAGCAGAATCTGTTACAAAGCAGAGATAATTTGTTCATAGTCTCTCATTTTTAAATATACTAATCTCTCATTTTTAAAACAGAGTAATCTGTTTTAGGTAGGTCACTAATTTTGTAAAACTCTTTACAGATGTCTAAAATTCACACTGAGCACTTACACCCAAAACATATTTTCTTCTGGACAAACCAGACTTTAATAAAATTTAGAATTAATCTTATTGGGAACAAGTGCCATTCACCTCTCTGACTTTGTAAAATATCATGGCACTTTTTCCTATACCTTTTCAAAAACGATCCCCTAAGTAGTTACTTTCCTTCCTAGTTTCTTCTAGAAATCTTAAGGGTTATTGCAGGAGGACCCACTACCTTCATCTGTCTCATGAGGAATGTGGCATCTAAACATCTTTACTAATCTTTTACTGAATGTTAATCCCAACTCTTAACATTTCCTCCTACCACACTTCCTTCTCTCTTCCTAAAGCTACAACTCTGGCCAAACTTATTTCATATCTGAATAATCACTTTTTACCCATCAGTCCAAATGCCACCATCAAATGTGAGGTTTTTTTTAAAAGTTGCTTTGATCATTTTTCCCCTCGCAGCTTAGTTATTAGTAACACATGCAAACTCCTATTATTAATTTTCAGGGTCTTTGTAAGTCTAACCTACATTTATAAAGCTCCTTCAATGTCTTCCTGACATTCTCTTGCTAAATCCTTTCATGCACACATTCATGCCATTAATCTTCACTAATTTCAGCAATGCCTAAGGTCCTGGGGCAGATGTTGTAAAAGATATACATATATTTATCTTTTTACATCTGACCTTCTCATTTATCAATGTTCCAAGTAATTTCTTTCTCCTGAAATATTATAAGCCCAAAATTCATACTATTATCAGTCTCCCTTCATTGAAAAATAAATTCATGCTTCTGTTTACATGGTCTGGGGAACATGCTCATTTGTCAATTAAAAAATTAGACAGTTAATTTTATGAGAAGTGAAAGTAAAGAGGGAGAGAAGGTTAAAATCCAGAATATTAAAAAAAGCACAAATGTAAGTTTATCATTGTTTTAGTATCTGAATTACCAAAAGACAAGTGCCTTTCTGAATAATTCTTTCGAATAAACCAGAACACAACAGTCCATCAAACTCACTATGGATGCTAAGCTTCTGCCAAAGATCTGCTTTAGTAGCTGAACACTATTCTGGAAAGGGTAGTTTAGAATGACTAGAATGACTAGAATGAATCCCAAATTCATACCCTGATTTCCAGGATCACACAAAGTGTATATGAATAGCTTCTGAACAGGGAAGTGGAGCATTATTTGTATGGTAGGTAAGGTGGGTAGCACAGAACCAATGGTGTGGGCAATTTTGGTATCTGTGATGAGGCTTAGTTGGGCTTAGTGTTACTCTGTCCCATCTCTGAGGGAGCTCTTTGTCATTTATGCTGCAGAATGCTGAATAAAGGGATATTACAACTCTTACCTGCTGATTTTCCTTGAAAGTTTGGATTAATAACTCTTTCAGTTTCTTCTTTCTTTCTTTTGCCAATTTTCCTTCATCCAGCAGTATAGGAACCCTTTCGAACATGCCTTTTTCTGGATTTTTGGGAGAATTTTCTTCTTGCCTTTTCTTTTCTCTATTAATAACAATTTAAATATGCATGTATAAACAACAGACTTAATAATGAATAATTACAACCTACCATATTGGAATGAACACTGACTTTTCCCTCATAAGACACAGATTTTTAGATCTGGCTATAAAAGCAGATAGCAGGGTGTTTTTTATGAGCGTTAGTTTATTCCTTTATGAACACAAGTTAAATAAAATTGTTATGATGTATACTGAAAAGTAGAAAGCACTACAGATATTTTGGTAAAGCATTTTTATAGAGTTTAATATTGAGTAATACTTAGAACAAAATTTGAAAAATGATTTTTCTTTAATGTAGATGTAAGTTCTCTTTCTTACAAGGGGAGGGGGACAAAAGAGGACCCTCAAGTAAGAAAGTAATGAGGTTCTTAGAATAAAGTTTCTCAAGATTTCTAGAGAATAATAAACAGGTATTATTGGGCAAGAAGAGAATGGAATTTACACTAACTAAAATAGCTGAAAAGAGATAAAACAGAACCTACTGACAAGAAGGAAAAGGCCTTCAGACTAGGACCTTGGTCTTTCTGGTCATTCTCTTCCTTACCCATCTAGCTATTTATTCCGTCTTACCCAGATCACCTCTCTTATAGTACTTCCAGCAAGCTCGCAGCCACTGACTTCTTACTGAGAGGTATTAAACTAAGTATCTGTATGTGTGAAAAATATATATACTATCAATGATATAGTAAAGATAACACTTAGTCAGGAGTCAGGATTCATGGGCTCTGGCTGCAAAACAGCTGTGAAAACAATGAAACTCACCTCTCTATGCAAACTTCACTTTACAGTTGAGGAAACTCAGTTTGAGAGGGATACCAGAATACCCCATAGACATTGTTATTAATTCTCTTATATCATACAGAGGGCACACAATATTATACCTTATTATTGGTGTTGTTAACCATCACTTGGCTAAGGTTGCATCTCTAATTTAAAGTTACTATTTTTCCCCTAGTAATTAATAAATTGAAACAACACAATGTAGTAGATTTAGGATAGCTTACAAGTAAGTTGAAAGTCATATCAACAATAAAATTATACTGCCTCTCTCCAAACTTACTAATGCCATGTTATATTTGACGGTTATAGGCAGATCATAGAAGGCATTAAAAGGTCTCACTCATAGCAGGAATCTAGAAAACTTAAATAAGGGACCAGGAAAATGAATAACTATAAGAAAGTGAAAATCAAAATCAACAAAAAACTATGAACCAGAGACACTTTTAGGGGGGCGGGGGCGGGAGGGGAGGGATTGGGGTCAGAATGGGGGGGCTGCAATTGTATGGGGAATATAAAAATAAAATTTATTATTTAAAAAAAAAAAGAAATACAGTTCTAATGCCGTCGATATGATTTTTAAAAATAACATTAAAATATGCATCTGTTATGAAAATATTATCTGCTCATTGTAAAAAAATTGTGGAGGTCAAAATGCCATCTAGAAAAAAAACACTGATAACATGTCAGTACTGTTCAATTACACAACCATTTATTAATTTCTCCAATATTTAATAATGTCTGATTATAAATTAAATTATTTAAATTATCTTTCTGCACAAATCTTTGTCTGGATTTCTGATCATTTTCTTAGAGTAATTTTCCTAGCACTGGAATTCACAGGTCAAGATATAATACTATTTTTTATAGCTTTTATTATTTATCACTAAATTGCTTTCCAGAACACTTAAATGAGTTCATCCACCTCGAAATGTAGCATATTATCTGCCTCACTGTAACCACGGCGGTAAGATTTTTAACTTTTAAAAGAAATGAGTGGTGAGTGAACATTTGCTGAGTGCCCACTGTGAGCAGAGCGTCTTGCTACCATCAAATGTTACTTGTTCTCACAATTTATTTTAGGTCAGCCTAGATTTTTCAGGGCTTGAGAGGAATCTGAAAAGCAAGGTTAACCTTAGCAAGAACTCACTAAAACACTGGTGATTGCTTTCTGAAAGAGAGAGCGTCTGGAGGAGGCCTGAACCTGACACTTGAAAGAGGGAAATGCGTCCACTGCCGAGCTGTTTTAAATTGGGTAGAATAAGAGCAATCAAGAACACAGGGGAGAAAAGCTGTGTAGGCTGATGGGGGTGAAAGGGATTATCTAATAGGCCTTTCTGGCCTCTCAGTTTGAGTATTCAGTCACTTCAGTCACGTTGTTCCAAGGCTTTTGCAGTTCATGCATCAGTGCTGTTGCTCAGAATAAATACGTTAGTTATTTCTTTTATAAAGCTCATTTTCTGCTGAGGATATATAATAGTACTACATTCTGTGAGAACTATTTTGACTTCCCTCTTCTGTCAGGTATTCTTTTTCTTTATCAGCGGCAGTAAGGCAATGGTGACTTTCAGAAGATAAGACCGCGATCAATTCACATCAGGATGAGGCACAATTAGTGAATGTGGATACAGACACATGTTCAATGTTAAAAATGTTTAGGTAACCAAAGAAATGGATACTAGTCAATATAAGACCAATGAAGAGTGAAAAAAAGATTGAAAAGGATGATACTCTCCAATGCTGAAAAAAGTATGGTAAATTGGGCCACTGTTGGTGATAATGTAAATATGTAAACCCATTTGGAAGGCTATTTGGCAACATTTCAAGAGTCATAAAAGGGCCTATATTATTTAGCTCAGTAATTAAACTCCTAAGAATACAATTCAAAAGAATGGGAATGCTTAAGTATGTTCACTGCACTATTATATTGGTGAAAAATTTGAAATAGCTGAAATGCTTACCAGTACGGGGAGAGGGAGTGATGACATAAAATGATGGTACAGGAACTTAATGGAGTAACATGCAGACCTCAGGACTCCAGGCAATGCATTAATTACAATCAGCAAAATAACAAATTAAATGTACTTTATGATTACAATTAAGTATGTAAAGGGACCAAGACCAAGAGGAAACAAGGAGAAATGAAAATAATTAATTTGTTAAGATGGCAGAATAGAGAGTGATTTCTCTTTTGTGTTTTGTTATTGCAATGTTTGTGCACTTAAACATTTTTAAAGCAATGCAAAATGACTATTTAGGAAAGAAAATGCCACACAGCTCATCACAGCTGCTTACATTTTCCATGCTTCTTCCACAGTGCGTTTCCTCTCAATTATCTCCCTCCGCAGCTTCACCATCTCCCTTTGAATCTCCTCTTCCTCTTTCTTGGCCTCCAGAGCCTTTCTTTTCTTCTCACCTTGCACCAAATACTGAGCCTCTAAGAAGACTGATTTTTTCAGGGTTTTTTCAATTCTCTGCCGCTCCTGTTCTTTCTCACGTCTTAAGCGATTTTCTTTTACCTTAAAGAGAATACAAGGGTGAAGTGCAGCCTTTCAAGTAGAAAGGGATATGCAAAACCCTAGAATGCATTTTGGTTTTATTTTATTTATTTATTTATAAAGATTTATTTTATTTATTTAGGCATCCAAGAGCTGGGGTGTAGGCTGAGGTGTGGGGGGTGGGGGGGTGTGTGTGTGTAAGAGGATTCACCAGGGACACAGTGGGGAGCAGAACAGGTGAATTGACTGAAATGCACCACTGAGGGGATCAGCAGGTGAGACAGGAGAGGTCTGCTGTGCCATGTGGGTAGCTCCCTGGCCGGGGATCGAACTCGTGCTTTAGTGGCTGCCGACAGCTTCATAGTGCTGAGATTTAACCCATTGTGCCACCAGGGATGCTCCAGCCTACAACACATTTTGAATTTAGATTGAAAGATTCTCGCTCAGAACCCTACAATTTATCAATAGAGTAGGAGAAATCCACTCACGGGGTAAGAACCAATACAAAATTTTAGATGAAGTCAGGTGAGTCTGAAACAATTTGGGAATGATTTGCATTATGGGAAAGCTGAGAATCTAATGGGTCAGATGTCCAGTCCTGGATTTTTATTTAGTAATGATTTCCCATTCATAAGATTTTCCAAAATGTACATCGCTATTATTTACTTAGGCCCTGTCTGCATATTAATTATAATCTTAAAAAGAAGCACAATAATTTTTACGGTCTACACTGTGAAAGACACAATAATTTTTACGGTCTACACTGTGAAGAGTGATTTATTGCCTTAAGGAGCACCACAACCCTTTATTTATTTCTATAATAATTATTTAAATATATCTGTGATTCTGGAACATATTTGGAAATCAAAAACAAACTTCAAAGAATAAGCACACTTTTTTTAAACCTATTCATTCTTCAGAGTTTGATTAGCTACAAATTAAGGAGTGGTTCTTTCTCTCCTACTTAATTTAACTCTACCCTTATCTACTCTCCAGTTAAAAGACTTCTAGACAACGATTATCTCTTACTGAACTTTATTTCCTCCCGTTTGTCATAAATCCAAGCCATTTCTCTAAAATTTGCAGTGCTGACAAGACACACCTTAATGATGTAAAGCAAGCAGAAATTCAGTATTTGAAAAAGATAGCACACAGAAGTATAGACATTAATTCATGCTCAGTCTTAGTTGTGGACATGTGGGAAAGATTCGGTCATTTTAATTTTCTGAAATTCCTCTATAAAGTGATGAAATATAATTTTTTCCTAAAATTTCCAACATAAAAATCTTTTCCTATAACCTATTCCCTTTGAAGAAAAGAAACTTCCCATATGCCTTTCTAATTCAAAACAGCTGAAGTAGATTTAATTCAGATGTCCTCCCTTTCAAATTATAATCACAAAATGAGTAAATTTTTCAGTTGTCTAGAAAAGTATTATTATAACATTCACTAGAATATTCATGACATTAATATATTGATGTCACAATTCAAAAATCAAATTCAAGCAAAACCCAACCTACATATTTAGAATAGGAAATTCCATATCCAAACTAATGAAGTTTTAGTTCACCACTCTGTTGGTCAAAAATCAATTATTCCTCTTTTTTAGTTTTCTTAAATAAATTGTTTCCTATCCTCAGTTTGTGAGCATTATTTTTCTTCTGAAGTTCTTATATTTTATTTTTATTCTTTCTAACCAAACCACAGATGGCACCCTTTTTCATAATAAAGCCTAAGTCTTTATTTAAGCCTATTAAATGTGTTACACAAAGATTGCTTCCTGTTATCCATTTTAATTTTGTTTTTCCCTCCCACCTGCTTATGTCTCATCTCCATGGTAAGACGAGGATCCTTCTGCTGCTTCTTGTCTTGGTTTCCCTTCATTCCAAGATCTTCCAACATCCCAGAATCTACCACATCTTTATGGAACAGATGGTCTATAAATTTTTGAACGGTGGTACCTTCTTCTTCTTCCTCCAAATATCTACATAAATCTGAGGGAAACAGAAAAGCAACAAAACAGTGAAAATCAAAAATTTAATTTTAGTATAATTTCATATTGGTATAAATAATCCTGGTACAATAAAAATATAAAGCTGTGAGTGTTCAATAAACAGTAACCAATAATGCCAACCAATACTGGATGAGTATAACCCTCAGCAATTATCTTCAACTGTGAAGATAAAACCTCATAAGGAATTGCTCTCACCCAAATCACGGAAAACTCTCTGACTGCCAAATCTAAAGGATATTACTTCATTTTAAACAATTCTGTTGCTTTTTTAAGGAAATGCCTTTACTGCAATATAAAGTTGCAGTAAATATAATTGACATAAAATAAACTGCAAATATTTTAAGTCTATAAATTTTGACACATACATACATGTCTGTCAGTCTCAAAGGGGTCTGCATGTCAATTTCTAATCTCTTCCTTCCATTTCTCCCTATGCTTTTTGTCTTACCTCAGGCAATAATAGACCAGCTTTCTGTCACTATAGATCAGTTTACATTTTCTAGAATTTTGTTATCAATTAAATGAAATACTATGTACTCATTTTTTGATTAGGCTTCTTTCACTCATCATAATTATTTTGAGATTCAGCTGTGTTGTATTAGTAACATAATCCTTTTTGTTAGTGATTCTGCCACCTATGGATGGACATTAGGGCTATTTGCAGATCTGGGCTATTGCAAATAAAGTTGTATGAGCATTTGTACAAGTTTTTATATGAACATATGTGTTTTTTTTCTCTTGGGGAAATGCCTAATAATGGAATGGTTGGAACATATATGTTTAACTTTCAAAGAAGTTGTCAGGCTTTTTAAAAGAGGTTGTACAATTTTGTATTCTCACGAGCAAACTAGGAGTGCTCTAGTTCTAGTTCCTCCACATCTTCATCAATATTTGATATCGTCAATCATTTGGATTTAAGCCATTTAAACACATGTATAATATAAAGACTGTCACATGATAAAAAAATAAAAATAAATAAACACATGTATAATGGTGACTCATTTTCATTTTATTTGTATTTCTCTAATGACAAATGATGTTGAACATCTTCTTTATCAATGTTCTGTTTTGTTCCATACATGATTCAAACTGGGGTAATGAAGTCTTCAACAATTACTGTTGAAATACCTATTACTCCTGTCAATTTTGTCAGTTTTTATTTCACATATTTTGTGGCTTTTCTGTTAGTGTGTGTATTATATATATGTTTATAATAATGATTTCTTAAGGAATTGATACTTTCATTATTATAAATGTGCTTCTTTGTCCTAGTAATATTTTTTTGTCTTAAAGTCTATTTAAAAATTTTTAGTACAGTAGCTCTAGCTCTCTTTTGGTTACTGTTTGCATGGTGTATCTTTTTTCCATCCTTTTGCTTTCAACCTATTTGTGTCTCTGAATCTAAAGTGTGTCTCTTATAGATAAAATATAGTAAGGTGTATTTTTTAATTCATCCTGTTAATCTCTGTCTTTGATTGAAGTATTTAATATATTTACATTTAATGTAATGCCTAATAAGGTAGGACTTACATTTCTAACTTTATTAGTTTTCTATTATGTCTTAGGTAAATGCCTTTTGTCAGGTTGAGGTATTTACTTTCTATAACTAGTTTGCTGAGAGTTTTTATCAGGAATAGATGGTAGATTTGTCAAGTGCTTTTTTTGTGTCTATTAAGATAATCACACACCAGTTATTATTTTTGGTAAATATCCTTTTTTAATGATTGCATAATATGGTATGATATTAGATGGTAACAGCCAATCTAACTAAAGGGGTATTACTAGATCTATTAACATATAGAAGGAAGTAATATATATAGTCTGCAGACAAATACAAAGTACTGAAATAACTCACTTTAAGAATGACATTAATAAACTATAAATTATGCATAAGGTAGAAACCAGGATGAAAAGATCTAGAAATAATGTGATTTAAGAACTTCTGTGAGTGCAGTGCTATTAATTTGGGAACACTTATGTATATGAGGAGTCAGATATAATTACAACTCCCATAAAAAAATAAAAAACTGTTATTGAGAGATAATATTTTCTATTGCACTAAAAGGTAAAAGTTAATGAGAACAAAATCCTAATTTTCCTAATTAAAGGAGAATCCCATGAAAATTAGAGTCTCACAACACCTTAATGGGATCCTCCTAAAATTTATGCTCTCTGTCCTGGGAGATATTTAGGCTAGACTGCATCACTTCATGTTAGGGACACTCTAGAAATATCTCTACCTGAGAGGGGTCAGGAAGAGTTGAAGAGACTAGCTGATATTGAAGGATTCCTAGGCGTTCATGACTTTGTGATTCCTAACATTAGGATTTTATAGGGCCCTAAGCAAGGGGAATGCCGTCAGGTGAGTTCACCAAGGGTATCTAAGTCATGCACAAGGATATGCCACTATCATTACCACACCCTATCAGTATGTTCAGGGAAAAAGTCTCCCATTATTTAGGCACATCTGAGGAATCCTCACAAGTTATTTAACTTGTCTGACACTAGCTTTGTGTACAAGTAATAACCTCCCTTACAAAGATATATGAAGCATTTACTAATACAAAATAATATACAAATGTTTAAATGTAGTCTCTATCAACGCAGTCATCCAACAATACATAGGAAGAGGCATCCTTAAATAGCATTAACTGCCATCATAATCGTAAGAATTACAAATAGTAGAATATTTTAATTAAAAAACATGAATTTACTGAGGATATAGCATAAGCAATTCAAATTGAATAGAGAAAAATTAAAACTAACTATAATTATCATTTAAGTCTCATTATTCAAAAAGTTAAAAGACTTCCTTTTAAAATCATTAGATTTAAGAATTGGAACAGTCAGATCAATCCTTACCATCAAACTTGTCATATTTCAAGTGGTCATTGGCTTCTGACAGAAAAGGGATACTTGACACAGGGTATCCTTCATCATCACCTTCTCCATCACTTGTTAGTTCCTGTTTAAGTTTGGTATCTAACCAGTCATTGACCAGCTCCTGAGCTATCAATTAAAAAAACAAAAAACATCTTTCCAATAGTTCAACTACTTTAAAGACTTCTTTATTCATTGTTCTTATGCATTCAGTAAATATTAAGTAAGCAGTTATCATGTGTCAAATACTGTTCTAGAGGCTGGAAATATAGCAATGAATAAAACAGGGAAAATAAATCTTACTAACATGAAGTTTATATTCTAAATAAAACAGGGAAAATAAATCTTACCAACATGAAGTTTATATTCTAATTAGGGAAGAGAGACAATAAGGAATTCAGAGGAAAAAGAAATGGTATTCAAGGAAGGGAAGTTGAGTGTTGATGGTTATACATTGGGTGGTCAAAAAAGACCTCACTGAGAAGATACTTGAACAAAAACAAGGCAAGAAAGTGAGAGAACAGGCATATAGCTATGAAAGGAAATTTCATTCTAAGGAGAGAAAAAACAAATACCAAGGCCTTAAGGCAGGAGTGTCTAGAGTGTTGGGGAAAAACAATACAGTGGGTTGGAGAGGCGTGATGGAGGGAGAAAATAGTAGATGAGGTAGAAGACATAATTTGAGTATTAGGTTTAGCGCAGTGGTTCTAGATCAGGGATGATCCCCCCACCCCCCCCACCCCTGATCTCTTCATCCTTAAACACAGGGGTTCCTCAAGGATATCAGTAATTAAATACTAAATTCCAGAGTTTATGCTTTTGGGAGGTATCTTAAATTTTAGACTGTATTCATAAGGAACAAAGTTGATTTGTAAACTAGTGGTCAAATTATCTGTAACATAGTAGGTCAAATTAACATGCTGCCCTCTGTGCTTCAGGACTAATGCCTTAAAACACTCACTAGGTAAATGTGTTACGTTAAACTGCCTCTTGATTCAGTTCTACTCCAGGAGACAAAGTGGGCCTTAAATATAGCCTACTTTTAATATTGGGGTGAAATACAGAGTAAATTAATTTTGGGACAGTAGAAAGAAATGAAAATTAAGAATAAGAGAAAAAAAGAAGCTTCCATTCTCTATTGTGAAGTGCATTATGGGTTTTGCTTTATTTAATAAGCTATATACCAAAGAATTGCTAACATCACAGCAAAAATGCATTTCTCACCTTCTGCATAGACTTCATCATGATCCTCTGTTTGTTCAGATGTTTCCATATCTGTGCTTTGGTACCAAAACCTGGATAAATCTGAATTTCCAGCACAAAATGCTTTTGAAACTGCAAATTCTGAGGCTTTCTCCACTCTCTTCAATATAAAAGGGAAAAAAAATCCATTAAGATGACAACTTTGTTCAGAGTTAGAGAATTTCTCTCCTATTCAAGAATCCAACTTTCTATCAACTACTAAGATATTTTCATTTTTCCATTTTTGAAGGAACTCTAAGGTTTAAATATCAACCCCAAATGATTTTCTGGTGTTATTTGTTACTACCAAGTGTTGTTATTTTTTATTTGCTACCAAGTTTTAACTAGTATTTAAAATGTTTACATTCGAAGGAACAGGCCCTTAAGCTTCAGCTAACTTTTGTTGAGAATATTAGTAATGGGATACTGAAATGGGGACATCTTATTTTAAATAAAAAACATAATACCTTACTAGTTTCCATGCCACTAGGACTTGCATATAAATATGAGCAACAGGGAGAGTGACTAAACTTCCCCAAATTATTACTCCTGTAGTTTCAGTAAAATTGGGGTAGAGTCATTGAACTGTAGTAACCCAGAATATTTTAACTCAGCAGTAAGAATCTAATAAAAACATGGCAAAATTCATGGGGTTGGGGAAGAGATTGGTGGAAATGATCAAAACTGTCTTAGCATTTTGGCTTATCTAAGCACAAAAGAAGTTATTTTACAACAAAACCCCTGACTTCTCTCCCCACAAACTGTTTTCTGTCACGCCTTCTGTGCTCCCAGTCTTCTGACTTAGGCAGTGATAAGAGTACTCTTCCAGTTACTCTGGACAAAACCCTTGGAATCCTCTTTGAACATGTTCCCTCACCCCACCTACAATCTGCCAGGAAATCTCTTGATTCTATGTTTCAAATGTATCTAGAATCTCCCCCTTCTTGTCACCTCTGTTGTTATCACCATGAGCCCAAGGCAACACAATTTCTTGACTGTTTATTCTATAAGAGCCTTTGACCAGGGCAGCCAGAGAGACCCCTTTAAAATGAAAGGTATATCATGTCATAATTCCATTCAAAACCTCTCTCAGAATAAAAGTTGAAGTCCTTACAAGGTATTCCAAGGTGCTACACATAGGCTCTCTGTGAGCTAACTGAACTCCTGCCTGTTCTTCTACCTGACTTGCTCTCCTTCAGCCACATTGACCTCCACATTGACCTCCTTGTTATTCCCCCTTAAATATGCCAAGTATGTTCTACCTTACTCTGCTGGACTGCTCTGCCCCAGATATCCATGATTCTTTCCCTTACCAACTCAAGTCTTTACTCAACTGTCACCTTCATAGTAAGGCTTTTTCTGACTACATGGAACTGTAACCACCCTCCTCTGGGCAATCCCGAGTCTCCTTCTCTGTTCTGACATTCTTACAGCATTTGTGACTTTATAGCATACATTATCATTTATTGTCTCCCCTAAGTAGGTTGGAAGCAATCATTTTTGTCTTCTTCCTGACTGAAACCTCTAGCATCCAGAACAGTGTTTGGCACAAAGTAGGTGCCCCATATATGTTTGCTAAAGGAATAAATAATACTTAAATATAGTTTAAAAAACTCCATGTTTCCATAATTTATATTGTTGCCTCAACTATTTTGAAATTATTTTCCCTTTTCACAGGAAGATTGGTAGTATCTCTGCCAAAACCTGCCATGGACTCTACTTTTTAAATTATCAAATATTTTGAACATTAAGTTTAAATTAGACAGAAGCAGAAGAATACAGTAGAAAAGCTAAGGGTAACTTGAAAAAGACATAGAAAATAGAACATACAGGAAAAAATAAGAATCAGAAGAAATCAGATCTAATCGGGGTTAGAGTCAAGAAAATATTCACTCTGGAGAGATCTGTTTTCCTACATTATTTCTCAGTTTCTGATGAGCCCAAATTTATGATGCTGGTAGATATGTCCTTCATCGGTCAGTCACAATATGCTTACTATATAGTCCTTCCCTTTAGAGTTCCTTTTTTGCAAACTGCCCCCCATCCCCTGTAGGGTTCCTAAATTCTCTGTGTGTGTACATACACTCATGTGTAACTAATGTATAAATAAACCAACTTAAATTTTTTTTTAAAAAAACCACAAACAAAGGAATAAATTAAAAAACAGGATTGTAGACTTAGTTTCTCAGACTGTGAATGAAAGAAACAATATTGGGTGATATGTCATCTCTCCTGCATTGAAATTTGTTCAGGTTCTTAACACAGGAGGTAGAGAGCTTAGAGACAGAAAAAGGAAGGCTGATTTTGGTACTAAAGAAGGAGTCTGGTACTGACAAGTAAGGGAGTAAGGGGTAATGTTTGCTTGGCCTTAACAAGTGTTTAGGATATTGCTTAAAATGAAGATGGGGTGTGGGGAGGAGTATTAGGTGATACTAAGAATTAGAAATAATCTTGGAATTTCCTTGTTTTAAAATATTATACCCTATAGGCCTCCCTGGTGGCCTGGGGGGGGTTAAGACTCAACACTATCACCGCTACGCCTGAGTTCGATCCTAGCCAGGGAGCTAACCCACATATGGTGCAGCAGACCTCTCTTGTCTTGCCCACTGTTCCCCTTAGCAGTGTATTTCAGTAAAACTACCTGTTCTGCTCCCCATTCTGTTTCTAGTGAATCCACTCACCCCCACATACCTCTGGCCTACACCCCAGTTCTTCTACAAAATAACTAAATATTTGGAAAAAAATAAAACAGTATACCCTTTGTAGGAGGTATGGTCCTATGCCTCTGAATCACATACAATGTAGCAAACCATTGTTAACTCAATTAAAAAAATTCAGGGGGCCTCCCTGGTGGCTAAGACACAACCTATGAAGCTATCCAAAGCCACTGCAACAAGAGTTCAATCCCCGGGCAGGGAGATACCCACATGGCACAGCAGACCTCTCCTGACTCACCCGCTGCTCCCCTCAGCAGTGTATTTCAGTCAATCTGCCTGTTCTTCTCCCCACTCTGTCTCTGGAGAATCCTCTCACCACCATCTCCCCACCCCCACGCCTCTGGCCTGCACCCTGTTCTTGTATGCATAAATAAATAAATCTTTAAAAAATTTTTTCAAAAATTCAAAGAAGAGAAACAATGTATATAGCACAGAGTTAATGGAGGGATGGTGGGGATGGTCAATGAAAGCAATAAACTTGTCAAATAGTGTATATAAATAAATGAATATTACATTCTTACCATTTTTTTCCCAAATAAATATGTAAATAACAGGAGAAGTCTATCTAAAATTATATCTTGGTAGAATAAACATTGTATCAATTTAACAACTTAGAGAGGATTGGGGAGGAAAGCAGATGGGGCACAGGCATGGGTCATTTGTTGAAGGGTGAGTGGAACATGCACATGTGGGAAAAAAATATATAAAAAAATTAACAACTGTTCATTAATCAAGTAGACTGTAGGTTAGTTTTGCTGCCAACACTACAGGGGACCTTAAGGGGAAAACACAAGTAAAATCTCTGATTGCAAAGAGTTCACCTTTTTTTCCTGGTGTGTGGGTGGGGGTGTATGGGGGAAGCAGCATCAAATGCCAGGTATACTCAATAAACAGCTCAAGAACAGTTCTTAAGCAATTTGTAAAGGAACTATCTCAGTTATTCTCATGATCTTATAAATGCTCAATATGTGCTCCACATATGCCATGTCATACAACCCCATTGTTCACTCTAGATCTCTGTAGCCTATCACCTCTGATGGCAGAAACAGCAGCAATGACACACTTCTTCATTTCCTCAAGGCTGGCAAGTACAAATACGAATTTCTTTATATACCCTCATGTGCAAATTGCATGATCATCTATAAGTTTTGTGTTGAAGTATTTTTATATATACTCTTTTTATTAAAGTTTTTAATCACTCCATACAGGAGCAAATGCTACAGATATGTATGAATACCAAAATAATTCCAAGGAGAAGAATTTTAAAAAATTGGATTGGGTGACAGAGGCAGATGGTAGGGAGTTGTTCACTGAGAAGGGGCGTCAAAAGCTAAGCTATAAGGGAAGGATCTGGATTGCCTTCCCAGAGAGGAAGGGCACTGGAGTCACAGAGTACCAGTAAAGGGACCATTACACGTAGATTAATAGAAGGCCTTAAATGCTCATCCGGAATTTATAGTTTCATCTGATGGCATGCAGAATCAAGATTCAAGAGGAGAGAACTACATGATGATAATGTTTAGAAAGCTCAAAGTAGCAGAACGCACTGGAGTAAGAAAATGAGTCAAGTCACAATGTCACTCTCAAGTCACAATGTGGGTTAACTGTCAATCATGACAGGCTATTACATTTAGGTGAGCTGACCCAGGAGTCACAATTCTACCCAAGCATCCAAGCATCTGTCTGATTCTAAGTGATTTCAATATTTCTGAGGATGACTCACCAATATTTCAGCTTCAAGGTCTGCTCAATCTCCTTGATTCCACTCAATTGCACTTCAGCAACCTATGGACATCGTCATCCTGATCCAGGTCATACAGAATTTTCTACTGATCAAACCACATACTGATAGTCCTCTCTCCAACAGCAATCTCCTCCTGTTTCTTTTGCTCCCCCTACTCCCCAAAACTGGTGTTGCACCTAAGTCCTCCAGTCACTATATGCTTCTTCCTTCTCCCAACCTATAAGTCCTTTCTCAACCTTTATCATGCTCCACATCTTCCCATATACTTCCCTGCTCTTCCACATAATAAGGTCTTAGCTGATTTTGAGGGGTGGTAGTCCACTCAAGTGGATTTGGAAGTCTTAGGTCCAGAGGATATCATTGTTGAGAATACACCTGTAGTTGGTATTTATTGGGAATGAAATTAGAAAAGAAGTTAAGGAAGTGAACAGAAAGGTAGTAGGAGAAGCAAGAGAAACAATATTATAAAAAGATAATGGAAGAGAGGATTTCCAGAACAAAAAAGTGATAACTATATCAAACTAAACTTAAAAATCTTAGGATGGGCAGCACTCCCACTGCCCACCTGTGACTCTGCAGGTGCTACTTTTCACCAACTCTCTCCTCCGCAGGGCAGCAGCCTCCTGTCTGCCCATGACCTGTCCCATGCCAGGGCTGATCTTCACTGACCTCCCTTAGTGGAGGCAGCTCCCCTCAAGGCTGCCCACCTGCAACCATGCAGGCCCCTCTCAGCAAACCTGTCCCTTTGGGGCAGCTCTTCCTGCCCGCTTGTGTCTAGGCAAATGTCTTACTCTTTTGTTCCTTTCCCTAATATACCTGCCCTTTAAATATAACAAATGTCTCTGTCTCGTGGAGAAACTCGCCTGGGGAACTCACCATGAGTTGCTGAAACTGGAGCTTTGGTGAAACCTTTCCCAGAGTGAACCCGTACTCCAAACCCACAGACACCAAAGATGACAACAAAACCAAGAACAATGAAGGAGCGGTTTGGGAGAAAGATGGATTTGAATTCAGCAATAGTTCACGCTCATGCAGTGTGTGCCTCAGAATCTGGTGGAGGAAGTACCTCAAACTTTCACAGGGCTTGATATGACAGTGAGTGAATTTACATCATTTATATCCAACTTTTGCATTATTCTCATAAGAATTAAGGTCAAGTTTTACAGAACAAGTTTTACAAAACAATGGGCTTCGCAATTACTGGAAGAGGGAATCTGTGGCTCTTGAATTAAAGTTTTTATTATTTTTTTTTAAAGAGGCATGTATTATTTATTTATTTGTTTGTTTGTTTATTTGTTTGTCCATACATGCACTGGGTACAGTCAGAAGCGCGGGAGGGTGAGAGAACTCACCAGAGCCAGAGCGGGGAGCAGAGCAGGCAGAAGGACCGAAGTACACTGCTAAGGGGAGCAGCGGGTGGCAGGAGAGGTCTGCGCGCCATGTGGGACCCTCCTCCGGTGGCCGGGGAGCAGCCGGGGATCGAACTGGCACCGCAGAGGCCGCGGGCAGCTTCGCAACCCAGCGCTCAACCACTGCGCCACCTGGAAGGCCCTTGAATTAAAGTTTTTAAATCAAGGTGAAATTAGAGGCTACAAATGACATGTCAAGGTGGCAAAGTTTCACCTGAAGGGGGAATATGATGCCACAAAAGCAAAAACTGCAAGAAGTTTTTCTGCAAGAAAAGTGCCTGGGGCCTCCCTGGTGACAAAGGGATTAAGTCGCAGCAGTAGCAAGCTATCACGCTGGCAGCATGAATTCTGGCAGCATGAGTTTGATCCCCAGCCAGGGAGCTACCCACATGGCGCAGCAGACTCTCCTGCCTCACCTGCTGCTCCCCTCAGTACTGTATTTCAGTAGATCTGCCTGTTCTGCTCCCCACTCTCTCTAGTGAATCTATAACAGGGTGGTCCCCAGGAAAAGGGGAAGTTCCAGGTTCCTGCCCCACCCAGAGGAGAGTGGAGCTGAGCAGGGAGAAGAAGCTTCAGAGGAGACTGAGGAAGGAAGGAAGCAGGATGGAGAGCAAGGAGACCTGGAGGAGGCACATGGAGCAGAGACATGTGAAGAAACTGTGCTTGCCTTTTGGTTGTGGACTGGTTGAAACAGATGTGGGTGATTGACCAGTGGGGAGATTAATAATGCCAGCTTTTATCTTGATTTTGATTTTGCTCTTTTCCTCCCAGACTTGTCTGGTTATTTCTGTTCCTTCTCTGTGGGTCCCCACTGGAAGTTGCTTTAGACCTGTGGCCGGCTTTCAGGCCTTGCTCTGGGCCAGTCCCATTTGGGTGAACTTTCACCCACGAGGGGATGGGTAACTGTGGGTGCTTGATCTAGAAACTATATTCTTTGTCTTTTCTGTATTGTTTACTAATTGTATTAAAGTTCCTTTCCATTAAAAAAAAAAAAAGCTTAGGATGAAGAAAAGACCTGAATTATTTAAATTCCTGAATTTGGTCAGGAAGTCTTTCATGATGACAGTTTCTGTGGAGTGGTAAGTAATAGAAACTGCTGGAAAGTAATTGTGGACATGAGAGAATAATAAAAACACAAGGCAAGGGCTCCAGGCTATGTACCCAAAGACGTTAAAAAAAAAATTGTACTGCAATCAGAACGGACTGCAGGGTCAAGTGAGGACTTAGTGATAGTTTTTCTCAAGACAAGGGAGATTAGAGGGCATATAGAGAAAGCGCTGCCGGAGAACTTATGGAGCAATGATAAATGATAAAAATCTAACTGAATCAAGTTGGCTGAACCTAGAATATAAACTGCTGAAATAGGAAAAACTATAGACAGGCACAGCAGAATCTTATCCTTCTGTTTTACTTAAATCTTCCTTCCTGGAGAAGACTAAATGTGAATGGGTTTGCTACTATAACACTGACATGTAAGCTATGCTTAATGGAAGCTGAGGAGTGATCTTCCCAGAGGCTCACCCTTACCATGGCAATGGATCCATTTCAGGTGCCTTGTAAGCCAAGCCTTCTGTAGAAGCCAGGAAGCCTTCTTGGTGCCAGCTGTATAAGGACTCCCACATGCTTCATTACATCCTTAATTTCCCCATTAGTTTTAAGTAAGCTGAACTAAAAACTGTGGGAAGGCAGGGACTGTGTCTGTCCTGTGCACCGTTTTCTCTCCAGTACCCAACACAGTGGGCTAGAACTCAGTAAGCATTTGAATACTGGCTGGGTGAACAGTCGGTTGACAATTGTTACATCTGGCCTAGGGTCCATGTGGCCTGGTGCTCATGTCAATTTCAATAAGAAATAGCTCTTCAAAATACCACCAGGCAGAAGGATATTTTCCCAGGAAAAATGCTGCATGATTTTGGAACATGTGGTACACAAATGAATTGAGTATGGCAGGATGCCAAAATGACACTCAGATGCATGCACCTGAAGTGGATTAATGGCACTTTCAACTTAAATGGTACTTGCACTCAAAATCATACATCTCAGACCTGGATGATATCTCAGGGGTTATTTAACCAAATCCTCCTCTCATTGAATGCTCACATTTATTCTTCATTAGCCCTAACATTAAGTGACTATTTAGAGTCCCCTTAAATACCCCCAGTGATGGAAAACACATCTCTTTATGAGAATGCTCATTCTGTTTTTGGATGGCTCTACTCAGCAGAAAAGGCTTACTCGGAATGCGTGCATAGCTTTTACCTATGCATTGGCCCTACAGGTCAATGTAACCACCACAGTTTTTCCAAAATCTGAGGAAGCCCACACAATTCTCTTCTAAGGCTCTTCCTCCCCATTCATGTGATCCTCATGGCATTTGAAAGGGCATGTCTCCATCTGTTCTCTCCCCACTCATACTGTAATGAACAACAACAAAATAATGAAAAAAAACAAAGCAAAATAAAACCCAAGGCAACATATACAGTCACACGGGAAGAAAAACAGCAAAATATGTGCACAATAGAACCCTATTAGTATTCCTTTTTCATCTGATTATATCCAATTCTTAATTTTTAAAAAAGATTTATTTATTTACACATACAAGAACTGTGGTGTAGGCCAGAGGTGTGGAGGGGTGGGGTGAGAGGATTCACCAGAGACAGAGTGGGGAGAAGAACAGGCAGATCCACTGAAATACACTGCTGAGGGGAGCAAAGGGCGAGACAGGAGAGGTCTGCTGCGCCATGTGGGTAGCTCCCTGGTGGGAAATGGAACTCGAGCTGCAGTGGCTGTGGATAGCTTCATAGTGCTGAGACTTAACCTTTTGCACCACTAGGGAAGCCCCAATTCTTAATTTCTTTCTATCATAATTATAAAACATCCTTACCTCAACCCAGTGTTCCACATTGTCAGGGTCAAAAGCAGGCTGTAGAAAATATATACAGAATATTAATACAAGATTAACACAAGGAACATTTTTATCAACTTTGCCACTCTAATTTTTCCTTCTCATGGTAGCATATGGGAAAATGGCCTTTATTTTTTCCCCTGAAGCATGTCATTAACAAGTTCAACAACAATAAAACACAGAATGATGGCAGGAGGAAGAAATATGAAGACTTCTCAGGGATACCCTCTACCTGTTTTTATCACTTGCCTAGGCCAACTCAAGGTTCTGATTCAATTGGTCTGGGGTAGGATCCTAAGCATTTTTTTTAAAGCTCCTCCAGGTTAAGAGCCGAGGCAGAGAAATTCTAGATGTAACATTCCTTATATTAAAAAATAAACAACCAAGAATTAATTAATTCATTAAATTACTCAAGTTTCAGGGAAGCAAATTTGCTTTGAGCAGGGTGTGCCCCTCTCATTAGCCCTTTTTTTCAGGGGCTACCTGTAATAAGCTTTCCTATCTTACCTAGAATAGGGATATTGTTTGATCCAATGAGAACTAGGGTGTGGGGTGAGGGATAATCAAGCTTCCAGCATTTTACAAAGAAGAAAATGAGGTAGAAGTCGCATAAATTTCTGCTCAGTCCAGACAGATATTAACCTGAAATTGGAAATCAGACCAGTAGGACATCTCTTTTCTTCACTATCTGTAACTCTCATAAGCTTACCGAATTCCTGCTAATAGTCATGTAACAAATAGAAGTATTTGCTTTGATAATAATTGAGGTGGGCTTTTTAAATAAATTAGAGACTATCTGAACCAGCACAATGACACATGGGAGAGGTAAGGAATAATAATACACCTTTTCACTTACATAAGACTTCAACTGCAAAGTCCCTTACAGATAACCAATTTATGCAGCTGTACTGCTGAATAGTCCTGTCACTGCAACAAAGAAAGTGCTGAACCTATTAAAAATATAACTAAACTTCAAGAAGCTCTTGTGTTCTTACCATTTTATCCTCTAGGCAGTTGCAATGAACACTAGCAGCAAAATCCTTCCTTGTAGAGTCCTAACAAATCATCCTAAATTCCTACCTTTCAACATCAAGTCTATACTTATAACCAAAGGATTCAATCCACTATGGAGCTGGTACAGTACAAGAAGAATTTTTTGCTTGTTTTTAAAAGCTCCTAAGGGTTAAGAACCAAGATAAATGCTAGATATAATATTCTTTATAAAATCCAAACTCCATTTCCAAATCTCTCTAATGCTCCTGTGTGGGCCCTCTAGTAACTGGGACAAGGTGTTCACCGGTGGATTATGCCCAGTGCATTATTTATCTGGTACAGTTAGAATAAGCAGCAAGCACAGTTGCCTAGGGCCCTCAGGAAGGCCACATGTCTACAGGATATTTTTTAAGAAAGTGTAATTTAGGGGTGAAAACAGCTGGTGAAACTGCTCTGGATCTGAAAGCCGAGAAACTGCATCATTTTAGTATTCATTTACATTTAAAACATTTATTTTTGTTAGTGTTAAAAAGGTAGTCTGTGGAAAGCACACACCGTGTGACTCTGACTTTGCACATGCCATTGACATAATTCAAGTTTAAAATGGGGCTATCCGAGTCTTTCTTTGGATGCTACTGTAACGTAAGTGGTAAAAGATACGAAGTACTATTTTTTGAATGTTGCTTGAATTTAGAAATTTTCAAGTGAATTAGTATAAATAGATTTCCACATCCACTTACATTTCCTGAATTCATTTTATTGAATGTAAAACTGGGAAGGGAGGGCTATGAGGCAGAGAATTTAAAGTGAAGATCGCCCATCAATTAAGCTCAGAAGATCCTCTATAATTTGCATAACAAAACGAGAAAGAAAAAAAAATGAAATGTGCGGGAGAGAAGTGGGGAAGAGCTCGCAAATTCGCTTCACCTGGGAGGGCGAATCTCTACAAATCTCTCCGGTTACCGAAAAACGTCAGATGAAAACCGTTCTTCCATTTTCCACCAAAGCCGTAACGTACCCAAGACCCCAAAGTTCCTACACCTTTTTCATTTAGGGGCAAAACTGGGGGCAAAGGCAGTCAAGACAGGGGCATGCTAGGTAAGGATGCCCCTGTGGGAAGAGGGAGGAATGGAAGGCGGGGCTGCGGCGGGCCTCCAGGCTGGTCCCCTTTCCCCAGAGCTCCCGATAGGGATCCATCACCTTGGGACTCGACTTCCTTGTAAGTCGTTTCCAGCGACTTTGCCCCGTCCTCTTCCTTGAGGAGGACCTTTCCTGGGGCGCCAGCAGCATGGTCCAGGTTCAGGCCCGGACCTCGGCCACAGCTGCAACAGCCGCGCGTTGCCGAGGTTGCTTCCGGGTCTCCCTGGGAGTTGTAGTTCCATTGTCTGCAGGGAAGGCAGGTGTGATGTACCATGGAACCACTACTCCCAGGAGGCTTTGCGCAGGCAGAAGGCGTTAGCTCAGTTACCTAGGGCAACGGCAACAGTCTTGCAGCACCAGAGCGCACTTTAATATTACTTTTGTCTTTTCTGGCGCCCGACGATGACGCAATGCTCCCTGATTGGCTCCGCGTCAAAGGCGGAGGTTTAGGGTACCGGGAATTCTACAAACACGACACGTGGTAGCGGACAGTGAGGAGTTATAGGGGGGTCTTCAGGTCAAAAAAGTTGAGAGGTGTGCAGGTAAGTGCCCCCTTCCCTTATGGTGGAGGGCTGCAAAAAGTTGGGGAGCCGCGTCGCGCCCAGACTCTTCCTGATTGTTTTGAAGAACTCCCGCCATGTCTTACCTTCCCTTTTGTGGGTCACCAGGTGTATCTTGGCTTCTGTAGTATATGGTGTCCCCAAATTTGTGAGCTTCGCCATAGCTTTCAGAGAAAAGGACCTCATTTCAGCGGGTCTCTGCTCGAGGGTCAAGTTCTCTACCGGAAGTTTGTTTTTTCTGGACTGCCCAGAATACTAGGGAGGTTTGACTGTGAATGAATTTCGAATGAATGACTGTGCGCGGGGGTCCCTGGGGATGACCCATGGAATAAAGGTAAATCTGTCCTATTGATTGAGCCTAGGTTTCCCGGGGACAGATCCTTCTGGGATACATGGGTTCGATAGGTAGAGAAGAGACTTTGGAACGAGCTACATTGTAGTTGTACGACCTTAGCAACTAATTTAGATAACTTTCTATTTACTCTTCGGAACAATGAGGGCGATAGTACTTAAGTCATTGGGGTATTTTACTGATTAGAAAAAAAATCAATGTATACCTAGCATTCTGCCAGGAAACTTAGGCCAAAGTAGACTTGAGATAGATGAAAATAAGGTTAGAGAAGCTAGTGCCCTCACAATATTGCAGAGATCATAGAATCTGCACTTGAACCTTGTCACTTGAATGTCCCTCAGAAGGGTGATAGTTTAATAAATTGTGTTGTATCCAAACTACAATATCATGAAGTGGCTATTTTAAAAGGGCAAGTAGGCTCTATGTCTCTTCTTCAGGAAATATATACATTTTGTATTCCTGGGACAAAAACATTGCAGAAAATTGCATCATGTTTAAATGTATGTTTAAATGTTGAGTGAGTATGGAGATAGGTTGTAGAGGCTGAGAAGATGGATAGAGGCAGAGAAGGGAGATAAGGGAAAACAAGAACAGTAAGAACACTATAGTAAAATGAAAAATGTCTTTATAAAATTATGTCTTAACATTACAGTTAATAAGTAAACATTGCATGTGATTATGAACCAGATGGGACTGTTAATAGGCTGCTAGCCTATTAGAGTACAGCTTCAAAAGCCAGATACCTGGTCTTGCCACTTCCCAACTCTTGACTTTACTAGCCTCAGTTTCCTCATCTGTAAAATGCACAAAATAATAACATCTAACTTATGAGGTTGATTTAGTAATGCATATTAATAGTTACTATATAAAATGGCCAGTAATTTTTAGCTGATACTATTGTCTTTTTGATTTAAGATGACTGAAATTAATGTGTTAACTTTTACTGTGATTACTGACATATTTGGACATATTTTGTATTTCTATTTTTGATGTGTTTTTGGTTTCTTCCTCTTCTCGCCTCTTATTGTATTAACCAATTTTTCTTTATTCTCCCCCACTCCTCCATAACCTAAAGAGTGGATGGGGAAAAGAAAACTTCTTTTTTCTAGCTTTGGACAAAGTTTTATTTTTTTAAATGTTGATATCCAACTGAAGTACATTCTCTTTAATTTCTTCAGATTTCGTAGTATTTGTATTCGTCTTCTTAATACATAAAATCACACCATTTACCTTTCACAAAACATCTTCTGAAACACAGTCATTTGCTTTTTCTTGCTTACCATGACTAGATAGGGAGTCAAGAAAATTCAAACAGCAGAACGTGAATACACAGACTCAGAATTACACACTATGGAGAGAACCAAGTGTTATTTTTCTCTCCAGCTGACCTAGTGGATTCAGATACTAAACTGAAGATTGTGAATTTCATCTTAAAAGATAGGATTAAATTTTTATACATTGCATCACTGGAGAATCCATCTCTTCATCTAAGATTATGGTAACTACCAAGAATTTAGAATGACTGTCCTTGAATTGAAAGTGAAGAAGATTCTGTCTCCATTAAGGAAAGAGCGGGAAGAGGAGATATGAGAAAATGCTTTCAGGATTGAGTGGATGATTAATCACAATAGAGGCTTTTCTGCTAAAAGATAGAGGCTCCTAGAACATGTTCATTCTTTCCTTCCACAAGGATAGAACTGAGACGTTCCTGAGACAAAGATGAGTCTTGACAACCAAGAGTCTAGACTTCTAGGTCTACCTGCTTTTCCCTTCTTGAAGAATACTTCTATGTCCTTAGAGAATCTGATTTTGGTTATATTAAGAGAAACAGTGGGTTTCATTTTTTTGCTTTTATACAATTGTTAATTACATTTCCTATTCTAGGTTCTGTGCTCACACTGTATTACATTTGAATGTTCATGTAGCATCCTGTAGGGCAGAATGCACTAAATGGTCCATTTTCCTTTTTTGTTTCTCAGAGTAAATATGTGCTTTCTGATTTTGTTGTAGTTTCTCAGGTTGATTTGTTTGGGTCATCCTGAAGAAGGATCTGTGCCATATGTGGACAAGATCAAGCTGCAGGGTTGATCAAGCATGCCTATGAAGTGCATGCATGCCTATGAAGCCTTTAAGAAAATAGCAGGAGGCCATTCTTTGAGCCCTTCTTTGAGTTCCATTCTCTTGGAGTAGATTGAAGGGCTTGAGAACCAGTTCCTTGATATTCTACAATATATTTCAGAATAAGGAAGTTGTTCCACAGATTTCATATACAGTTTTGAAAAATTTAATTAGTGGTCATGGTATGCTGCAGGATGTTCTTAAAAAAAAAAAGATAGACTGCATCTTGTAGCATGTTTGATTTACTTTCACTTAAAAGATGTACTAAAAAGAGCATAGTAATAAAAAGGGCAAGAGACCTGGGTTCTGGACTAAGATTGAGATTAATCTTGCCTAAACTCAAATATGTTATTGTAAATGACAGAGGGCATTATGATGGTGATGAGGTGTTCTCAGGTTGGGGTCTGTGTTAAAATGGTGGGACTCTAAACTATTTTCAGCTTTGCTGAAGTCTAATGACAATTATACATTACTGGGATGTTATTTTTTTATTTTTTTTTTTAAAGATTTATTTATTTATTTATTTATTTATTTATACAAGCACTGGGTACAGTCAGAAGCACGGGAGGGTGAGAGAATTCACCAGAGCCAGAGCGGAGAGCAGAACAGGCAGACTGACGAAGTACACTGCTGAGGGGAGCAGCGGGCGGCAGGAGAGGTATGCGCGCCATGTGGGACCCTCCTCCGGTGGCCGGGGAGCAGCCAGGGATCGAACTGGCATCGCAGAGGCCGCGGGCAGCTTCGCAACCCAGTGCTCAACCGCTGCGCCACCTGGGAGGCCCCATTACTGGGATGTTAAACAGAGGTTTACTAAAATACTGTGTTTATTATTATACTTTGAATTGTGTTAACTCAGCATAGAAAAGCAGACTATCTCATGCTCTTCACACTCTTTGGTTGTCAATCTCTTATGTTACTAAACTGGAAAATTGAAAGTATAGGTTTGATGGAGAGAGATAAATATAAACATTGGTAGCATTTTAGAATCCTAAACTTTACTTTTCAAACATATTATTTAGTTTTATCTTGTGAAGGCTCTTCCTACTGTTACATGAACTTAATTTCAAAAATACATCTTGAGTATAAATTTCAGTGCTCTGCCAACTTTAAACAATTCAGATGAGACAGAATTTCTGGAGAAAGGGAAGGATCCAGCAAATTCCTATCTCTAACCCTTGTGAAATAGCTCTAGACAATACTGTTTCTTCCATTCGCAGGTGTGTGCGAGGGTAGGAGATGATTCAGTGATTGCAGTATTTAATACTTCTGGTCCATTGAATTTTCATTACTTCGTATTTATGTTTCAAGAAGTTAGTGTTCCATATTTGGTTTATTCTAGAATAGCAGTCATATTCAGTCAGAATAACAGAATATTTATTCTGAGAAACAAAAGAGAAAAATGGACCATTTAGTACATTCTGCCCTACAGGATGCTACATGAACATTTCAGATGTAATTAACTTTAAAGTTCATTTCTTATTTCTGTGTTCCCCCTTCTCCCTGCTTCAATTCCTAGAGCTTACTTAGATTGCAAAATGTGGCCTTTAATTTTGCTAAAAATGGTTTTAAAACTTATTAGTTTAAAAAAATATTTTTATCACTGGAAATAAGTATATGTGTAATATCTGATAAATCAACATGGAACATCCTTGTGTAAATAATGATTCTTGTATTATATTTCTAGAGTATATTCTTATTAGCTTATAATTGTATTTGTAAGTTTTTTGGTATAACCTTTTTTCTTTTAATGCATAATAACATTTTTTAAATAGTTTATTTTTTTAAAGCATAACTTCTTTACCTTAACAGTCTCCATTTCTGTGATTTCCAATAACTTAGTTTTATGTCTCTTATCTTTGCTAACTTGAAATAGTAAATAAAGCTATAGTCATAGAAAATTGATCAGACTTTCCTCAAACACTTAATTCATGTTTAACATGAAATATCTTATTGAACTGTGCAGAAAGTATTATTTCTAAAATTCCAAAACACTGTATGGACTATTTTATTTCAATATCATAATATATGACTCCCCCAGAAGGTAATATTCTCATTCTAGAATATTTTGGATTAATGATAGATGATGCTTATTTGTTTGGTAGCATCTTACACAATGGTGACTTTCAGAGTATGGTAGAGTATAAAACTTAAGAGGACAAGATCTAAGGTTGGAGTCTCTTACATAGTTGTAATAACTTATCTGCTAATAAAAGTGGACTGAACCCAAGTGACAAGAAGACCGAGCCCGGGGTAGTTCCAGCTGTAGATGTGCAATGAAGTATTTGTAAAATGTTGGTATATACAGTGACATTTTGTCAGTATCTGCCAGGCATGGTTACCAAGGTTTGTAGTGCACTTAGAAAGCAGGCCCAGGAATTGTTTCACTGAATGATGATTAACAGCATCCAACGAAGTAACTGATAGTGTTTCCTGATTTTTCCCCCTCTGTGTATCTTTGTAAGTTAGAAAGTATATCTTTATAGTCTTATTTAAACAAATATTTTTCCCTCTTAAATATAGAAGTAATGCTAACTTGTTTATGAATTGCATGTATACTCCAGGTGGTTTCTCACCTCTGTTTGGACACCGTACAAAAATAACTAGAAAATAATACCACCCCTCAGAGATGATGTTTACATTTTGGTGTATATCCTCCTATATATTTTAATAAACCCAGAATGCTGTTTGGGAACCTGTTTTCTTCATTTAAAATAATTAGGAAAATTTGCTGTGTTGCTTAATTTTCTCTGAAATTAAGGAGAGAGGATCAAATCAGGAATCGTTGTAACTTAAGCAGTGTAACTGTGGCTTTATGGTACTTTTTACATGGTTAGTCTTTACTTTTATCCTTCCTTTTGTTTTTCATCAGCTCTGACAAAAATTCCATGACTGAATGTAGATCTGATTGATGTCATCCTATCGCCCTGGGGTTGTGGGGAAGGCATCATATTCTCTCTTGTGTCTTTTCCCATTCCCCTGTTTCTGATATCTTAAAAAAAAACATAGACAGAAATTAATAATAAATGTGCTATCATTTTTTTAAATTGTTTGCTTTCTCTGTACAATGCATAGCCTTTAGAAGCCCCTTCTGAAATGAAACCCCTTCTGAATTAATGCGCTTCCTTTTTTTTTTTTTAATCAGGCCCTAGAGAAATCTCTTAATATGAAGCTGAATCTTACCAAAGTAGTTAATGGCTGTCGTCTAGGGAAAATAAAAAACCTGGGCAAAACTGGTGACGGCACCATGGATATTCCCGGCTGCCTTCTGTACACCAGGACTGGCTCTGCCCCACACCTCACCCATCACACACTGCATAATATCCACAGGGTTCCTGCCATGGTTCAGCTTACACTGTCATCACTGTAAGTAGTAGATTTGATCATTCAGTTATCAACTCTGGAACCTTAATAAAATACAGTAGAAAGAATTTTTGCTTATATATACAAAATTTGTAGATTTTTAGAATGAAATCAGAAGAGAAATATTAAATATTACACACCATCTGGCCCTAATCTGGAAGTCACAGGCTGCCAGAACTACATGTTAGAACTACTTTATTTTTTTTCCAAAGCAGTGATCCCCTTCTGCCTTCATTGCCATGTCCTCAGGGGTGACAGGGCAGAGAGTGCTCCAGGACAGCTAAACTTGGCATCTAGGGGGCAGTCTTCATGCACCAATGTTAGGGTTTCTTCGGCCTCTGCACAGGTGTTAGTATTAGTTGTTGCTAGTTCTGGAAATAGAACTAATAGAGTTAAGATTATTTTGTGTAATATGCATACTGACTTTATACTTAATTGAAAAAACTACTTATGATCAAATAACAGCATAATTGTGTTAATGATTTTAAAGGGGTAAGGGGAAGAAGAAAATCCATATATGCTGAAGCAGTTGATTTTTGTCAGTTTCTTCCTTTACAGAGTAACTTGCAATTGAAGACCTGTGCTCTAGCTAATAAACCCAGCTTAATGAGTTGGGATTCTTGAATTATGGTGTATTTTGTTGTTCAAGACTACATTTACTATCACGTAGCTTGTGAGTAGAAGAGGGCTTCAGTTGTTGTATAGAGTACTTGTAGAATGACTCATTATTATGTTTTTTTTTCTATTTTGCTTAACAGAGCAGAACATCATGAAGTCTTGGCAGAATATAAGGAGGGAGTTGGAAAGTTTATAGGTAAAAATTAAATAACTTATTTGTTATATAACTTAAACAGTATCAATTTGGAGTTTGGAGGTGCTGTTGATTTTGATCTTTCATTTATTCATTAATAAGTATTGAGCATTCAAAAAGTAGGCATGGGGGATTAGAAATTGAAGAGGAAACAGCTGTTGCCCTCATATAACACAGAGCCTGGGTAGAATGGAGATAAACAGGTCATTCTAGTGAAGTGTGGAGACTGCATTTGCAGGACTAGGAGATATATATGTACTGTGAGAGCCCAAAGTGGGGAGCACATAACCTGCTGTTGGGTACCTGTCCAAGGAGGTCAGACTAAAGAATGGATTCTTGGAAGAGAAGATGATACCATATCTGAGTCAAGGAAGAGTAGGAGTTAGCAAGGTCAGGATAGGGGTGCAGTGGTGGTGTTGACAGGTGTGGGCAGAGACTCCAAGCACAGAGCAATGACCCAGAGGTGAAAAACTGCAGGGAAGCATGCCTAAGAACCAGAGCTTTCTCATTGTTTTTGCACCTAGAGCAAAAGGCAGACGATGAAGAGTTCATATATTTGATATGTTAATATTATCTTTAGTTCCAGAAATATACAGATTTTATATGCAGATGTACATGTCCATTTATTTATAGGAAAAGCTTAGCAGTGACAGCTAGAGAGCCAATTCTAGACCACTTTCTGCTGAAGCTTTTTCCCAAAAGTAAGGCTCACTTGCATGAATGAAAATCCAGTTTCCATTGGTTAAGTCCTCTGCTTCTGAAGGAAACTGCACGAAGACTTGTTGGTTGTTAAAGGCCCTATATTTCAGTGGAGGAATTTATGTGATACCGTTTTCCTTTATCTAAGACCAATTTTAATAACCATCTTTAAAGCATACAAACATATAATTAAGTGACAATAGCTAATATAAAGCTCTCTAGAGTTAATTATAATAATTGAAATTGTTCAAAATAAAGTGGAAGACTGCAGAGGTTTTCTCTTTTAACATGCTTTTTTTTTGGTGTTTTTTCAGTGAAACCCTTTTTTTTTTCTTATGATAATATTGGCTAGCATATGAAATTTAAGCACATATGGTTAGCTAAACATCTTTTTGGATTTTAAAAAAATGATTATCTTTTTGATTGAAGAATCTAAAAAACTGTCTTCTTAAATCAATGAAACCTACTAGAAGTGAGGTCCATTTGCAGTATCTTACAGCTTCCCTGGATTCCCTGGGAACCCATGGTATGGATGGCCTTACTGTTAGTGAGATCACCTTTTAGCCATGTCACTTCATCTTTCTAGTAGCTCATTCCCTTTGAATGGTATCTAGAATGAACACAGTTGACACTAAATTCTTCTTTAAAACAAATCAAGTAGGGACAACGTATCATTCAACACTTTCATCATGGTTCATGCTTTAAGATATACCTTTTGTGGAAACTCATCATTAAACATGAACTTTTGCATTTAATTCTTTTAGATTTATAGGTTTTTAGTTTTTTCATTCATGTTGATATGCTTCCTTTAATTCTAAGATCAGGTAGGAGAAGTTTTCTGGGCTTAGAGTTGCTTTATCCTGTATACACATTATATACCTGCTCTCTGTTATAACACAATGTAATTATTAACTTAAGTGCTTTCAATTGTTCTTTTTTTATTTTATACAGGCATGCCAGAGTCACTGTTATACTGCTCCCTGCACGATCCAGTTAGCCCTTGTCCAACTGGTTATGTTACAAATAAGGTGTGTTCTTGGAAGGCCTCTAAGGCTGCAGCTTTGAACCAGGAAGTCAGCCTTCTCTATCCCTCAGATGCTGGTCTCTGCTGACTGGGATGCTGGCCCATTCTTGACCCCTTTATGCCTTCTCTTTATTTTTATGAATATAATGGGTTGGGTGGTTTATAGGTATGAGGGTAGTGCTGGCTGAGGATGGGGTTAAAGTAAGGAATGTATCCTCAGCTTCTCAGTTGTTGCAAAAAATTTTGGGGTGAAGAAGGGTTAAGTACATTCCCAAAAAAGAAATTGCAATGGTGGTAGAAAACAAGTCTTTTGCTGCCATGCTTTATTTTCAGTTTTAACAACCTCAGGAAGAGTGGAGAAAGTTGCTGATGAGTGTTATCACATGTATAACTATATATAGTAGAACCTCAATGTAATATTGCTTGCTTCTAGAACAGAATTTGAAAAAGCTGGGTTCACAGCCAAGAGAGCTTAACTAGTGAAGAATAATATCAAAAGGCCTTCATTAAAAGTTTTCACTTTTAAATAAAATGGGGAGACATGGCCTCATTTCATTGTCCCCAGGGACAACATTCTGACAGGGGTTCAGTGTATACTGCTATTTTACAAATGCAATTACTTTTCCGGCACACACTTTATTGATGTCAACTAAATCTGTTAATCTTACCTAAGATAACTTTTAAATTATTCTTCTGCCTTATACTCATTTTTATTTTATAATTTGAATTCAGGAGGAAATATTTTAACCTAATTTATCTATCCCATTTGTAAGGGAGAGAGCATTTATTTAAATAGTATTTTTTACTATTTATATTAGGACAGAATTCAAAAATGAGATGCAACCTCCCCATCTATTAAACAATATTGTGTGAGACCTTATATTCTGCTTTAGGGGCACAGATATGAACTGGGATGCTCTAGTAAGACAAATATACATTAGTGCGATAAAGACTTTTTCTATAAAAGAAATAAGCACACATTTATGTAAGAGCTTAAAAGAGTGAGTGATTTATTTTTATCCATGAAGATTTGCAAACTCATTAGATGATATATGAACTCCGTGTCTTGAAGGATGCATAATATTGTACCAGGCAAGGAAGTAGGGGAAGGGTGTTTTATTTGAAAATTAAAATGTTATTAAAGGCCTCCCTGGTGGCACAGGCGGTTGAGCACAGCGATGTGAAGCTGTCCGTAGCCTCTGCAGAGCTGGGGAGATACCCACATGGCACAGCAGACCTTTCCTGTTTTACCTGCTGCTCCCCTCAGCAGTGTTTTTCAGTCAGTCTGGCTGTTCTGTTTCCCGCTCTGTCTCTGGTGAATCCTCTTACCCTCCCGAAATCTAGCCTGTACCCCAGTTCTTATGCATGAGTAAATAAATCTTTAAAAAAAATAAAATAAAATGTGATTAAAGACTGAAGAATCCAAGTCTGTTGTATATTGAGGAACAGCAAGTGTGGTGAGGTAAGGGAGAATGGAAGACTGAACTAGAAAAGTAGAACAGAATTCTGAGGTGCCAGTACAGAAGCAGGCTTGTGCAGCCATTGAAGGATCTCTGAGCTGTGATGTTTCTAGAGAATTTGGAATATGGTACAAGAAACCTTCTATACCCACCATGTTTAGGATACTCAATTGCCACCATCTCTCCAGTTGCAAAGAGGAATTAAATTCTGTATTACTTTATCATTTTATCTTCTTTTTATTTGCATTTTACTCTTTCTGATTCCTCATTATCTTGCCAGTCTGTGTCGGTTTGGGGTGTTGGAGGACGAGTAGAAATGACTGTTGCCAAATTCATGGCAATTCAGCAAGCACTACAACCAGACTGGTTCCAGTGCCTGTCAGATGGAGAGGCATCTTGCTCGGAAGCAACTTCCATAAAAAGAGCCAGAAAGTCTGTTGACCGATCACTTCTATTCCTGGATCATTGTCTTCAGCTACAGGAAAAAGCTGAGGTAAGTCTGCACCACTTACTACTGCTCCTGTTTCTTAGAAACTCTCCATAATTGACATTCCCTAGTAGCACTTTTTCTCTTCCTCTGCCTAGTTCTCTGCACTTCACTTCTTGCTCTCTCTTGCTCTCCTAGTTTTCCTCCCTGAATTGTCAGGGTTGCTACTCTCTAGGTTCGGTCTTAGGCTCTTTTTCTATTCAACTCCCTGTATTCTTCCTGGAGCCTCTTCTTGGTTTAACTGTTGACTAATTCTAAAGTTGTATGTAATCAAGTTCACGCTGCTAAACTTCATAATTATATAAAAGGGCCTTAGCATGTTCTGTCACTAGACTATCCTTCATACGCACCTCAGATTCAGAGGTCACCAAATTCCTCAAACTCTTCCTTTCACTCTCCATCAATATTTTCTCAGCTCATGGCATCTGCTAAGTTCCTCAGCCCAGAAATCTGAGTCTTTCAAGATTGCTTTTACTTTATCATTGTTTAATTTTTTATGTTTATTTTCTTACATTGTTGTTAATTTTTGGACAGTATTTGATTTCTCCCCTCAGATATAGTCCTCCACGATAGCACCCAGAATCCTTCTCCACAGTCCCTTGTGCTCTTCCCTCCCCTGTTTTGACCCCTCACTTTTGCTCTCCCCTGCTGTATGCCTTGGATCTATGGTCAGCTTGCTTGTTTTGTCAAGACTATCTTTAATATACAATTTATTCACTCCTTTGATTCTATCTACCTAAATATATCTACAGTCTGTCCCCTTCTCATCCTTCTTACTAGCACCTTGAGGCATAATAACACCATCATCTTTCATATAGACAGTTACCATTCTGTTGTCTGTACTCCCTCTGGTCTCAATTCTATCTAATCCGTCTCTAGGCCTGCTATCAAAGAGATCTTTGGAAAGCACAAATATGAGTGTCCTGCCCACTTCCCTAAAAGAATTGAATGATTCTCCACTTCGGTTTTTCTGCAGCATGGGCAGCCTCCTGTGACCTGGCCTCTGTTCACTCCTCCAACCCAGTGCTGGTTGCTTTCTCTTGTTGCCAACACTGTGGCCCGTCTGAGTTACTTACAGTTCCCTGAGGTCTTATCTGATTTTATTTCTTCATGCCTGTACACAGACTTCTTTCTAAACTGTTTCTCCTTTTCTCATCTCCAGCCATTTTCCTTTTCTTGCTTTAAGATCCAGCTTATTTCATCCCATTCATCATTCTTGGACTCTATCCTTGACCCTTCCTGGAAGTTCTGTCCTCCCTTTGCCACCCCTTTAATTTGTATGTAGCTATAGAGTAGCCTCACTCTTTATGTACTTATCTTCGTGTGACCTCTTAAGCTTAATTTCTGTGTGTCGTTTTTCTGTCTTTATCACATAACAGAATGCCTGACACATCCTAAGCCCTCAGTATGTGCTGCTGATGGTCAGTTGTTATGGTGGAGTGCAGATGATGAAGCTGTAGTGGTAAATAAGGGATCCTGATAGCAGAGTTAATGAATTAGGGAAAGGTTGTGTTCATTAGGAGACAACAGAAGTGGGAGAACAGAAGACAGTCATCAGGTGGAGAGTTTCAGTGTCTGAGATCATTCACGTGGCACAATCCTGAGCATCAGTTAGTTCCCACTGTGGCAATGTGCTTTGAGTTGAGGAATATTGTTTTCTTTGCGTTTAGCGATAAAAATTTGGGTAGTATAGCTAATATACATGAAATAATTAGAAGAAACTTAGTTGTTATTCTGAATAGAATGCTTAGTAGCAATGTCGGCTTAGTATGGTAGCATTCCGAATTGTTAGTATTGCTTCTGGCAGTTGTTTTCAGCCAGTAATTATCCTAGTAGCATGAGTGATGTTTGGATACATAGAAAGGAGGATGGAGTGTGACAGAGCATGATTACAAGGATGGCCAGATGAGTTCCTCTTCTGTGTTATAATCAGTGCCATCATTTCACACAATTTCTGTGTATAGGTTGAATGTTGGGGCCTTTCTCTCTGTTCCCCTTGCTTACATTATCGTGTTGACAGAATGCCCTCCTTCACTCTTCAGTGTGTTCCATTTTGGACAATACAATATATGATCATACTTCTTTCACATATGAAAAGGAAGTTCCCAGATAGGGCTGTGCCATGTAAAGAGGCATGTCTGTATAACTGTTTGCTTTGTGTGTCTGCATACATCTTCCTTCTTATTCACTAGATCCTCTTGTTGATTCCCTTAAATTTTGAAGTTCCCTAAGGCTCTGTAGTTGGGTTCTGTTCTCCATATATTCCCTAGACCAGTGATAGCAAAGTTTCATATCTCCTCTTTACCCTATTTCCAGCCACTGCTTTCATCCTCATATCTCACCCAGATTATTCAAGTTGTTCCTTAGCCCACCTGTTAGCCATACTTACCCATAATTCATTCTCTACACAGCCGCCAAATGTTCTTTCTGGAGAAATAGTCTGATTGTAGCCTTCCTGCTTAAACTAAGAAATGAAATTGTCTCTTCACAACCTGTCAAGCTCCCTCCTCATTCCTGTCTTCTACCAGAGCCACTGTTCATTTGGGGTTTTCCTTGCAAACTTTATTTTTTGAGTTACATACATATGGTATCACATATATAGGAATACCTTTATGTAGTTTTAATTATAGGCGTGTGATTGTATTTTCAAGTATTTTCTTGGGAAACCAAACTATGAATATACCATGATTTATTTAAGTCTGCACTATTGATGGGTGTTTAGATTGTTTCCGTTGTTTTGTTATTCTAAAAATTTTTGTAAGTATGCCCTGGTGCATATGAATGAATTTATTTGTAGGAAAGTGTCTTAGAAATGGAACTTTAGGATATAAAGATAAAAGCATTGACATTTTGATAAGTGTTGTCTAGTTGCCCTCCCAAGAGGCTGAACTAATTGTACTTTCAAGTTATCGGTGTGTAAGTGCTGTTTCTCTAATACTTTCACCTCCACTGTGTTGTTATCTTTTTTAACTTGTTTCTCACTGTGATGGGCACAAATGGTATCTAATTGTTTTCAATTTGCATTTCCTTACTGGTGAGGTTTAGTTAGTTCTCCATGCGTGTACAGGGCAGTCACATTTATTTTTCTGAAGTTCTACTCACATATCTGCCTGGATTTCTATGGGGTTGTCATTTCCTTAGAGGATTTGTTGGAGTTTTTTCTGTGGTGTAGGCCTTTATCTGTTTCTCCAAAAAGTAAGATTTCTTTTGCTTTTGTTGATGGCATAGTCTACTAGTGAAGTTTTAATACTTAACAATGTTAGCTTTTCCTGTAAGCTAGGAAGGTCTTTCTTATCCCAAGATTATACAAATATTCAATATATTCTTCTAATATTTGTATAACTCTTTCTTTTTTATGTGTAGGTCTTAGTGCCATCTGAAATTTATTTTTGAGGATTGTAGCTATAAATGGATAGTCAATTGTCCTGGCCAGACAATTCCCCAGTTCTTAAGGTTATCTTTGAAGAGACTTGAATGTAGGCCTGGGCAGTTACTTAAACAAGTTAAAACCCATTCCTTTTTTGCCTGCTTAGTGTGCATTTAATGTAATCTCAGCTAATCTAAGCTAAAGCGTGACTACAAATATCAATTGCCTCAGTTTCTCCCCAGTCTTTTCTGTTTTTTTTTTTTTTTAATAATACAACTTTTTTTTAAAAAAAGATTTATTTATTTATACAAGCACTGGGTACAGTCAGAAGCGCGGGAGGGTGAGAGAATTCACCAGAGCCAGAGGGGAGAGCAGAGCAGGCAGACTGTCGAGGTACACTGCTGAGGGGAGCAGCGGGTGGCAGGAGAGGTCTGCGTGCCATGTGGGACCCTCGCCCAGCGGCCAGGGATCGAACCGGTGCTGCAGAGGCTGCAGGCAGCTTCTCAGCCCAGCACTCAACCGCTGCGCTACCAGGGGAGGCCCTCCCCAGTCTTTTCTTACCTGTTTGAGTGGCTTTCAAACTGTGTTCTTTGGAGCTCTTATTTTTCTTGGGGTGGAGGGAGTGCCATTCCCCTGAACCCTGCAACTGCAGCAATTCTGAGGTCTCTTCTGTCCACTGGGCATCCATGTAAGGTTCATTTTAACAGGCTTCTGCTACTGGAAATGGTTCAAAACAGCCTATTCTTTTGTTTCCCTCAGGGCCTACAGAAAAGTACCATCATTGGCGTGATTGAAGGTGGAGACGTGCTGGAGGAGAGGTTGAGATCAGCACGTCAGACAGCCATGAGGCCCGTAGGTGGCTTCCTTCTGGATGGCTTTCAAGGGGATCCAGCAACCCTGGAGACCAGACTGCACTTGCTGTCATCAGTCACGGAGGAGCTGCCAGAGGACAAACCAAGGCTAGTGTTCAGTTAGGATGCAGGCCAGGTCTCGTGGGCTACAGAGCAGGAGTGCTGAGGATAGTAGTGTGAGTGTGTCCTTTCTAGACTGAGGCCTTTCTGCTAAGGCTGACTATAGGGGGAGTTTCCCTCAAGGCCTTCCTGCCCTTGATTTCAGACAACAGGACAGAAGACAGTTGCCATGTGTTCCTCATTGTAAGTGAAAGCAAGTATTACACTGATTCCCCTCAATTTTGTAGCAAACACAATGCTTGTTCTTTCTCCCTTATGATGTGGTGCCTGGGGACAAGTATAAAGTCATGCGGAATTCTGGCCTTAATCAGGAAAGGTTGAAGACAAATCTGGGATGCCTTAAGGAATGAAGATGGGCTCCACTGATAAATCGGACTTTTAAGAAATTCTTGTATTTGAGACAAGTAGTGAGTGGTGTCATTTTTTTTTTTTTTTTTAAATCAAGGGAACTGGCAGCACTAGTAGGATTGTTTCTTTCCATAAAACCCAGATTCACAATGTGAGAGATGATCTGCAAGATTCAAAGCTACAAATTCCAAGTTTCTGAGTGTGGCTGACATCCTATTAGGCTACCCAATTCTTTCTTCTTTTATTTAAAAAAAGACTAGTCTTTTATACCACTTGATGTGAATATACTTACCTTTTCTTGCAGATATATTAACATGTTTAATTAAGAGGTGCTACTTTATAATTTAGGACTAGTGTGTAGTATTATGTCATTTTATTACTTTTTTAAAAATCCTAGTATAATTTACAACAGAGTATGTGAATCTTACATATAGCTCAGTGAATTCTGACACATGCATATGCTTGTGTAAACAGCAGCCAGGATGATATATTTCTATCATCCGAGCCAGCATCTGCCCCCACTTTTAACATAGTTCTCTCTGCTTATTTCTCCCCCTCCTGTGCTTATTTCTTTCTGGTGCAAACAACAATTCAGCACTAGTGTTTCTAATCATTTTTTGCACTTCTTTTAGGTAAGTGCTCACAGATGTTTGTTACTGGATTTGAAAGCTAGAATTGTTTTTCTTTCTATAAGTGTGTAGAAAGCCAGTTTCAGTTGGAATGGAGTCCTAAAACTGTAGTTAAAAAAAACAGCATAAATTTAAATGTTATGGTTGTTTAATATTACATAAGCCCTTTCTTTGACTTCTTTTAGATATCAGGAAGTTGATAAGTTTTTCTCTTCCAGTTCATAAAAAGGGATTGTGGATGGGTAGAAAAACAAGCATTAAAAAAACAGTACCAACTGGCCAACCCTGATTTAGTGAATCTCCCCATTTTGTGTCGGTGGCAAAACCTGGTTGAGTGTTAATAAAACTTTCAGGATGCTTTACCCATTACCTCTGAGAATACCATTTCATTCTACTGTGCAGACTTTTTTATTCATGTAGAAAATATAAAGGAATCCAACTACATTGTTAGATCCTATGGCCAGAGTTGAAATTTGGAGAACAAGAGTTGCTTTGCAAATAAACCTATGAGGAATACAGTAGATGAAACTGACTTTCCTGAACCAATTATTAAAAAAGAATTACAGCAAGATACAGCTAAGGCATGGAAAGTATTTGAAAGTGAAAAAAAATCACACAGCTTTGCACACTTAAAGGAATCTATTCTTTGGGTACATAGGCTGTATGGTTTAATATAAGACTAGTGTGAAAAAGAAATTAATTTTTTAGGAGTTTCTCTTTGGGGGCAGAAGCTACACTACACTTTTTCAAATATCTCTTTAGTCCTTAGAATGACTCTATGAGGTATGTATTACTACTTTTGTTTTTAAAATGAAACAACTGAAATTCAGAGAGGTTAAGAAACCTTCCTAAAGTTAACACAGCAAGTAAATAAAAGGGCAGAGCTAGGATTCAAATCCAGGTCCTTCTATCTCCAAAGCCCAATTTTCTTTCCGTCACACCTTATGATTTGCTATCTCACACACTAACTAACCATGACTGGATTTTCATTATTATTACTTTTATTAATAAGATCCTCTGGGAAGACTCTTAAGAACAGAAGACAGTGATTAGGAGGAGGATTTTAGTGTCTGAGATCATTCATGAGGCATTGTCTTTGTGTCACCGTTCTTGTTATTTTCACAGGCTCATCTGTGGAATTAGTCGGCCAGATGAAGTGCTTGAGTGTATTGAAAGAGGAGTGGACTTGTTTGAGAGTTTTTTCCCTTATCAAGTGACAGAGCGGGGATGTGCCCTAACTTTCAGCTTTGATTACCAGCCGAATCCTGAAGAGACATGTAGGTCTTTTGAACTTAATCACTGTGTTATCCTTGAGTTTCTTCTATTTCCTCTTAATTTTTGGCTTCAGTCACAAGTCAGAAATATGTGTATACTATAAAGCCAACCTTTTATAAAATGACATCTTTGTTTCTTATCTGTACGCCCTGGCATGTTGGCACACAAAAGTAGGTACTTAATACTATACATGTAGCTCATCAGTATTAGGAAGTGATTTTGTAGTGAGCAGAACCAAGAAAAACAAAACCTCTTCTATTAACAACCTGAAAAAAGAACATTCAAAAGTGAATAGTGATGAAAATCTTAGAAAAGAAAACCTTTGAACTGCTTGGTAAAAGTTAATTCGTTTTTCTACAAGAGAGTTCTTGTTTGCTTTTTGCAAACCCCATGCTATTAAAATACAGGGAGTTTCATTCCCTCTGATCCCAGCATTACTTTGGGTTTTTTTACACAATGAGATGTAAAAGCTGTTTTCTTCTATTATTTCTTTGAAGCACTGCCATTTTCTTTTATTGTTTAGTTATTCTGAACTCAGGAAAATCAGTTTCAGATTCTGACATTTAAAAGGCAGCAAGAAAGGAACTGGGATACAGACTTTGGACTGAGCGCTCTTGAAATTTCTCCCCAGTTTTTTCAGGAGAAAGTAGCATGCCTGTGTTCCTTCTGGGCCTCACGGGACTTTTCCTGCTGTCCTTTAACTCTTCCTCTGTCAACACCAACCTTAAATTCATGCAGAGGCAGAGACTTCTTTAGAGGTCCATTTTATTCCCCACAAGTGATTACAGTTTCATTCAGAAGATTCTACACTTTTATAAAGTAATTTAACCATTAATCTTAGTTGAATTATCTCTAGAGTTAAATCAGGTTGATGAAATTCTTACACATAGGTCAATTTTACTGTTCTGTAGGCAGACCATTATATAATGTGTATGTGTAGGCATACCATGGACACTTTATAAATGTTAATAGCTTCATTTACAAGCTTAATCATTTCCACCAGGACATAGTAACTGTAAGTCATTGAGTTCTCTGTAACAAACCAGGTTTTTTTTGGCCAGAGAATGCCACTTTTCTTTTTTTTTTTTTTTTTTAAAGATTTACCTATTTATTTATTTATACAAGCACTGGGTATAGTCAGAAGCGCGGGAGGGTGAGAGAATTCACCAGAGCCAGAGTGGGGAGCAGAGCAGGCAGAAGGACCGAAGTACACTGCTGAGGGGAGCAGCGGGTGGCAGGATGGGTCTGCGTGCCATGTGGGACCCTCCTCCGGTGGCCGGGGAGCTGCCGGGAATTGAACCGGCGCTGCAGAGACTGCGGGCAGCTTCGCAACCCAGTGCTCAACTGCTGCGCCACCGGGGAGGCCCAGAATGCCACTTTTCTTTATGATTATAAAACCTAAAATGGTCTGAACATTTTTTGAAGTTCAGTCATATTTAGGTGTGTGTTTGTATATGTAAATCAAAGACCTTTGCCAATTACAAAGCAAAATTTCCAAAGGCATAGATAACCTAATATAGGCAGCAATTCTACCTAGTTAGTGATAAGGATTTTCCAAACAGTTTATTATGCTTTCCCACATCAATATGCAAATGCATGGTGGCAAAATTTTAACAGCTGTATGCTCAGTGCCCCAGACACTTCTCTTTTTCTTTTGACCTGGACAGAATTACTTTCCTAGGACTGTGTGTCCATTCTCTGTGTGCCAACTCTGAGATTGTTATAACTTGTTCCCAGAAGTAGTTCTTATCTACTTGCCCCTTTTCATAGCTACTGGCTCTTTGTATAGCGATTGATGCTTCTCTTGCGGCTTCAGGAAGGTTCTTTCTTAAAGGGGAAGGTTCAAGGGAACAACTTGAATCCTTGTTTAATTCTGGATAATCTGCATTTCCTTGAGGTCCAGATTTTCTACAAGGAAGACATAAATTAAAACCATATTCCACTCTAATCTAATTGGAACATAAGCAGTTCTAAAGCACAGTTAATTTGTACATCATGATGAGACATTAACTCTAACACATGCTCATTCTCTCTCACATACATACACAAAAATATACACACACAACTGTTTTATAAAATTATTCTTTAATAGTAAGATATTCTTATGTACTGGTAACTATGGTTTGCTTAGGTATTGTCGAATCTCGAAGTTTTGATATTATCCACATTAGGTACATATTTCTTTTTTTTTTTTTTTCTTGTGTCATTTTCTCAGGTTAAATTCTCAAGAGTGAAATTAAAGGGTCAGAGAGCATGAAATAATAATTAACATTTCCCAATGGCCACTCTTTCTGATCTTCATTCAAGGCTTTTGTTGGTTTGTCCTTTAGTACTGCAACAAAATGGAACACAGGGAGAAATACAGTTTGTGGATCAAACAAAGAAAGTTAAAACAACTGATTACAACCAAGAAATGACATCATTTGAGATTAATCTGAAGGAAAAAAAGTAAGGAGATTTTTTAAAGTTTAGATTTTGACTTCTGATCTTTTAAAAAAGTTTATGTAACTATTCTCTTTTTGGTTGATAACTTCATAAAATATTTACAGTGGGATATTATTGGGGATTTTTTCAATTCAATTCTGGAAAAACTTTTCTGCAGATGGATTTGTATACTTTGTTTTGAAAGAAAACTAATACTAGATAACTATTTTTTAGAAAAGTTGTCAAACATTAAATGAAATCCATTGCTTGGTGTATTTTACTGTTTCTGATTGTTTTAATGACAACAAAACAAGGATTTTAAGATAAAAAATGATAAAGTTTTTAAAATTTAAGGAACTTAAGCAGGGTGTTTTTTGTATATAGATACTCATACATATAAATGTATCTAAATAAGTCTAAAATATATGCTTCTCTAAAGAATGAACTGTGTATTTTATAAATTTGCATTTGGCCAAAAGTGGTAATAATCAGTGAACCAGTGAGTGTTTTTGTGCTCGGGTGTTTTGATCTTCTATGACTGGACATTGTAGGGATTCAGACTGGTCTAACTAATGAATGGAGTTGAAAATTTGTCAGAGAATGTGACGGTCCTCGTTCTTAACTATACAGTTGCAAAGTAGATGAAGTTATCAGGCTTTTTATGCCCTCCCACTGTTAGCATCTATGACCAGCACCTGCAGTCGCACACCTGTAATTATGGACACCTGGGCCCAGAGAGCACAGGGCATGCACATATGTAAGTGAGGACACCTGTGCTCAGGGGCTTTAAGGGTGGCATCACTCTGAGGTGGGACTGCAGACGGGAGGAGACAGCCAGGAAAATGCTGAGAGAGATGGCTGGTCTGCCCCCTTATTAAGCAGCAAAGGCCTGTAAAAATCTACCGAAGGCTCCAAAGCTCCAAAATTATCTTGCTATCGGCAAGAACTGACAGTGAACCTACCTGGCCTGGGATGGTTGCAAAACAGTCTATAGGGGCTTCTTTTTTTTTTTTTAAGAGTGTTTTTTTTTTTTTTTTTAAAGATTTATTTATTTATTTATTTATACAAGCACTGGGTACATTCAGAAGCGCGGGAGGGTGAGAGAATTCACCAGAGCCAGAGCAGGGAGCAGAGCAGGCAGAAGGACCCAAGTACACTGCTGAGGGGAGCAGCGGGCAGCAGGAGAGGTCTGCGTGCCATCTGGGACCCTCCTCTGGTGGCCGAGGAACAGCCGGGGATCAAACCGGCTGCTGCAGAGGCTGCGGGCAGCTTCACAACCCAGCGCTCAACCGCTGCGCCACCGGGGAGGCCCTATAGGGGCTTCTTGATTGTAGATCTGAAATGGTGATGTTTACCATATTTAACTTCTTGAAAAGTTGCTAAAGTGATTCATTTCTTCTTTTTGAAATGGTAGGCTAATATAAATGGCTACTACTAAAATTCCTCTTACGTTTTAGATTTAGCTGGAAATTGCATATTTTGTATGATCAATACCTGATGTGAAGTTGGACGGTCTTGGAGTTCAGATCCTGACATTGTTCATACGTCAGTGACCTTGGCCGTTATTTAATTCCTTTTTTAAGCTGATGACAGGCAACACATATGTAGTGCTTAGTACATGCTCAGCAGTATTTAAGCCCTTTACTATATATATATATATTAACTCAATTCTTGCAACAACTCAGTAAAATAGGCCCTTTTATTACCCTCATTACAGTTGAGAAAACGAAGGCACACAGGGAGGATAGGGACTTGCTCAAGTGAGTATTGGAGCCAGGAATCAAATCTTGGCATTGTAGCTCCCTCTTAACCTCTTTAGCAATCTTCATCAGTAAAAAGACAATAAAAATGCCTATCTCCAAAGGTGGTTGCAGAGATAGAGTGAGACTGTGTTTGTAAAAGTGCTTTGTGCATTCAGAAAGCCAGCAAGAAAAAGGTTGCACCGTATCTTCTGATACTAGTTTTGGTGGCAAGTCAAAGAGAAGTGTCATTTACCGGAACACCATTTTCTGACGTTTTGTGTCTTTACAGTGTTACTAACAATGCTCCACATAAGGGACCTGAGCATATGACCTCTATGTAGCTCTCAGTCAAGGAGACTGTCATCAGACGACATCTCCTGAGTCACCCTGCTTTGTTAACTTTTGACCACAGTGCTATCACATTTGCCAGTGATGTTTTTGGCTATTGGTTACTGCACCAACAGAATAGATAGCTGAGGATGTGGATTTCTTGTGTTTACTTCTGGAAGGTTTTTGTGACTTCCTTTCTCAGGTACCAGGAAGACTTTGACCCAGTGGTGAAAGGGTGTTCCTGTTACTGCTGTAAGAATCACACTCGTGCATACATCCACCATCTGCTAGTGACCAAGGAGCTGTTGGCTGGGGTCCTGCTCATGATGCACAACTTTGAACACTACTTTGGATTTTTCCACTCCATCCGGGAAGCACTGAAAAATGACAGACTGGCAGAGCTGAAAGAGCTCATTCGCAGGCAAGCATCTTGAGATGCTTGAGATGAGACTGGCGGCTGCAAGTCTGACTGTCACATTGCACCTATACCACTGTTGCACTATGGGAAGAAGAGGTCACAAAGTGGTCTTAGCTTTAATCATTCATATTTGAGAATAAGATCTGTTCAAATCGGGAATATATGTACATGTGGCTGAAGAGATTTCCTCTTGGGACTTAAATGACCTGCATTGATCAGAAAGAATGAATCCTGATCTTTAATATTTCTGTGCTCTTTTAGTCAATAGAGATTCATTGAGTCAAAGACACTAGATGTGAAGTGACACCCTTGAAGTAAGGGTGATGAGATTCTTAGGGTTCACTAACTTGAACTGGAACCTGAAGGGAGATGAATTGATGAGTAGCATGGCTTCTCTGGACTTATGTTTGTTGACTGGAGAAGGAATCTGATTCAAGAGTTTATTGTAATCTTTATATCCTCAGGAGCTTCTTTCGGACACTTCTGCCTTCCAAGCTGCCCAAGCAGTGCAGTCAATCAGAAATGACTCTTGTGACTTCACCAGCATTGCATTCCTGGTGGAATATGGGGCTTACACTTTGCCCCTATGACCGGTTGGTCCAGGGCACACTCTTTTTTTACTTGGCCACATGGCCTATGCAGTTGCCGTTAGAAGCTGAAAGTTTGCCTAACTACTTTCCTCTAATCATAGAGATTCATTATGGTCTGCCTTTAACAGTTTAACCACATGATAACTGTAGCCCCAGCAATTGGGGAGATTCATTCATATTGCATTCACTTAGATGGAGCCCTGGCCTGGCAATCAGAGAATCAAATTTCAGTTCTACTCAGCTGTGACATGTAGGCAGATCATTTAACCTCTCCATCCTGTTTCCTCCTGCATGGGACATTCATGATGGATAGGACTAAATGAACTTCTGTGTTTCTATCTAGCTCTAATATTTGGGAAACATAGAGTTTTAGATGAGGGTCATAGCCTTACTTGTCCTTATTTATTGATCACTATTGGCTTGATGAAAAATGAAGCAATGTCAGGGATCAGACAACAGTAGTGGTACTTGAAAGCCTGAATAGGTTTGGTTTGTAGATTTTAAAGCAGTTGCTAAATTGGCAGCAGCAGATCTGGAGGGTGGAAGACTTTTCCAGATCATCTCTGATTCTATAAAATTTTTCTGCTCTAACCAATGGAATAACATTCATGTTGATGATGTGCTAGGTGATTTTTATTTTCTTGTGCTTTTCTATATTTGTCAGATTTTCTATACAAAATACAAATATATATACACATGTGTACAGTTTTTTTAAAAACAACAAAACCAAAAAGATGGCTTGTTTGTCACGTTTATGTCCCACTTTGCTGTTTGTTCATTTTAGTGGCCATCATTGAACATTGCTTGTAATTGTTATGTGGTTACTGTATTTTAATGTGTTGAGTGTCCATCTGATGGTTTTCTCTTATTAGTGGCTTAAGAAAGTGCATGAATTTTTGAATCTCCTGGACATTCTTATAATCTCTCCACCAATGGCAAGGGGTACTTATGGAAGACAGTTTCTATTCTCAAGGATCTGATTGTTTTGAAATATACTGGATTGGGCTTGTCCTGTGTTTATATTCCTGTTTAATGCCAAACCCACTGTTGAAGGGATAATAATAAAAATCCGAGAATACATATAAAATTGGTGGGTTTTATTTGTGTTTAAAACACTGAAAATTCTGCCTAATATTGTCCTTTTTTCCAGGTCTTATTAGAACATTTGAAAAATATTTCTTTCCTATAATGTAAGTTTGTTACAGTCAATATCCAATAAGCATTTTTAATTAAAAAAATACTGTTTTGCTTCCTCTAAGTAGTAGCAGGTCTATTAAACAATATTAAATTTCCATGGTACCAGAAATGTTCTAGAAATTTCTTACTGGAAAATTTCTTTTTCTGCATTTATCCATCAGCTGTCATTGTTTTAAGAGCACTCACGCTAAGTGCAGAATCCAAAAAGGAAATGTTATTCAGTAATACAGCTTTCTCTTTAAATTATATGATTTGGGGCCTTAAGGCGACGGTGACACATAATAAGAATAATAATAACCACAATCTGGAGCATTTTTTAATGGGCTGGGCCCCTTAATAAATGCTTCCCATTCATCTCACTGACCCTCAGAGCTTGCTGTGAGGTTTAAGAAATGTTTCAGAATAATCTTTTCTCCTATGCTAAGAACTGAGTTTCAGGAAGTTTGAGTATCCTGCTTGAGTGCCTCCCAGGAATTTCTGGAAGAGTGACTAGTTGCCTAAAGGTCTATCACAAGTCAGCTTCCACGTTAGACTTCAGATCCTCTGAAGCTGGGACTAAAATGCAACAGTTAAGCACTCAATAGCTTCTTGTGACTTGCTTCTGGGTTGAAAGGGCTAAGAGCCATGAGAGGGCCTCCTGGCCCCCAATGAAAGGGTGCTTCTGGAGTTTTCCTGCAAGTCAGCACTGGCTCTCAACCTCCAGTGGGGAATAGCTGGCACTGGCGTGTGTAGCCCATGGCATTGTAGGTCTGTCGTGCTAAGTGTGAGTTTCCATTCCATGTCCCTAAATCCTTCCCAGTCTCAGAGTAGGGGCTAATCATACCCTGAGTGGTGCTGAAAGGATTTGGGTCTGTGATAAAGTGGATTTAGGTAATCAATAGGCTCTGAGGTCTACTTGCCTTGGGGGAGGGATACTTTATTATTCTCTGGGAATAAAGGGAAAAGATTATTCTAAAACATTTCTTAAACCAAATACTTTGTAATCAAATCATTTTAATAAAAATTTCAAACAAAGACCATTGAAAGGTCAAGATTAGAGTGTGTAAGCAACTACGTTAGCCAGAATCATTTTTGTTTTTTTTCTTCTGCAGAGGCAGCTTGGAGCTCACTGAGAATCCACAGAGTTAAATGATTATCCTATGCCTTCCTGATTAAGAACAGGCTGCTCTCTGCAGTTTGATTAGTCTCGCTCGTAGCTACGGGATTACAGCTTATTAAAACTGACAGTGTTGTTATAAGGCAGGGAGCCAGTCAAACTCACATGCTGAACCAGTCACCAGAAAACCTCTGCAGTTACCTAAAGGTTTGGTGTCACTGGCATTCATTTCAATATCCCTTTTTCCAAATTTCCTGTCTTTTCCTGTTTTTGTGCCTTTTCTCTCTCTTCTTGCTCCTGAGATCCCCTGTTTTATGATCTCATTCCCCACATAACAGTGAACAAAGAAAAATGAAGCAAGTCACAGTGTAAGCAATGTGAATTAGGGTAACCCTACATCCTCATTGCTTACGACAATCCTGCTTTATACCTGTGGTCCAGGAGTAATTATTAACATTATCTCTTTACTCTCAGAAGTGCCCTAGTTTGGATAATGAGTTATTGGTCATCTAAGGTGAGGTAGAGGTGGCCAAACTAGAAAGCAAGTGTCCATTTAAATGGGACAGTGGCCAGTCAACCACCCACCTCTAGCTCATTGCTGCTGTGGGGCCTGTGTTGTCAGATCTCCCCATCTGGATTTTCAGGTGAAATGTCATGATTTAAAAATGCTGTATCATTTTAGAAATATAATCTAGCCAAATAAAACCTAGGTGTGTTTGCAAGCTTTGGTTTAGAATCTGGAGAGGAGGGCCTCCCCGGTGGCGCAGCGGTTGAGCGCTGGGTTGCGAAGCTGCCCTCAGCCTCTGCAGTGCCGGTTCGATCCCCGGCTGCTCCCCGGCCACCGGAGGAGGGTCCCACATGGCGCGCAGACCTCTCCTGCCGCCCGCTGCTCCCCTCAGCAGTGTACTTCGGTTCTTCTGCCTGCTCTGCTCCCTGTTCTGGCTCTGGTGAATTCTCTCACCCTCCCGCGCTTCTGACTGTACCCAGTGCATGTGTAAACAGAACAAACAAACAAATAAATAAATAAACATGCCTCTATAAAAAAAAAAAAAAAAAAAAAAGAATCTGGAGAGGAGGCTTTTGCTTCTTTAGCACTTAATTTCTCAATGACTGCTCAAGCTATACGGAAAAAGCCCCTATTGTTGCTGGCTACTGCCCTTGATTACAGATTCCCACTTTTAAGAGAACCCCACATTGTCCTAACTCCATGGCATGATCCCTGGATAAGTCCCAGAAGCATTCTAAAGCTGCCCAAGAGGGAAGTTATGCATCATCTTGTTCAACCTTCTGTTTTATGGGTGAGAACTGTTCAGCCTGGAGCAGAAAGACTAGCAATGTCTTTCCTCTTAAGGAGTTTAAGTAGCAACCCAAGTATGTGTCAGTTACCGTTTTGACTCTCATACATTTTACTTTAATTTCTGTTGGCCTGTGCTCTTCCAGGGTCAGCAATGATTTCCCAGTACTCTCCAGTGGTCCTGTCTGACTTTGTAAAACCAGTTGGATATAAGGTATTGTAAGCGCTCCTATAGCACCTTCCCACGTTAATAGCAACAGTCCTGACTGACACAGTGAGAACTCAATTACTGTTTGTCAAATGAAGGAATATTCTCAGAGCAGCTGAGGCATTATCTTCAGATTTTAGCCAGCTGAGTGTTGGTTAGAAGTGACTCGCACAGCAGTACGTGGTAGGACCCACGCTGAATGTCCTGTCAGTGGTGGTTTTACCTCACTTTAAGCCAGGCAAGCTCCAGGTGACCTGACACATTTTTTTTCTTCTTTTACTGGCATCGGTTCTGCTTTCTACCATTATCATCTTCTATTGTTGTCCTCAAAGCAATTCCCCTGCTCTGACAAGAGAAGAAAAGTGAACTTTTCTTTTGTTCTCATTCCTCACGATCCACTTTGAGACCGGGCCCAAGTTGCCAAGGAGTTCAAACGGCCGCTGCTCAGCCAGTGTGATTCACAGGGATTAGCATGTCCTCTCTGCACACTCTCCGTAATGTTCTTCTCTTTCCCTGAACCAAGGTCCCCTGCTGTCTGCTCCTTTGTCTGTGAAACACATTTTCTCTTATTATCACCTTGTTCCCTGCCTGTTTCAGATGGCTTCAGCTTACCTCTTAACAAAATCAAGATGTTGCTATTAATGGTCTTCTTTCGTAACAGCTTAAGGTCCTTTTCCCCTTCTCTCCCACACCATATAATAATCTCTGCTTCAAATAAGTTCAACAACCATTTCATAATCACTGCTTTATAGTTGCTACCATAAGACACAAGAGGGAGGCGATAAAAATAAAAGGAGAAAACCCAAAAGGTAGAAATGAGGGTTACTCAAGTTATTGAGGAGCAGGGCAAACATCTTCAGGAGCCTTCTTTTATGAAGAAATTAGGTAAGCTTAGCCTTCAGTGAGACTGGGTGTGATAAGCTGAAGTTCTCCTCTAACTTTTGTGACTGGATGGGAAGCTGGTCTCCCCTTTGTCGATCTGTACTTCCAGGCAGCTAAAATATCACTTGGAGCCATTCCAGTACCATTTATGTTGCTCATAAAAAATCCTTCCATAGACTCCAACTACATAGATATAAGAGTTTTTCATATCACATCCCCAAAAGCTAAAATATTTACCCACATTTTCCATTTCCTACTCATTTTTATTTTGGTTTAACATAACATTTCCATCACAATTCCATTTATTGTTCCCCATAAAGCCAACTGAAGAAAACTATGCAAATATACTCAGTTCCACACACAGTAATTATGCATCAAAAGAAAAAAAAAGCAAGTGACATAGTATGTCCACTTTTTTCTTCCTTTTTTTAAAAAAAGATTTTTTATTTATACAATAGCTGGGGTACAGGCCAGGAGAGGTCAGCCACACCGTGTGGGAATCTCCCTGGCCAGCCGGGAATTGAACCTGCACTGCAGAGGCTGCGGACAGCTTCACAGCACTGTGTTCAACCCGCTGCGCCACCAGCGAGGCCCTGTCCAATTTTTTCTTTTTTAACCTTGTATCTGATTTTGGTTAGATTTTAATTTCACTTTGTTTCAGTAGAAAAGTCACTTCCTGTCGTATTCAAAAAGTCAGTTCGACTTTACTTTTTTTCTTGAACATTCAGCTATTACTACAAATCTAACATGTCAAGAATCAGATTAATTATCTATCTTCCTTCAATTCAACTAGTGTTCCACTTCAACTTCCTTGCCTCTGTTAATGGCACCTGTCTGGCAGTCAATCTGACTGGATGACTTATTCCTTGAATGAATGATATAATTCATAGAAGACACAGGTATAAAATACTTCAAGGGAAAGATTAAGAAAACTTGATGATTGGCTCAGAGGACGCAGTTAAGTGATGATCTAAGGCAAATTATCACTTATCCGGCCCTCATATTTTTCTTGTCAGTCGCTCTGCTCTCTTCCTCCTTTCATTTTACTCTTCACTGCTACTAGACTAAGTTGTCACAAACACGATCTTCTTTGGGATCCTCCCTGACTGAAAGCTTTTGATGGCTCCCCAGTGCCATTCAGAGCAAGACTAAACTGGCTGTGGGAATCTCTAAGCCTGTCTTTCCCTGTCTAATCACTGGGGCTTTCCTGCCTTTCCTCTATGGTCATCTTCTAATCCTTCTTCAAGTCCAGCCCAAGAACCAAATCTTCTATTAAAACCTTGCTTTTCTTGAATTAGAAGAGGAGAGGCTTCTATTCTGGCTTCTCGTGTTCATAAAGGCACCAACAACCCATGTTGTAGGCATTTGGTTTGCTCTGTCCTTCAGTTCTGTAATCCTCACCTCCCAACCAGACTATCTGCTCTGTGAGGGAAGGGTAATTCCCCAATATTCTCCCCGT